TGACCAGTGTTTCCCTCACCACTGAGCCTCACCTCCTGCCGTCGGCCGGGCTCCCCGTGACACGCCAGGCCCTTCCCGTGCACCTTTTCATCCCCTCCGTTCGATCTTCATTCGCCCCTTTCCCCTGGTCTTACGGAGGCAATCATCAAGTTCCGTCCGACGTTCGAGAAAGATCTGCTCATCAATCCTGGGAGGGCGAGAACGCATCAAGGGGACTCTGCATCTCCCCAAACGATTTGAATTTTATGGGTCGCCTAGACCCCTAGGCCCTTTTCTTGCCCCGCACGTTGGCTAGCCAGCTCTCTACTTCATCCCTTGTCCATTTGCTGCACTGGGCTTGGTGCTTCTTTCTTTTGGTCTGCCTTGCAACGGGGAAGAAAAGGCGGTCGCTGACGCAGCCACTGACGCTGGCGGTGGGGAAGCAAGCGCTTATCGACATTTCCTGCTGTGGAGCCCCTTGGGAACATTGAAAGGACCAAACGTTCGTTGGGCTGGCATACGCATTTTTGGCATTGAACGGCTTAGCACTGCCCTTCAGCATAAGCTCTGGTTGTGCGCTCTCCGAGCAGTACAATATCCTGCGCGCCACGTTCCACGCATCGAAAAGCTTCCTTGGGTACCTCGCCACAATAATAATAGTAAATAGCCCTTTCTGGTTTCGAAACTCATCAAATCTCACCCTCCCAAGTTCCGCTCTTGTCAAGGAGAGGACGCTTCATTGTATCGGCTCAGTGTCGTTTCGGGACCCGCGATTGGCCAATCGAGCCTCCCCCTTCATTTCGCCTGGACCCTGGCTGCTGCAAACCTTCCCGTTCGTGGGTAGCCAGAGTGTACAACGCAAGAAAGCTCCGCTCTTGGCGAGCAGCCATTGTGAAAGCTCTCTCCCATTTTCCTCAGCCCCATTTCAAGTCTCGAGTCTCTTTTTATCTCTCGCACGTCCTCCCTCTCTTTCCCGCTCGACATTAAACCCCGAAAAGGATAAAGAAAAAGGAGAAGAAGACGGCGACGACGACGATAACATCGACTGCAACAACGGCGGCAATAACGACTGCGACGAGTTAAAAAAGGAGGAAAGAACGAGTGACGTGATCCTTTCAATATCCCTTTTCGCCAGGCCTTGAGAGAGACCACCGTGACCTCGTTGTGTCGACCATTTCAAAGTGAGTGTGAGTGAGAGATTTGGTTTGGGCCCCAAGCTCGACCCTGCATCTGCACCATTGAAGCATCTGCAACCCTCAATTCCCCAACTTCGTCGGTTTCGATTCGCGGTGCATCGAAATTCCCACACCATATCTGCGCCTTTCCCCTTTCGTCTGGTTCTCTGGTTGGTCGCTTCTGGAGAACCCCAATTCTGGAGTTCGTGTTCTCCCTGATCTCTGGTTGGATCCGACGTCTTTTTTCCCTCAACTCTCGTTCCTCCTATTCCCCCGGGACGTTTCAGACGCTACTATTTTCCCCCATCAGGCGCCCTGCGCTTCTGCGACGCAACGCTGCACGACAGCCCAGGCTTGCCTTGCCACATACTGGCCGGACGACCCTCGAGGGGCTCCACATTCGACACCTTGTCGCCAAACACGCGCCGGGCACCACGACAATAATACCCTGTGTGCTCCTTTCGTCTCGATCGTCTGCTCGTGCGCTTGCGCTGCGACGGAGAACGACACGTTCCCGGGTTTCGTCCGAATATAAGGTCGTAGTGGGCAACTCCTGTTACTTTGCAGCAAGCACGGCGGTCCCGACCCGACGTTTTTATTCTTTTTATTCTTTCTTTTTTTTTTTCTCTCTAGTGACTGGTTTTGCCTTTCGAGGACTACGCCGAGAGCAGTAGCCGCCGTCTCGGTTCGCCGCGAGAGCCAGCCTGGAGAGAGACCTGGTGTCTCTGATTTTTCTTTGCTTCTTCCGAAAGGGAACCTGAGTATTATTCCGATCGCCCATCCGCTGTATCTCACAACCAGCAGCCCGAAGCCATGGATCCAGGCACCACGCTCGTTACCTTTATGCTGTGAGTCTAGCGTACTTTTCTGTTTCTGTTTTAGAAGTCTTCCAAAGCTTCGTTGCCCTCTCTCTCTTCGCCGTTCCTTTTTTCTTTCTGCTTCTCTCGGGTTTCCTTTCTTTTTAGCTCACTTTGCCGCTGCACCTTTCCTTTCTCGTCCATATTGCTTCTTTCTTCTTTCTTTTGGCATTCCCATAATACTTTTTTCTTTTTGCCGGCCGTCGCTGTGGCCTTGGCTCTGTTCTCGCTCCCACTCTCTGCACATTGCTTTCTCTCGCTCGCCTGTCGCTGGCCGATTCCATATTTTTCAATTTTCCTGCTTGTTTTATTCGCACCGACACCTTCGTCTCATATCGGCCTTTCTATTTCGGACCCTCCGAGATTATACTGGTCGGGGCTTAAATTCACCGTTGGCCTCTGCTGGCCGGCCACGCACGCACAAAGCAAAGCACTTGACGCACGCACCACGCACCACGCACAACGCACAACGCAACACCGTATCACCAACCAATTCCGTATGTCTTTTCTTGTCTCCAACGTTCAGGCCAGTCCACATCCACACCGCATCTCTACATGTACGCTGCAACAAGTAGCTACATGTGCACACATTGCCCTCACTCACACTCACACTCGCACTCATACGCACACACACACACACACACACACAAACACATACATGCACTTATGTACCCCTGTCTTTGTCGTGTCTGAACGAAATGCCCTCTATTCCAATGGTATTACCAGTACTTGCCCCGTTTCCTGCCTGCCTCCGTTGCAAGACAAGTGTCGGAACCAAATTAGGACTGAACCTCCCTGAAGCGTGGCTCCAAGTCAGGGCAATATCAAGACGCTCGAAAAAAAAGCCTGGTTCGCCTGTGAAAACAGCGACAGGCAAAAAGAGCAAGATTGAAATTACAAACGCAGCCATGCTTCAGGTTCAGTGCTGAGGGAAGATTCGATTGATTGCGGGCATTTCAATCGGGTGGAAACAATTCCACGCCCGCCGACTTCCAGCCAGAGAGCACACACAGAACATGCACCCCCAATGGAGCTGCCGGAAGGCGGTAATAAACAAGCGGGCTTTATTGGTAATGCTCGTGCTGGAAGTATCCCCGAGCCGTTCGGATAATGTCCTCAGTGCTGCGTGGCCAGTGGCTGCTGCTGGAAACACTGCCCGCCATATTGGGGGAGTAGCTGGGGCTTTCCAGGGACAATCACTCTCCGTTTCCTTCCAGTCTACCGAGGTATTCGGGCCAGGGAGGGAATGGAATTGAATTGATCGAGCCATTGGATTCAAATTATCGTCGCCGCCTTCCGCGGGCGGTGGACCCCCATGAAAACCATTGGCTTGGGCCCTGCAAAGTCCTTTGCTTTTTGTCTGTTGCTCGGAATGATGGGAATTGGGGAGTGGTGATCTTGATTACACTGAGCCAGTGTAAGATCCTGCAGCCCCAGCCTCAGTACGGCCCCATCAGCTCCTCACAATTGATTGACTCCAGTCCTCCCCGGGGCTCAGGCCAGGGAACTACGCCCTCGTCCATCGCTTTCGGTAGCAGCTAGCTCTTCAGAAAGAAAAGGAAAAGAAAAAAACAAGTCTTTTCCAATTTTCGATTCGAAGAGGGTTTAGTAACCGAAATACTGTTTCGTTTTGAGACTGAGCCACTGCGATAACCCGGGAGAACCAGCCTGAGCTGTCACCCTGTGCTTTTGGGGGAAACCGGGAGCACTGGAATTTTGGGCGTCAGGTCAGCGCTAGCTTTCGCTGCTTTACCCACAATCTTCTGGAACATGGGGCGGGGCCGAGAGCCAGGCCCACGCACATATGAGACTTTTTGATTTGCCCTCCTCGCACACTCTCGCACTCTCTCTCTCTTGCCTCATGCGCCCATTTCGCCGGAAATGGCCTTGCCTCTCCCTCCCCCAGGCGGTCAGCTTCGTTGCTGGGGTTAGCTGGTCTCACCTACATTTTGATGGTCTCATTTTCGTCGGTTTTCCGACCTTCGGACAGCTCTGGGGCCTAGAAAGTGGAACAGCTATTATTATCCATGTGTGCAAGATGCCGCGGATGCCAGTTTGGCCGTTGATCGCATGTGTTGTTCAGCCCGTGCAGGCAGTCAGCGCACCATTTTTGACCTTGGTCAATCAAGATGCATAGGGGACATATTTCGGCTAGGTTCAACTGGCTGGCTGAGTGGCCATCCCATCCGAGAGCAAATGGGGATAATATGCCAGAGCAGCGACGTGGAGTGTGCAGGACCAAGGGCAAGCAAAGCCGCACCAGACCAGGTGCACAGCTTCTTGACTTGGCCACCTCGGTGCCTAACCAGCCAGTTTGCACTTGCCTGTGCTAGCACATGCACACTCATCATGTTGACTTCGTTGTCCTGTCTGTTCCTGGCGTACTTTCCGTTCCTTGCACACCCACACTCCCCTTCCCTGCAATACCTTGTCTTGTCGAGGTGTATCCCACCCCCCTTCTACACCCCACCCACTCCCCATTCCCACTCCCACTCCCACTCCCACACACACCCCTGTATGCCACGCCCCTGCTTCTCGTCCTCGCACACCCTCTTCCGCACTTTTCACACCCACTGTTCACTCACTCACCACCCTACTCTTGACGAGAACTTGTTATAATACATATATTCCATTCCTCCCCTTCCCTTCACACATGGATCTCTTTTAGTCGTCAAGCACCAATCCGACAACACTCTTCCCCATACATGGACATTGTCTCCATATCCACTCTTTTACGCCTTGCTCTTTCACGACGAACAACGAACTAACTCGATCCTTTCTTCTTCTTCTTTTCTCCTTTACTAGTCAAACGCATCCTTCGGTCCAGTCGGTTCGCCTGATAGGTTCCTGGGACAACTTCACCACTTCGTACCCGCTAGAACGAGACTCGAGACGTGATCGTGGATTGTGGAAGGGTTGTTATTCCTTTACCGACATCACCTGTGACGACGACACCGGAGTTGGTCCTAGCCGGAACGGCGGTCTTAAAATGGGCAGCACATACCACTACTACGTAAGTACCCGCTTCTTTCCACCTGCTTGATCTATTATGTGCACTAGCATCTAACACGAACGTTTTTTTCTCTTTTGCCTAGTACGAGCTTGATGGTTCTCACGAGACCCATGATCCTGCCCGGCCCTCCACCCGGCATTGCCCGTACATGCCTGGCCAGACCGTGAACACACTATTCGTCCCTATCCAGCGAACTCTCCGAAAACGAAGCGCCTCCCTCAGCTCCATGAGGAACGCCGACTTCATGACCATGAACCCCAAGGACAAGTTCACCACGCCGCGTCCCGCTCCTCCCGCGCCCGGCGTCATGGCCGGTCCTCGCCTCGGCACCTCTCCCCACTCTCTGAGGCACCACGCCTCGGCCCGCTCTCTCTCGCCCAACCCTTCGTGGCGGCGCTTCTTCAGGAAATCGGTCCGCGACGACAGGGAAGAATCCACCGCGTCCCCGACCAGGACGACACCCGAAGCGAGAGGTCTTGGGGTAGCGGCAGCCGCTCCCGAGACATCTCCCCGAGTCTCTCCGCCGATTCCTCTGCGATGACACGATCCCTACTTCGCCCGTGGACGAGAGGCCGGTCATGATTCCCGAGGATATCGCCGAGGAGATGGAGGATGACGACAACTTTGCCACGCCCGACTGCGCCGACCAGCCGTACACCACCTGCTTGGCCCCTCCCCTTCAAGAGGTCCATCTCGTCCAGCTCCATCCCCCTCCACGCGGATCCCGCGCCGTCTGTCAGCCAGGCCCTTCCCGAATCGCCTACCCTACCCGACTTCGAGTCCTGCCTTCGATCGCGCTTCTCGATTTCCTCCATCTCGAGCTATGCTTCCTCGGCCGGCGTCAGCCCCGAGGTGGAGACCCCTCCCTCTACGACCTCCTCGATGATTTGGAATTCGCCGCCTCGGTGCACGAGGCCGACGAGCCCATTCACTCGTCTCCTCTTCCCAGGCAGTCTTTGGAGCGCCAGTACAGCCTTCCTCAGACCGCTGTGGGCGGGGCCAAGCATGCGGGCAGTGCACTGGTATCCTCGCCTATCGACATGGGCATGGATGACTTTGTTGCTGAGCTTGGCTGGATGGCGAGCGTCATCAAGAACTAGACTCCCCCGGGGTGGTTTGACCTCGCTTCTACAATCATCATCTCCTCTCATTCTCCCTCTCCTTTCTCCGATCATCATCATCTCTCTTATCTCACTCGGTGGATGCTAGCCTTCCCAAAAGGCTAGACACTCCCCAATTACAACTGTTTTCTTTTTCTGGCCAATATATCATAGACTGGGATACGCAGCGAAATGCTTCTTCTTTTTTTCCTTACTCTCTAATTTCCACTGTCGTGTTCCCCATCCCTCGCAATACAGGGTATGGTGGAAGCGAACAGCTTGGTCGGTGGTGTCTGGTGGCAAAGGGATTATTCTTGCCAGGGTTCTTACAATGGGCTATTTTGTTTTTGGTATACACAATGGGCGCAAAGAGGGATATCAATCGGCCCATTGGGCCGATACAATAAGGAAAACATGCCTTGAATCGGATTCGATATCCAGGAGCGACACTATTTTATGGATCATTGTTTGTTTTATACGTTGCTGAGCAAGAAGCAAAGTTTGATAGTCGTGGAAGAGCTTCCACCAAAATATGAGCCAGCCTTGGAACAACACAGGCTGTTGCGCATCCCTCCACAAGAAAGCTGAATATACTTTTTTTCTCCTCTGGAACCCTTTTTCAGATCCTTTTCGTCAAATTCGAGTGTTTCTTTTTTTTTTTCTTTTTTTTTTTTTTAACTTGCCTACCAAATCGAGGGTGTGTGTGTCCGTCCATGCGGGTTTCCTACAAGACTACATGTACCTCATGCATTAACCATGAAATGGGTGGAGTACCGAGGGCCATGAGCACTAACACGAATAGTGCCCGGCCATGCACGGATAGGATGTTTCTGGAAAAAGTCTTGCAAGCGAGGCATGTGGAACGGGGAACACGTCCATAGATATCGACACTCGCTGACGAATAGCGAATAGCAGCAAGTCGTTCCTTGACTATTGCCTCGACCGCCTGACCACCATGCTTGGGGGCCTTTATTCTTTTTTGGTGTGTGCGGTGATGCTAGACGATGTCTCGGTGTGTGGACCATTACAACTGTTCACTAATTTTACACAAGACTTCATGTTTCCTCTTCTTTTTCGGTAGATGTAGACACGACGATGAGCAATCGGGTTTCAAGGTTGCTGGGTGCTATCTGGGGGTATTTCTAAATCCATCTACCTCTCTTCGCCTACCGCATGTACTGCTGCCTCTGATGTTTAACCTCGGGGCGATGTCCGTCCACCGATGACACGCATATACAATGTAAGAGAGGCCGGACGGGGAAGGAGGCAAGAGACACGCTCTCTGGTGTGCAGTGACGCGAAGCTTTGTTCATCCTCGTGATTCCCTTCTCTTCCCGAGTTACGAGTAAGAAGAATCCCAGTTTACCTTAAACAACTTGTTTTCAAACCCTTTGCAGAAGCCCAATACAAGATGGCGACGGTAAGGTGAGGAGGAAGAAACAACAACAATAACAACGATACAAACCCCCTTGCACGCTCCCGAAACAAATAGAGGGAGCCCCTTCTAGAAGAAAAAAACACATGGCTGGGAGAAGAGTGAGCAAACAATAGAGGGAGAGCCAAACGCGGTGGCGCGGCCTTTTCGCGTTTGGGCTTAGTAGAGGGCAGGTATACGGGGCGTGCATATGCTGAGGCAATGACGATATGGCCCCGGACGGGCGAGGGAGAGAGAGTGAGAGGAGCGTGTGGTAAAGAAAACATGGACGAGGGATATAGCCGCGAGGTCCTATTGATTTGCTGACTGGACTGGATGGATCCATTACTTGGGGGAACAATCGGACGAACGTCCATGGAAGAAGTGGAGAGGGTATTAATTGGACCGGGAGAACTATATCTGAAATCGGGAGGGGGTTCGATATGGATCTATACATAGACGTCTGGCTGTCTTGAAGAATGTGTCGCCCTTGCATCTGTCGAACCATATGTGAGCCTACCTACGTGGACGCCGAGTGCGTGTGAACAACTTGATCGTTAAAAGTGTCTAAAGGAATGTGCATTTTACGAGGAACTACGCTCGTCGTACGTTTTCTTGTTCTATATCGAAACATATCTAACTATGTCGTATACGCAACACATGCACACATACATCAAGCTCGCTTGTCTACTTGGCTGGGGGAAGAGGGGGAAAAACGAAAGAAATATGGCGTGTCTCTGGTTTTCGTCGGCGGCCCTACGTTTCAAACAAAACGCGGGACCCAAAGAAAAGCAGAACAAGGAAACGTTGGAAATTCGGGCAGCCTTTCTATCTGTCTTCCACCGGCTCTCCCCGGGAGCGGGCACCGGGTATTTCCCAAGAGGGGGAAGAGCGGGCCAAAGACGAGTAAGTGAGGAAGCAGAGTCTCGCCCTCCTCCAAAAGAAAGCCGAAGAGAAGGAGAAGAATGACACGTGGGGCGATGAGAGAAGACTTGAAGAAAACAAAAAGAAATGGATAGAGAATTGGGAATAAGGCAGCCGAGAGAATAACATCAATTGATGGGCATCCTCTTGTGGAAAGGGAAGGGGGTACAAGGCTAAGAGGGGAGAGGATGAAATGGTGGTGGTGGGGGCGATTAATATGGGAGATATGGCGGACGGAGGTGATCCACCTTGAACCGATGGGGGATACAAGCCTTTCTTCCGCTGCCATTCGTGATTTGGCGATTCCTGTGTGTTCCTTTCTTCCCCCATCCCCCACCGCCTATACTCGGGATACGCGTAGGGGACAAGAACAAAATTGGGTGTGCTTTTCCGCGCCGAGAAAAGCGTCGCGACTGAACGCAGGAACCCGTGCCGCGATCGTGTGGATACTAAATATATACACACATCCACGTGCGAGCGAGCGAGCGAGCGAGCCTATGTGCCCGCGTGTGCGTGTGTGCGTGTATGCGTGGGGTGTGCATCTAACTACGTGGGTTTGATGGCTTCAATTCAATCTTGATTGTTTTCGGGTTCGATACCGTGCTTGTTATTCATACACTTGATAGGGGGTCATCTCGACGTTAATCTATGGACCGAAGAAAGGTGCAACACATACACACACACATTTTTCCTAGAGGCCCTTCATCTTCATTTCCTTTCTTGACTGGGGTCACAGAACAACCGATCGCCTCGGTTCGGTTGGTTCTCCTCCTCTCACTCCCCACGCAGCCCTCTCGCGTCATTAAAGCTTTCAAAACGTATTTTCATCGTACAGGTGAGGGGTTTGTCTAAGTCGGTTATAGTGTGCGCAGTAGTTTAAAAAAAAAAAAAGATTGCTTCAAGAGTCGTTAGGCGTTGCAGTAGAGCCGCTCGGCGCTGTCGTCGCCTCCGTGGCCGGGGTGGTTGCGGGTACTGCAGCCGGTGCTGGTGCTGGTGCTGGTGCTGGTGCTACCCCGCTTACGGATGGAGCGGCCTTTTCGTTGAGCACCGTGACTTCTTCTGTTTTCGGGGGAGGTACGGGCTTGTCTGTTGTGGCGGTAGCGGATGGGCTGGCTTCTTGTTTAGGGTGACTCTGTGCAAGAGCAGGGATGGGCTGGCTCAGTTGTTTTGGTGGCTCGGCAGCTGCGAGGGGAGTGGTGGTAGGAACAGAGGCGGGCACTGGTTGCGAAGGTGTTTGAGAGGGTTGTTGCCCAGGTTCAATGATTGACGGCTTGGGAGCGGCAGCCGGTACCACTGTCTTAGGGACTGTCACCTCTGCCTTCGCCGTAGGAGTGAGACCTGGGGCTGGCTGCGCCGGCTGGGAGGAAGACGGCGCCGTCTGTTGTGCGGGGAGGGTCGCTTTTGGGGCGGGCGGTGCGGGCGGTGCGGCAGCGGGAGGTTGCGTCGGTTGCACTGTTTTCGGCTGCGGTGCTGACGGATGCTGTATCTGGCTGTGTGGTTGCACAGGTGGCTGTTTTTGCTGTTGCGGTAGCTGCCCTTGCTGACCTGCTGGTGGGGCTTGTGCTTGTGCTTGTGTTTGGACTTGGACTTGGGCTTGGGCCTGTGGTACACTGGGATTCTTCGCTTGTGCCTGCACTGGCGCCGTGGCCTGTGGCAGCTTCTTCCCGGCTGACTCGGCCCCTGTTGCACCTGGCTGAGAACCCTCTTTTTTTTTCAGCGGGTGGTACCGCCGCTGGCGCAGATGGTGGAGGAGGCGGAGGAGGGGGTGGAGGAGGAGGCGGCGGCGGAGCGGGGGCATTTGGATCCAGGAACCTGGCCGGCACGCCCTTGGCCGCGGTTTTGCCGCTACCGACCCAACAGCCGAGGAGCGCGCTCCAGCGGTACTCTCCTGAAGCATCCGTTGGATCTCGCGATACGCAGCGGCGTTGTGGAACGGTAGGCCCGTCTTCGGATCCTTGTATCGGGCCGGGAGATTGGTGATTGCGCACAGAGGTTGCGACGGTGGTTCTATTCGGTTCGCGTTAGTCACTTCATCTGACCTGTAGCTACAGTCACAAGGGTCTCAAGGTGACGTGGGAGGGAAAGGGATTGGAAGCGGGAGACAGAGAGACAAAGAGAGAGAGACAGAGACAGAGAGAGAGAGATACGGGAATAATGGGTGAAGAATCGAGATACATACTTTGCAGTTTGCTCATCTTCCTCCCGAACAAGATCTGCGTCTGCACAACCTTATCCTTGATCATTGTTTCATTGAAATTTTGGAGGATGATGGAATTGCGAGTCGCAATATGTGTGGTGCCACCGTTACCTTGTGCCTCCCCGTCTGCCTGGTCCCCGGGAGGCGATTCTACACCTTCCCGAGGTTTAGGCGTGGAAGCGTCGGTAGACAGGTCTTGCTTCTGAGCTTGCTTGGCCGAGGTGTTCGGGTCATCGCTGCCAGAGTCCTTGGAATCGGATGTCAACTTGGGCTGTTCCTTGACGGCTGCAGGAGGGCCTGGCAGCTGCAAGGGGAATCGGCTACGGGCACAGGAGGTGCTTGTCGCGGCGCGCTGAGAGAAGAGGGCGTGGAGGGCGGTAGAGAGAGTGGCGATGGGCGTTGAGTCGTGTTTGGTGGAGCGAGGATGTTCATCGTCAGGCCCGAGGGAATCGGGTATCCTCCGGAAAGGTTCATCGTAGGCGATAGGCCAGCCGGAGGAGCTAGCACGGGAGCCGCCAGCACACTTGACGACAGGCTGGTCGGAGGCTTCTGCGTCTCGATGGCCGGAAGCGCCATTACCGGCTTCGGCTGCGCGCCTTCGATAGGTACGAGCTTCGCCTCCGACACTGGCTGGGGGTCCAAGGAAGGTGGAGCCATTGGGGATGGCTGGCTAGGCGTCTGGCTAGGCGTCTGGCTTTGAGCCTGCGCTTGGTCTTTAGCCTGAGCGGGTTCGGGAGGCGGACTAGAGACGGTGGGTTTCTTCGCCTGTGTATCTGGAGATGCCTCTGCGGTCTCCTTTTCGGGGACAGCGAGCGGGGGTTTTCTGCCGAGGGCGCTGATAGAACGGGCTCATCTTTAGTGGCCGTCTCCATTTTTGCAGTTGATCCAGGGAACTCGGCAACGGCCGGCGTGGATACCCCCGATGTAGGACCTGATGGTGGTTCTGCACCGCTGGGGCCGGCCGGTGTTGCGGCCGAGACCGGGGTTGGCGGTGCCGTCGACATGGCGGTGTCGCCGTCTTTGTCTTTGCCCTTATCTTTGGCCTTGGCCTTTTCTTTTCCTTCTCCTTTTCCTTCTCCTTCTCCCTCTCCTTCTCAGCTGCGGTGAGCCTCTTCTTCCGCGGCTTCTCCTCCACTTCGATGTGATAGATGCCACCCTGCTTTAGCCGATCATCATTCCACTCTCTCCGTCCGCTCCAAAATGTGATGACGGGCCCGTTGAGCGTGCGGCTGTTGAGGGCTGCAAGCTTGGCCCGCCGCTCTTCCTCGCGCTGCTTCTCCGCCTCCTCCCACCGGTTCAGGCTCTTAGCGTTCCTCTTTTCCACGCTGGCAGCCTCGGCCAACCTCTCCTCCTGCGTCATCGGGGGCTTCTTCATGGCGTCCAACTTTTTCTGCTTCTTTTCCATGATGGCCAACTGCTTCAACCTCCTCGCCTCGCGTTCCTTCATTTGCTGGTGTAACTGCTCCTTGCTCATCCGCGTGGTTTGCCTTTGAGACGCTCGAGTCGGCGCATCGGCCAGGGAGGGCAGCCAGCTCGAGCGCTCCGACTTCTTTGGCCGAGGGGCCGGGGCCGGGGCCGGAGCGGCGGTTTGCGAGGGCGCTGGCGATCCCGCGGGCCCAGCCGGTCGAACGCGGACCTTTTTCGAAACTTGGCGGGGATGGCTTCTTGGGCCTTGCGTTTCCGCGCCGCCGTGCGCTTCTCCCTCGCCTGCCTCTCGAGTTCTTTTTCACCCTCAAGATCCTCGCCGGCGTTTTGCTCATCTTCGTCATCGGACGACGAGTCCATATGCACGTCGGAATCGTGGCCCATGTCTTCGAAACCGGCATCATTCTCGTCTTCAGCAAAGAGCAGCTCGAGGTCGGAGTCGGGTTCTTCGTTGGCGAGCATCGATTTCATGCGGTTTCCGGCCGTCGAGCGCTTCGCGCGCCCGGTGGCGAGCCACTCCACACTTTCGCTGGCTTCATTTTCGCTGGGAGAGCTGTCGCTATCGGAACTACTATCGTTTGATAGCGCGGCGCTACCTTCTTCGCGCGGAGCGGTAGCCTCGTGGGGAGGCGCCTGCTCGTCTTCGGCGGACATGGCGGAAGGGGGCTGCGGCGGGATGGCCACTTCGTCTGCCAAAGACCAAAGATTAGGGCCGAATTATCGTTGCAGACCTAGGGCGCATGCTCATGCCAATTGCTGTCGATCTATGAATAGGGCGTCGATAAAAAGGGGGCCCTAAACATTTTTTATTCGAGCTTAGGGAGGTTGCCTCCTCATCGACCAAGACACGCGACGTGACGAACTTGAAATCGGGAATTTTTTAATGGATGACTAAGCACATAGCTCGGAGCGGCGAGAGGGCCGCGTATCTTGCTGCTTGCTTCACTTGACCAGCAAGTGCTTGGAGGCCTTCTCTCCCCACAAGCCCTAGCAAAGACAAGTGCAAAGCCGGCGAGCATTCGTTGGCGAGACGAAATTTTCAGGAATAATATTCATTCCTTATCTAAAAATTTCACTGAAGTTTAAAATACGAATCGATTAACCCCCTGCCTATCGGGCGCCGTGGTTGCTTGGGAGTGGGAATTGGTGTCATCACTGAACTCAGCTGCAAAGACATCGTGCCCCCACCAACCGCCGATGGAGGAACTGCGAGAAGCCATCAGATTTCTGTGGGGTTGAGCTTCACACGCATGAGTGGTGGAATTTACCAGTAGAATTCAGTCAAGGCCGGTTGATAGATTTACATCTATTCGGCCGTATGTTTGGCCAGCGCCCAACTCACGATACCACTCCACCCGTTGTGTTGCCAAAATCCATCAATAGCTATTGACTCCTTTTGAAACTCCCTGGGCGAACTCGCTGTTGGCAGCGAGCTGAAGACATTGGCAGCATCTCTCCAATCACTTGTAGGCCCAGATGATAGAGACTCATAGGTAGCCGCCTCAGCGAAATCCGACCTGACTGGGGTGCAGCATGCATGCTTGGGTCAATCAACGTCAAGGCTGTCCCCGTGCCCGCATCAGATGGAACAAGTAGAGGTCAACTGAATCCACTAAAATCCCGTGAGGTCCACCCCTACTGAAGCTTCGGCTATTCCGTCACCAGGCTCCTGTTTTCCAGCTTCTGCCCGGCCTCTTCGGACGACATGTCTTAAAAACTTCCTCACGGCCTTTCTTTTTTTTTTTTTCTGGCTGTTTATTTGCTATCAATCATAAGAGCACCAGGTTTTTTCTGGGCTCTTTTTATTTTGCCCTTTCCCCCTACTACATTGCTCTGAAAGAAACTTGAGCTCGGTCTTATCCCCTGGCACGGCCTGACTTGTGTTCGGCGTCGACATTAGCATTTGCGCAGGTACATCCAGAGATGTACTAGTTGCCTGAACCGTTGCGCGGATTAGGAAGCAGGCACGCATTTCAAAAGGCGCTGGCTAGTGATCCTCATCGGTAGCTCCCCTGACCGAGCTCGCGGGGTGCCCACCAGTTTCAAGATCTTGCCGCCCTTCATGCCACCACTTCGGCCCTGAACTAAGAACCAGTTCCAACCCCGAACCTCGCCGACGGCATCACGCACATCGAGATCTCGGATTTTTCCCACTCTTCTTCGCCTTTTACCAACACCCATAAGGCTTCAATCCAACCACGTCCCCCCGACCCAAGCTATCCTCCGCTACGTGTAGAGAGGTGCTGCTTGATAGCAGCCTTGAGCACTGAAGCATGTCTTCCAAAACAACTCCAGCAAGCCGACCGGCGCCCCTCCGCTCCATCGCGTCGAGCAAGGACTCTTCGAATGACGGTGCATCATCCGTTGGCCCCCAAAGAGGGCAAATACTTTCCAAAATGGCACCACCGCCCTCGATCAGGCGCGGTCGACTTCTGTTGTCAACCCCGCCGGTGGTCCGCTTGCCTCCCCTGATGCCTTGGAGACGACGGACAATGACGAGCCAGGGAGGACGTCGATAGATATGGGCGAGCTACCCATTGAGCTCGTGAGCCTCACAGATAGGTACGTAATCTATGTTCCTCCGATCACGCTCCCGCGATACTAACGTAGAGTGCTCTCTCCTAGTTTTATCGAGTCGCTCTCCGCCAAAGTGCACCCAACCCCCAAGCATCGACAACCTTTCCCGGCTATTCCAAGATTTCTATGCCGTCGCTTCGACCCATATCAACACCCACATATCCACACTAGCGATGAAGCAATCGAGAGAGGCCTCCCCAGCACCTTCTCGACAGTCAACCACTCAGAGACTTCGTGCCAAGGCAGCTTCCATAGGAAGCAAGGATAGACCGAGAGATCTTCAGCAACAGATGCTCACCCCCGAGGAATTAGCCGAGCGGAAGCGTGCGCGAAGGGCGCTCGAGGTGAAGCGAGGTAGACTCGAGGAGGCCGTGGAACGAAGGCTTTGCGAAGGCATCTATACCCGAATTTACCGACACCGGAGCACCCAGGACGAGGCCCAGGACGATAAACTACGCTCCAAAACAGCGGCCCTTGCCCTTGTGGGCATCAACTTGACCGACTTGGGAATCGAGCTCGGCGACTCGTCGGATGACGGCGAGGGCGGCGACGAGGATTCGAAAACGGAACAGATGAAGGAAGCCCTAGAACCGGCCAGGCAGGAACTAAGCCTCATGAATGAGGCAAAGTACCCGCTAGGGAAACTTAACCACCTCAAGGCGGTCCACAAAGCCATTGTAGACGTTTTGTCGCAGTACCAGCCCTCCGCGTCGGCCGACGAGATCATGCCCATGATCATCTACACCCTCATCACACTCCCGCCCGAGAAGCTCAACGTCATCAGCGACGCTCACTTCATCCAGAATTTCCGGTGGGAACAAAAACTGAATGGCGAGGCCGCTTACTGTCTGACGACCCTCGAGGCAGCTATCGCCTTCCTGGAAACGGTTGATTTGTCTACTCTGCGAGCCGACGAGCTCCCTTCAGGCCCCGCGAAGCTGGTCAGCCAGCCCGGCACGCCCAGGGTCGAGACTTTTCCCCGCGTACGCCCCCGGCTTGTCGGCCGTGAGCGGGAGCAAGGCCGAAGCCACCCTCGCCGACGCGACAGGTGCGCCTGGCACAAAACCCCCGCCGTCGCCCGGCGGGCTCCGGGCCGCCGTGCAGAAGAACAGGAGGCTCAGCGACCTCGTCAACACCCCCGCCCTAGCCATCAACGCCGCCAGCGACTCCATCTTCACCACCGCGGACCAGGGCCTCAAGACCATCTCCAGCTCCCTCGGCGACAGCTACAACTTCTTGCTCGGGAAGCTGCGCGAGCGGCAGCACATTCCCGAGGCCGCCGGCCAGGACCTCGTTGTTGTGCCCAAGACGCTCGATGACGCGCGAAAGCTCGTCAGCACCCCGCCCCGGGCGAGGACGACGGCTCCGTCAGCGGCGCCAGCTCCATCCACGGCCCGGAAGAGAGCCGTTCCCCCGAGAGAGGACAAGGTGCTCAACCTCATTGGCGGCAAGAAGCTGGCCCGGGATCACAGCGCCGACAGCGTCCGCAGTCTGCGTAGCGCGAGCAGCGCTAAAAGCCGTCGTCGTCGGTCGCCGCCGCTGCTCAGGTTGAGGGGATCCCCGAGACCGAGGAGGAGGCAAAGGCGGCGCCGGCGTCGACCCAGCCGCTGCCCAGTCCCTCGGTGAACCCGGCGTTGGTGGAGTCCATGCGGAACTTGGGTAGTTCGCTGAACCCCATCGGGCGGCTTTCGAGCATCGGCATGATTCGAGGCTTTGGTCGGCCCGCTCCTACCCCTCCTCCCAAGGAGACCGCAGCGCCTCCCAAGGTCCCGGCGAACGGCGGTGACCTCGCCACTGTAAGTTATCCCAACATCCGTTGCTTTGCTCTTTTCTTCTACTTCCCCGGGCCCTCGTCGTTGAATATATGTGGCCCTCTCTTCAAGCGTGACAACCTTGCTAATTCTTATCGGTTTTTCTCCCTCGACCCAGGCTTTCCCGGATCTTGCCGCGGCCCTGCCACCCAAAGAAACGCCCAAGATTGCTCCTCCGAACAAGCGCTTCATGGAGCTCCAGAGTCCCGGCGACCTCAAGCTCGGCGAAGTGCTCGACCTGCTGAGGGACTATAGGAGATTGGCAAACGCACTCAAGGATCTCGATGCCTTTGAATCCAAATAACCAAACTCTCTGAAACTCGGTGCCTCCCCCGACGGATGTCGGCTGTTTCCCGGTTTCCTTTTTTTTTTCTCCTACTCGTTGTTGCCTCACCCCCTCCCGCCGACATGGTGGGAATTCTTTTCTGTATAAGTAGCGTGGGAGCTAGGCATTCCTTATCTTTGGTAATCCTCTCTTTCTCCTTTTTTTTTCTGGCTTTTCCAGGCGGCTAGGCTGTTCAGGATCAAGGGCCCAGCATGCCGTGTCAGAAATCTGGACATGGCCGGGTAGACGGCGTTTTCCTCAGAATCTCTATATATCTATATATACTTCGTAATTCTACCTCTTGATTACCTCCCCAGAGGTTCTTGACACCCTTCCTTTCCGTCACCTCCCTGTGTTCTGTTTTTCTTTCAATTCACCGTTGAGCAACAGGGCAAGAAAAGACCTGGGGAGAGCCAAAGATAACTTTCAATTTAACACCTAACTATGCAATTTATCTATTTCCTAGGCGAGACAGTCCCCGTACTCTCCTCGGTTTGTATTCCTTTTTCTCCCGATCCAGCCTGAGAAGAAAGTAGTAGAGAGAAGAAGAAAAAAAAAGAGGGTTAACCCAGGATACAAAGGACAAAAGGGAGAGAGTTCCCCTCGTCCATAGTCCCTCCCAAGAATATCTTTCGATGAGTACGCCGACGAAACAAAGCACCTATGGGCTGGCTAGTTGTTCCAAAACCCATTTTCCTTGACCCAAAGCAGAGGACCACTTTCCTCGGCCCCCTTGAGGAAAGGGAATCAAAAAAATACGAGATAGATTAAATGGAGAGAGTTGTGGAAAAGAAAGGCGGACGGAGGGTATACGTGCGACCTTTTGATCGAGAAGAAGAAGAAGAAGAAGAAGAGTAATAAGAGTCGAAGGAGGAAGAAGTAAAGGTAGTCGCGAAGCGCGGCTATGTAGGCATCAAGCTTTTACCAGTCCGTAATAAGACAACAAATCGCGAGAGAGGGTCTTTTTGGCAAGCTACCTAGTGAAGACCGTTCAGGTTGCCGTTCGGACGCTTTCCCGCTGTTGGGGAGGATGCGTCCGAGCCGTCCGAGAGGAGTTTCTCCATAAAGGAGACGTAGTCAAATTGCGGCATACCCCGATCGGTCGCAAGGTCGGGGCCTTGGTGCTTGGGGAAGAACTCGGCGAGCTTGTCAATGACTTCGTCCGGCACAAGACTGTGCCGCAGGTCCATTTCCGTGACGTAGGGCTTCCCGTCGGCGACCTCGCGGAAGGACTGGAAGACCTGCTCGGCCGTGTTCTGATCCTCGGTCACGTCCACCATGAAGCGGATGAACTGCTCAAAGGTCACGTAGTCGCGGCCCTTGGAGGTGTCCAGGAAGTAGTCGTGCATCTCGTCCTCGGAGAATACGAGGCCGAGCGACGCCAGCGCGGCGCTAAACTCGAGCTCGTGCAGCGAGTTGGTGTCGTTGCGGTCAAAGTGACGGAACACGCTCTCAAACTCCTCGAGCTGGATGGGCGTCAGGTTGGTCATGTTCCGCGCTACGATTTGGTTCTCGAGGAAGACAAGCTTCTTCTGCACAGACGACTGCACGAGCGATAGCTCGTAGCAGAGTTCATCGTAGGTATACGTTGTGAAGTCGTTCTCCTCAATGTTCGCCTCCTGGCACTTCTCGTCCACCGCAGCAATGGTGCTGAGGTAACTGTCGAGAGGCGGGAGGTTTTCGCTGAGCTTCCTAACGTGGTGCAGCTGATCTTCCACATCACCCTCCAGGCCAGAGATGGCTAGTTGCATGGTGTTGAGCGCCATGGCGAAGTCATTGGCCTTGTCTGCAAACGACTTCCGTAGAGCATTCTTGATACTAGGGTGGTCTATTAGCGGGCGGCGCCAACGAAAAAAATGAAAAATAGGAAATACTTACTCTCGAATCGTCTCGTTGATGAGCTGCGCCCTAGCCATCTCCGTCTTTGACAGGTTAATCCACTCCTGCTCCATGACTTCGAGGCGCAGCTCCGCGGGAGGCTCGTACGGCCGAAGCCTGTAGGTTCCTAGTTTGGTCTTGATGTTGCCCAGCAGCGTTGCTAGCTCGCTCTTCTCCGCTACCCACTCCCTCTTCCTGCCCCTCTTGTAGGCGGCAAAGTCCGCCGCCTGCGCCTTCGCGTCGGTATAAGTGCCCTCAAACTTGGCCTGTTGCCACTGCGCGACCTGGCCGCGGATGGCGAGTAGGAGCTCGGCCATCCTCCTCTCGAAGGCGCTCTGCATCTCCCAGGCGCCCTGCATATTGAGGACAAACTTCTCGACACGCCTTCCGGCGTTCTCCACCTTTCCATCTGCGAGAAAGCATGGAACCAGTAGGCGATGTAAGTCATCAGACTTCGCTCGTCGGGCTTAGCAACGTCGCAGACATCTTCCACATCGAGGAGCTTAGGGATGCCGATTTCCTTGTGCGCGAGGTCAAAGGCAAGCTGCATGTTTCCCCTGTGGTCCGACTTGTCGAGGGCATCATAGTCGATAAGATCAGGGCGGTGGATGTCGAGGAGAGCGCAGAATGCCAGTCCGTCATTCCAGCTCGCACTGAAGTCGCGCACCTCTACCTCGTCATAGCAGGCAGTCTTCCTCTGGCACCAGAGAAGCAGACCCTCCTTTGCCGTCATACCCTCCTCGTTAATATCGCTAATGGTGAACCGGGAGATGAGAATCCAGATGAGACCAAGGATAATCTTTTGGTTTCCGTCGACGACATCTTCGGCACCGATGTTGGTCATCTGGATGCCCCTAGACTTGACAAAGTTGAGGGCCAAATTGGCATTCTCGAACCTTTGTACACGGAGCTTGGGCTTCGCCGCATAGCGTCCGAGGCTCTCATTCGAGAGACACTCGAGCAAGTGTATAAGTAGGACCTAGCAGTGGGAGGACAAAGAAGAATCAGCGGGCCGCTAGTTAAGACAAGTCATGATGCCAAATGCCATTCAGCCCCCAAAAGGGGAGGGTCTTGGGCGATCCATGTCAAACTTACACCATCGCTAAGATCTGTGACGAGGTCGTTTATTCCTAGTTCCCTCGCTTCAAGCTTGGTATTGACCCTATGAAATAGAGAAGAGTAAAGTTAGAAAAGATCAATTTTGAGTTCGATGCTCCAGATTTTAGCTAGACTTGGGAAGGGTGGGAAAATGGTGCATGCACGTATGGTCGGTGAGGGGACCCAGGCAAGGGGAAAGGGGGAGGTGTGTAGGTTTTGGAGTTATCAGGCACCTACCATTTCGTAAACGTCTTTTGCTGGACTTTAATCCACCTCTGTTGCTCCTCAAAAGCCATTCTGGTCAGCCCCTGCTCGTGAGCGGGCTCGACGGCAGCCAAAGGATCGACGTGGCCGGCAGCGGAGCTGAGGAACCTCCGTCGCTTAGATGGAGTGGCTTCCTTGTCCTTGGCGGCAGCTTGCTTGTCTCGGTGGCTCCCGGAGCGCTGGACTCTGGCGGCGTTGAGCTCCTGCTTCGTTCTTCGACTCCTATTGATAGGGGTAGTTGGGGAGGCGAAAGTGGGTGCGGAATAGAGCTCGGGCGATCCTTTTGCGACGAAGTCGGGGTGGAAGTCGGCGAGGAAGAATAATCGTACGTCGGGGCGGGCGAGGCAGCTCTTGTGGAATTGTCAGAAGCGGCGATGGATGCCTCGGAGGGAGCAAAGCTAATGATGGATGAGGTTCGCAGAGCCCGGACGGCAGCAGGGTCGTGAACGGCGTTTGGTAGAGCGGGGTGAATTGGGGAGATGGGGACAAATTGGTGATGATAATGTTGGTCATTTACCAGATGCGGGTGGGAGTGGGCGGTAGGGTCGTAATAGTGGTGGTCGATGTCATTGTCGACGACGACTGGTTCTCGATGTAAACATAGGTCGGGGAATTTCTCCTTCTCGGCAGCGTTGCCAGGGAGGTCGAGGGGTTGCACCGGCCCGGCAGGATGCCCTGTTGAGGGCTCCATGTGAAAGGATGCAGCCGTGTCTAGCGGGGCATTTAGCGCTAGGTGCACCTCCGAGAAGTGCTGGTGGGAATCCATTTGGTTCTAATGTGATGTGGCCCGGGGGTTCAGTATGGCTAATGAGCAAGCACAGGCCCTGTTTTCCAAAGTGCCCAACGACGATGCGTGCCAGTGCCGTTGCCAAGTGCGAGACTGGCCCACCAGTCAGCGCAGGCGATTTGTCTCGCTTGTGGGTGGTTGCAGCTGGCGTCTTCAATCTATTTGAAGTGGGCCGGCAATTACCCCGTGCAGCCAGTCAAAGGGACCCAAGTCAACGGTGCCGTCCTTATCGATAAACAGTCGGAAATGATTTCCCCAAGGGCCGCTGGCTTGCAGTGGAATGCGCGTCGTATTAGTGCGAGGGGAGTCCGCAGGCTTGGACGATGATGGGACGAAGGGCGCGAAAGAGGCTCAGATTGATGTTGACCTCACCTAGCCGATATACCCTCGAGGTAAGTAGGGGATTCGAAGTATTTCAACGATTTTTCTTCGTCAGTGACTAAAGAAGAGCTCAGGGGAGCGGGAAAGGGTGTCAAAAACACGGAATATAATGTGGCAGATCCAAGGGTTTATACCAACTTTTGCGAGTGGCCTTTCCCCCCTCCCTCTCTTGCCTGATCCGCATCGTCTCAACTCTTGAACAATGACAGCCCCCTCCTCAAAGCCAAAGGACCAAAGTATTCGTGGATCTGGATCTCGTGAGGGTATGCCTCCGCCTGGATGTCCACGTCGCCCCCCTTCTGCCCTTTTGTGTGTGGTTTCCAAAGGGGCTGCAACTGGCGCCGTTCCGGAAAGGTGGTGGCGATCCAAATCCTGAAACGCTTTTTCCTAGCCACCCCACCTATCGCGAGGCTCAGTGGAGCTTCCTCCATTATGCAACCCATTTAACCTCTTTACCCCGTGGATCTTGGGGGATACGGAGTGGTTCGGTCAATTGCTTAGACTAGTTCAGGGAGAATTTTGGCTGCAAGTTTGGGTGACAGGCCTTGTTACAAATTGCGAAAAAGGGCCCAGAGACAAGTCGGCCTGCAGGAGCGATAGCGGGAATGGGGCAAGCAAACGACATCAATCGCCCAAGGGCGTCAATCGAGGGTTCTCGTCCGCTCACGAGAGAGGAAACGGCGGGCTTGGAATTTCAAGTCGCAAGCAAGGCGGGGAAGATGGTCCAATCCATGAACAATGCCCGACCCAGGCGGTTCCTATCTTATGCGAGACATCTACTTTTAGCAAGGATTGGCTAGACCCTTAGCATCCCCCGACGAGACCAGGACAACATGGAAGGGCGAGGTAATAATAGCAAGCCTTTAAGAGGCTTGAAGTGAGCAGGTTGGAAGGATGTCTGAAACCCAAGAAACCCGCGGGGAAGGAAGGCCCAATTGGCATTGAACGCACAGATACGGCCTTGGTGGACATCGCCTCGATCCCGACTCTGACGGGGCTTTCGAAGCCGCGCGCCGCGCTCCTCTCTTGGGTGGATGCTCTTCCCTTTCCCCTTCCCCCGCGACAGCAGCTGTGGGTTTTTGTGAAGCCTGGGAAATGGACCCATGGTACGATTCTCGGATCTGACCCCCTTCCAAAAAGATGGGGATCGTCGCTGGCCTCTGCGGAAGATGAGCTCTCCTGGCTGGTCATGGTCATTTCTCTCGGACGGACCTGCAGCTCCATGTACTATCATCCACCCAAGGGGTGCGGCATCTCCAACTTCAGACGAATTTAGCCATCCTCGACAAGTGTAAATCACTGTTTCGCAGACAAACCGCTTCCTCGAGGGAAGAAGGTGGCCGGAGACTGCCACGGACTCGGGGGCTTCCTGGAAATCTATTGCGCCACTGTGGAGCCTTCCCGGGCAAGGCGATGCTTCATGCGCGCGGGACAGGATCGCGAATTGTATTTGTGAGACTTTGGTTTGGGCAAGGTCTTGAACGAGTCTATACGTTGGAAAAAGTTTCGAAGGTGCAAGGGAATGAACAGTATTAGGAAAGTTCTTTAGAATGCCCAGCCTGTCAACAAAGCCTTTGACAGTCACTAGCATAACCCAAAAAAATCCGCCCCTGAGTCGGACGATAAGCCTCCAACAATGCGTACTTGTCTTGCGTACATCGGCAAGCAGAGGAAGTAGACAACAAGCAAGACTCGGCGTTTCAAACCCAACTTTCGGCCTTTTTTCAGGACTGACTTGGTTGGGCTGGGTACCGCTGACTGTCGCCAATTGAAGAGCACAGGAGGTGAGGTGCCAGGCTAAACGCAGCTTCGGTATTGTTAGCCCCGGACTGCGGCGATTAGGCGGGGAGAAAAATACACGAGAGATGAAGAATTGAGTTTTTGAAGACCGCCGCTACGGGTTTTCACATACCTTCAAGTTGTTAGTGAGCCACTTGTGCTTGTACTGATGTACTGAAGGCAAAGCTGCGCTCGGTGGGGCTTCGGTGAGGAACAATCGAGGGGCAGCGGACTTAATCGGCAGCCAATCCCGAGCCAGCTTTTTCGCGCAACACGCAATTTTTTGTCTTTTAAAAGTCACGACGACCTTGATATCGACAGCCTTCCCCTTGGCTCTTGTGATCTCCATCAATCAGCCTTGTCCCCATCACAATTGGAGAGTAGATCCCCGGCAACGTGGCCCTTTTTTGTGAGCGGGGGCCCGATCAGCGATATTCCCCGTTTCCCAGTCTACCCTCTTCCGTTGCGCTCTCTCTCCCCAACAGTTTTTTTTTCAAAAGAACAACGTCATGGCTTCTCGATCGAGGTTCTTGCCGCTAGTCCAATCGGCGCGGCGGTCAACCGCACACCACGTCCCCGCGCAGCCCAGGCCGCTGCCGCTCCTCGGCTCGCCATGAAATCTCTTCCTGTCTCAGGATGGCCCGCTCGGGTGCGCGGCGGCACCTGAGCTCCACGCCTGTCCGATCTGCCGGTGGTGTCGTGAGGCTCACCTCGGAAGCCTATCCCAACATTGTCCGGGACGAGCGCTTCGCCCAAGTGACGGCCGAAGACGTAGCTTTCTTCAAGGACGTTCTCGGGAGCGACTCCGCCCTCATCGACGGCGTCACGTCGGAGGCGGCCGATATCGCCGACGATATCGCGCCCTTTAACGAGGACTGGATGCGCAAGTATCGCGGACAGGGTCGCCTCGTGCTGAAGCCCCAGACGACCGAGCAGGTCAGCCGCATCCTCGCGTACTGCAACGACAAGAAGCTAGCGGTCGTGCCGCAGGGGGCAACACGGGCCTCGTCGGTGGTTCCGTCCCCGTCTTCGACGAGATCGTGCTGAACCTGAGCCGCATGAACAACGTCATCTCCTTTGACGAGGTGAGCGGCGTCCTCGTCATCGACGCCGGCGTCATCCTCGAGGTCGCGGACCAGTACCTCGCCGAGCGAGGCCACATCTTCCCTCTGGATCTGGGCGCCAAGGGTTCCTGCCAGGTCGGTGGTAACCTTGCTACCAACGCCGGTGGTCTTCGCCTCTTGCGCTACGGCAACCTGCACGGCACGGTCCTTGGCATCGAGGCCGTACTTCCGGATGGCACTGTCGTGGACGAGCTATCGACCCTTCGCAAGAACAACACGGGCTACGATCTCAAGCAGCTCTTCATCGGGGCCGAAGGTACCATTGGAGTCATCACCAAGGTCGCTATCCAGTGCCCTCAACGGCCCAAGGCCGTCAACGTTGCCTTTTTCGGGTTGGAATCTTTCAAGCACGCTCGCCTCGCGTTCCGGGAGGCCAAGTCCCAGCTCTCCGAGATCCTGTCGGCCTTTGAGCTCATGGACGCAACGAGCCAGAATATCGTACAACACGTCACGGGCTATACCAGACCCCTCGACGGCGACTACCCGTTCTACTGCCTCGTCGAGACGAGCGGCTCCAACGGCGAACACGACTACGCCAAGCTCGAGGCCTTCCTCGAAGACGTCATGAGCAAGGAGATTGTGCTGGACGGCGTCGTGGCCCAGGACGAGACCCAGGCGCAGACCCTTTGGAAGTGGCGCGAAGGTGTCCCCGAGGCGCTGGGCCACGTCGGCGGCGTGTACAAGTACGACGTTTCCATCCCGCTCGAGGAAATGTACCAGCTCGTGGAAGACACCAAGGCGAGGATCCAAGAGGCCGGTCTTCTCAACGAGGATCTTGCCGATACCGCCTCGGCCGCTGAGCACCCCGTCTCCGCTGTGGTGGGCTACGGCCACATGGGAGATTCCAACCTTCACCTCAACGTTTCTACGAGGGTCTACGACAAGCGCGTTGAGAAAATCCTCGAACCCTTTGTGTACGAGTGGATCCAGAAGCGCAAGGGCAGCATCAGCGCCGAGCATGGCCTCGGCGTTGCGAAGAAGGCCTTTATCGGCTATAGCCGCAGCGATACCATGGTGAAGTTGATGAAGCAAATCAAGGACCTCTATGACCCGGTATGCTTACCCTGCCACCCTTTTCTCTCTTTTCTTTTTTTTTTGTGTCTTTCTTACCCCACGTTTTCGTGTTCAGAACGTCATCCTGCATCTTGGAGACTGGAGACCTGTGCTAACTAGCGGTTATGCAGAACGGCATCATGAACCCGTACAAATACATATAGATTAAGCTTTTCATCGGGCTCCGAGTGCTTGGTTTGGCCACTCGTAGAAAATTGAACCCCATCACCAGCCTCACCTCCAGCGGGGTAGCGAGTGTGCTAAACCGGCTTGATATTGGTGAATTACCCCTACAAACGGTTAGCACATGTTCTCCCAGTGTGGTGGGAGCGACTGAATTGGCCTCAATTCGCGATGGATGTCTCAATGCCCCCGGCCAAGGAGCATCGATCTCGCCCCTCGGCTCCTTAGGGCAACGCACAACATGAGGAATGTTGGTGGGGATTGAGGACAGGAAATACGGGGACTATCCACTGTTTGGACCTTTCAAGATTCCAGCTTGTTTTCTTGGGGTGGAGACTTCTTGTCTTTGCATTTCCGCTCGTTTCTCTCGCATTTCCGCTTTGCCCGCTTCCCCAACCTGCCCGTGTTTCTATCGTCCTTTGCATCACTTGTTTTAAGCATCTAGAACCATTATACCTCCCAGCAATCGAAAGCTTAGCCCCGTATCTATGGCGGGTCGTCTGTACATAGCGGAGTCAATGGGGGTGTTAGCAACACTGTCAAATAACGCCGAGAATAAAAAGATTTAAAATAAATAAAATAAAATAAAAAAGCAAACCAGGCCGAGCTAGCCAACGGGTCCCCCTTGGAGCCGCTTCTATCGTGCTTCTTCCAGACTTCTTTCGCCACCCGATCTAATAGGGCCCTTTCAATTTTCTGGCAGCCAGCCCATCCACCCCCATCCACCCCGCCCCTCAACGCGATGCGACGTTTATGGAGCAGAGTACGCGTACCATCACTCGCATTCCTTGCCAGATAAGAAATACCCTCGCCCTAAATGGATAGCCACCTGGGAATCCCGAATCAGGCTTGACAAGGGTTGCAAAAGACATGTTGGCGGATCATGATCGGTTGGTTCAATGTGCCTACCGTGCACAGGACAATTGAACTTACATGGTCCGACTGTCAGCTTCTCTATGCTGGTTTCAGCAGAAGACGGTGGCGCACTTGATTGTTCTGTGAATGTTCTTCAATGCATGTCCAGGCTGTGACCGTGGAAAAGACAAGAGAGAGAGAGAGAGAGAAAAAAGGAAAGAAGAGAGGAGGGGGAAAATAATAATAATCGCTTTCGCATGGTGGCGGGATACCCGACAGCCTGGTTAAACAGTCACATCTCACCTCCGCTTTACAGTAGCGCAGCGAGGACCCTCGTGCTCCGGGGCCCATCGTGCACTCGTGCACTCATGCACAGCAGCCAACCCAACGTATTGCATGGATCTATGGATCGATGGATGGACGGATTCAAGTATGAAGGAGCGTGGTGCATCGCGTTCGAATAGCTTCCACAAGTGGCCTAGCAGGTGGGGCGGATCTGATCAACCCCTTGCTACTGTTACTTGGGCAAGGACGGGGCAAGGAAGGACCAGGCCAGATTTTCCTTGCCACCATCGAAGATTGCAACTCGATGGGAGAAAGGGAGAGGGAGCTTATTCATCCTTCCGGGTGTCCAGGCGGGAGTGCAACATGGATCCTCAACGGGCATCGGTGACCTGGCCTCCTTTTTTCTTTTCTCTTTTTTTCTTCTCTTCCATGCCGTTGGTGATTTCATGAGTTGTGATAGTATATTGTCGTGGAATTTGCCAGAGAGTCGACATTGACGGGATCGGTGCGCTGGTTGGTCGGAAGCATCCTCAAACAATGCCCCGCTCCGCGGTTGCCAACTGCAATGTAATGGCGCACCAACGACTATCTAACAAACTATTGGGTTGACTGGTCAGCCTTATTTCCCGCCCGCTTTCTCAAAACGGACGCTCAGCTGGCTCTAGCATGCGTGGCTCACGGCCGAAGAAGCAAATCGGGGCGGGGAGCTGAAGGTACATCATTCCACCCGATCCCAATCGTACGCTCTGGTGGCTTTGAGGGGCCCGGGAAAGCTACCCAGCTATTGATTCAGTTTCTCGATGCTTCAATCCACCCATGGAAGCTCGGGTCAGCCCAATTATTAAATACAGATCGAATAAAGAGCATAGATTTCATTTACTCCATCCACGCGATGCGCACTACACTCGTCAGTCGTCCCCACCCGGGTTCCCGGTCTACCTCGACCCCAACTTCGACTTCGACTTTAGGATGAGCCGAACCATCCATCCATCAATGGCTGGCCCATTGGGGCCTGGCCGTGGCCGTGGTCGTGGTGGTCGTGGCGGGCCCCCTCCCCTTGTCTGTCCCCCCTCCACACTTCCTTGTGCTCCTCCCCCACCTCCCCGGAGCATCTCTTCAGGCAGCTCGACCTGGGCTCCGTCACCCGTGGCATTCAGGCCCGCTGTGGATTGGAAAGGAATTGAGTAATCCAGTGCATTGGAGGTCTCGGGTCAATAGCCTGCTCCACTGCGGGCTTGGGTTGACATTTAAAGTAGTCAAACGTTAGCTGGAATGTCGTTTACGGATAATATTGATAATAGTTCAACGTGCTAGCCAAGCACGCTACTTACCGAGTTGGGCGACTTGCTCACCACCGGACAGTTTTTTCCCTTTCCTTACACCCCAACTAATACACCAGACACTACTCGTGCAAAGGAGAACCCTGAGAGAGCTCTGGGCACTTCAAGTTGAGCTGAGTGGGGCAGACCCATCTGCAGTCTGCAGTCGCCCCAGGACGAGCGCGGTTTACCCCTTCACATCTTGGGTTTCTTTCCTCTTCTTCTTTTTTTTTTTCTTTTTTTTTTTTTGGTTCCTCCTTGTTATTCTTTTTCTCTCCCTCACTCCACCACCTTCCTTTGGTATTCCCCGCCTCTCCAAGTACTTGTATGGGGCCCAAACTGATGAAATGGGGCCGAACAAGGTTGACTGACTCGCACTCGGGAGGACATTTCCACATTTCCCCCGGTTCCAACAGCCCACATTCTGGGATAGATCTCCCTCTCAAGCCCGGGGGCCCTCATCCACCATCTTGGCCCTGGGCTAGTGGGAGGGGCAGGCAGCCCTCTGTAGATATTTGAGTGTGGATGCTAAAGGTTATCCATCGTCCTAGGGGAGCCACTCACCACACGGGTTTGTTCCACTTTGGGTCTTAGTCTGCTCTTCATTGCTGTTTCCTCCTTCTTTTTTTTTTCCCGCGCCCGCTCAGGCTTCTTCGTGGATGGCTTCGGATATTGGTGCATGGGGGCGCTCCTTCCTCCCCTATCGTCTTTTCCTTGCATCAATTGGGACTACTTTGGCTTGTACTGGGAGGTTGTGGAAAAGCTTGGCACGCTCACCCCACTTAAAACTTGAAAGAACGTAACTTCGTACCTCGCCGAGCCCCGATAGTTCCAAGGGTCGTCTCCGTCCTGTTCTTTCCTTCCTTTTTCTCTGCCGAGAATGTGAGAAAAGGATGGCCACACTTTCAACGGGTTGCAAGGCTCCATCAACAGAGTAACAGAGTCGATCCCAATGCATTATGTCCACCTACCACCAACCCACCAACCGGATTGTCGAAGCACCCTGTTCATTTCCAATTGTAATTTAAGCTTCCTCGCGTGTTGCTACCAGCCAGCACGAACGAAGGAAAATCGCTCGACTTCATTCGAATATTGTGTCTATGGATCTGTTAAGAACAGGCATGCGGAAGCAAGGAAGAAGGAAAAAAGCATTGACAACGTTCGAGGGAACACGCCATCCGGCTCGATGGAGCTGGAGGCCTTATTTTGGATTTCTTCTTTTTCCAACCGTGTCGTGTAATAGAATACAAGTACAATGGATCCAATGAATCCATCCATAGGTGTAGTAATAATAGTGTGCCACTTTGATGTGGTGTTGTCACCCAACCCTGCCGGGCCCCTAAACCCAACGGCTCAACAACGGCGTATGGATACCAAGGCTTGTTTCTCCCTGTTCTCGATGAGCTAGGGCTCCTTTCTTCTTCCTCTGCGCAACCCCTTCCCCTTCCATGTCAAAGCTGGCTAGCCTGGTCGGAATCCCCACGTGCGCCTGTAAGCCCCGGCGGTATTCAACCCCCATGTTTCCAAGAGTACCTCGACATGACGAGTCCGCTCCACGTTGGCAGCCCCGTTAGCCTCTGCGCTAACAGCTGAGGTGGCATGAAATAAGGGGGCGAGAGAGAGAGAATCCATCCCTCATTCGACGGAATCGGCAAATGCGAATGAAATGTCCTCGAGTCTACGGGGCCCCCAGGCGCGGTATGACATGGACATATCGCAGGTCTGAGGTCACTCTGTCCTGGCTTCCTGTCCCGGCTTCCTGTCCCAAGCTCCGCGGTGCAGTGGTGCTTCTCCCCTTTGTGTGGTGATCGTTTCTATCAAGTCCCCTCAAAGAGAGGAAAGGGGAAATCGAGGTGACTTCATCGACGCAAATGGCTTTTGATTCTTGGAAGACAACAGCGGCGATCGTCGTCTTGCGCTTGGTTGACACTGCCGCCAAAGCAGGCTTTCTCCCCCGCGTTGCCTGCCGTCTCTTGTTCCAACCAACAACCAACCTTTCCAAGCCCTGGGCGAACGCACTTACACATGGATCAATATTTTTCTTCCCTTCTCTTTTCTCAGCACGTTCAGCCCTCGTCGCTTTTCTCGCTCCCGCCCTTCCCACTCCCCCCTCCCCTCCTCCTCCCTCCGTCCCCTCCTCTTCAGTCTAAGCTAGGCGTCCGAACCTGGTCCTTCTTTGCACCGGCTCAGTGCCCACCAGCCACTATATGGACACACCGCCGCAACCTGTTGATCGACATTCCCCAAGCAGTCAAATTGCCGATGAGGCTAGCCTAGAAGGAACACAGAAAATCGACTCAAGCTCGGGCTCTTTGCTTCCAAAGCTGTAGTGTAGCCGGACACCACCCTCTAGCTTCTTCCCACCCCCTCCACACACACACCCACCTCTCCACCCCCTTCCTCGTCCCTTCTTTCCCCTTCTCTGCACCCGTCTGTTGCTCTCTCAAAAGCCTTATTTTGCTCCGAGGCTGTCTAGCCATGGACCGCAAGCCATCCGTCCCCGCTAGCCTAGATCTGGTCATATTCCCACTTCACCGAGTATACAAGTTCCTCAGTAGCCTCACAACGAGAGCAAAGAGAAAATAAGGGGGTAGGGGGAAAAAAAAAAAAAATCGATGAAACGCCTTATTCTTCTCTTTTACCTTCTCCGGCGCCGCACCCCTCCCGTGTCCATCTCCCGCTTGATCATGGCTTGACGCCTCGTTCAATAACAAAAAACATATGTACCTCCCAGAGCTCGCCCAACTTGCGAATCGGCGTGTGCTTGATGTCCTGGAACTGGTAGGGCTGCAGTGGCTGGTCCTCCCTAACCTGAGTGTCAAGGGCAGAGGAGTGGGGGCGGGCTTGAGCGAGGGAGAACAGAGGGGGTGCGGTTTCTCTCCTTCTCTCTCTCTTCTTCTGGCCCTCTATTAGCTCTCTACGCCTTCTTCCGTTATTGACCTCCTCTCCTCCTTTTTCACTCCCCATCCCATCACATTTATTGGTTCCATCAAAAAATGGTACACTGTTACATGGCTTCCTCTTGCCGGCCTACCCCGTCCAAGGACCGTTTAGCCCTCCTTGACCTCCTCACCTTCGGGAGAGGAGGGGTTGAGGAGCCCTTTTTCGATTCGAGTCCTCCAGCCTGTAATACGCCAACATCCCTAGGTTTTCGAACACCCGCCCCGTTATGATGGGGTGTACATTTCTAATAGCTTGAGGACCGACCGAACCCCAGCTCATAGACGGGCTGATCTGTATTCCTTGCCCGTTCCAGTTCCCCCATTTGCCAAACATTGAATCCAGAGTTCGCCCCAAGCCCGGGACCTAAAACCTCGCTTGCGAGCCTGCCCATTGTAGTTCGATCCCGCATCGTTACTCTTATTACCTCGTAAAAGTTGACACTAAACTTGTTCAACTCCCATCCTCAATCTACCCGCACGCTCACGCACGCACACACACACACACATACACACGTCCGTCCTCATATTACATCTAGACACATATTCAGACAACACACATACGTAGGCGCGCAAAAACCACACCCACACGCCCCTTTTCTCCTTCTTTTCTTCCATATCTGCTTCCATCCTCGCCTTGAGACGCCCCGTCCCTAGACCCCGGACCCTTCTTTCATTACTGGCGAATCCGCGTTGCCGTCCGCTCCGGAACCCGAGTATATATCCTTCCCCTCCCCCTTTGCCTTTTTCGGAACAAGCCTAGCATCCAAGACAATGGTACATGATCTCTGCTTTCATTGCCTGTGACAAGAAACCGATATTGAACTTTCTTCTTCTTCATCAACGTCTGTCGGAGGCTTTCTCCATACCCTTCCTTAGTTTAACAGTTGACGAGTCTCCCCAACACTCGAAGCCATGGTTGGAGTGCCCGGAAAATACAAGGGCTGCGAGACGTGCAGGCGGAGGAGAGTCAAGGTAAGGTGACCTCATCTATTGCCGCCTCCCTAGCCTCCCTAGCAACATCCCTTTGTTCAGGTTCCGCAAGCCTGATAAAGAGAGCTGAGGGGAACTGCTAGCCCTTGGTTTCATCATGGGAAACGGCCGGTGCAGGAAAATGGGTTTTTTTCGTTTGTGGGGCTAACCATCGTGGGAACCAACTCTAGTGCGACAATGCGAGGCCATTCTGTCGTAAATGCGTTGACAACGGACGAGAGTGCGAGGGCTACGAGAGGCAGATGGTGTTCATCACGGCTACCCTCGAGGACGGCGGTCGTTGCTCCTCACACCCGCCTCGGCAAGTCGGCAGCTCTGGGAAGAAGGCCAAATCTCAGTCACCACCAGGAGAGGAGAGGCCACAGTTCTTTGCCGAACACCCACTGAGGCCATCGTGGACGGACCTAATTACCCTGTCGAGGGCTGGGGCGTCTCAGCTTTTTCAGATCGTGGCCGTCAACACGGGGCTGCAGGGTGTCTTTGAAGATGGCAGCGGAAAAGAGAACTTCAGCTTGGAGGCGCCGGCTTACTCACTCCCGGACTTTCCGTTTTATGCGTCAGGTGGCGAGCTAGACATCAAGGGAAGGTGCGTTGTACACCTTCCCTCTGATCTGGAGAGGGATCGGGGGCCCGGCAACTTGTGCATGTATCTTTACGAGGTGCGTTCGTTTGCTTTATCGTGTCGTTTAAGCAATGGCAACCCTGTAAGCACCACCTGTTTAGTTCACTAACATGATGGGGACCCGTAGTTCGGTTCAGCGCCTCTCTCCCCTGCGAGCGCCAACCGGTGGCCTTCGACAGCAGACCAGACCAGCGGCATCAAAAGGCGAGGTCCACAGAGCTTCATGTCATTTCCGGCTCACCATTTCTTCTCGCGGATATACCGACCATGCGCTGTAAGTGTGTCTTGATATTCCCGGGCTCCTCTCGAGGAATGGGGTAGAATAAGGCGATGCAAAAGGAGAAAGCTAGAAATGCTAACATCCGGCCTACTCCAAAACTTGTAGATCAGCGCGGCTTTGCTGAGCAGGAACGAGACCTTTTAGCTACCCCCGAGTGGATGACGGTCCCCTGGGAACACCACGAAAAGTCTAGTCTGGATAGGCTCTTTGATATTCTCGCCCTCGTCCCCTCGATACTCGCGCGAAGCGACATCATCCTCTCCGAGCCCTTTACTCAAATACGGCAACATCGGGTGCAAGATCTACTCGCTCACTGTCTGCAGGTCGAACACCAACTCGACGAGTGGTATGCCGCGGTGACGATGACGGCCACGGGCCCGAGCTGGTGGCATGAGGAACACGACATGCAGATGCAGATCCCCTTTATAGGGAGCTTCGCTTTCATCGACGGCTTTTCCTCCATCATGTTCATCTACTACTGGATGGGCCTCCTCGTTTTCCACCGCTGTATCGAGACCCTCCGCCTCAACCTCTACCACAATGTTTACCCACCGGCGTATGGTCATGCGGGCCTACCTCAACCCAACCTCGCCGTGGACGAGTACAAATACCAACAAGGGAGGGACTTGGCCGGCAAGATTTGCCAGTCCCTGGACTTTGCCCTGAATCGGACATTGCAGCCTGATCTCCTCATGGCGCCGTGGTGGGTTGCGCAAAACTTTTATACGCAGCTGAGTGCCGCCACGGGTGACGGAACTCTGGAGCATATTTGGTGTGAAACTTTCAAGGAACGGCTTATTGAGAGGGGTCAGTACCTGACGGATCTAGTCCAAGGAAGGAGGTGGATGGACATTGGCAGGTTTTAACGCCGCTTTTGGCTGGTTTGACCAGTTCCGCGACTGATTTTTTTATCCCTACCACCCTCCTGCGTTTTTGCTTCTTATCATCCTCATCGTTGTTGCTGTTGGTCTTTTTGTTGTTCTTTTTCTCGTTCTTCTCCCCTTCGACTTCTTCTTCTTCTTTTTCTATTCTTATCTTTATTTTCATCTTTTGGATTCTGGCCTTTTCCCTAGATGGGTGCAGGTCTTGTTGCTGGAATGGGCTGGTATGGCGAATTGGACTCAATAACTTGGGCATTTTGAGCTTGGGAAATAGCATCACGTACGCATATAAAACGTGGGTTAGGTAGCATGGCATGAATCATGACATACAGAAAAAGCTCAATGGTTTTATACAAGTATTCGAACAGAAATCTTCACCACTGAAAAGGAATATGACTGTCATTTTCCCGAATCTCGTAGAACACGAACCGGTTGTTGGCCTTTGGTGACTATGCTCGGCAAGGTGGCTCCTGAGCTGCGATACTATGCCATTTCTCTATTTAATCCCGAGCCATATTCCCGTATTATTTCAAAGATCGCTCTCGTCTTCTTCAGAGAGGATATTGGCCTCGTCGAGATGGGTAGAGAACCACGGATGTTAGTGTGCAGTTATTTAGCCGATAAATTACCGCGACACGCAACTGGCCCGCCCCTTTGGCGCGGGAGCTTCAGCCTTCCCAGGAGCTTCGTCAGAGCTGGTAGCCTGAATATTCCCAAGTTATCCGCAACCCGACCTTCAACCACCCTGCAATCGAATTTCGGATTCGAGAGAAATCCCAATCACCATCTCGAAGACGAAAGAGATATCAAATAATATTTACCCCTAAAAACCCTCCTCTTGTTTGCACAGTCCAACATGGCTTCCTCCTACGATAGAGCGTTGTCTGGTAGGTTAACTCCCATTGTTATTGTTGCTTCCTCATCCTGCACTCGATAGCTAATTATCGTCTCAAACAGTTTTCAGGTTAGGATTCGAACTCGAGCGAATGCTCATGACAGCTTGTTAACCACCCTCCAGTCCCGACGGCCACGTCTTCCAAGTCGAATATGCCGGAGAGGCGGTAAAGCGAGGTGCGTACCTCCGCCCCAGGTTTCTAGAGCCCACGACTGGCGCCCATGACTAACAACTGCTTTCCTTTCCTTGGCAATTAGGTACTTGCGCTGTCGGTGTCAAAGGTTCCGATGTCGTCGTGCTCGGTTGCGAAAAGCGCTCCGCGATGAAGCTCCAAGATACCCGCATCACTCCCTCCAAGATCGGCCTCATCGATAACCACGTCTGCCTCGCTTTTGCCGGCCTAAACGCCGATGCCAGAATTCTCCTCGACAAGGCGCGGCTGGAGGCGCAGTCCCACAGGCTCACCGTCGAGGACCCTGTGACGATTGAGTACATCACTAAATACATTGCCTCGGTGCAGCAGAGATATACCCAGAGTGGTGGTGTGAGACCGTTTGGCATCAGCAACCTCGTCGTGGGCTTCGACAAGGGAAGCGAAGTCCCCAGGCTATACATGACAGAGCCCTCAGGCATCTACTCAGCGTGGTAGGTTTTTCTTTTCGTTTCCGATGTGGCTCACGTCTAGGCGGGAGGGGCTGTATAGGGCGATTCTTAACAATTTCTATAGGAAAGCGAACGCTATTGGCCGATCAAGCAAGACCGTACGAGAATTCCTAGAGAGGAACTACAAGGAGGATATGGACCGGGAGCAAACCGTACGGCTAGCCATCAAGTCCCTTCTTGAAGTTGTCCAGACCGGCGCCAAGAACATCGAGATAGCCCTTATGGCTCCTGGAAAATCTATCGAGATGTTGTCAGTGGAGGAGATTGAGGGATTCGTCAAGAACATCGAGCAGGAGAAGCAAGAGGAGGCAGCGAAGAAGAAGACGGGTAGGACCCCAGGAACCGGGAGCGCTACCATTCTGACCCGGGGACAGGAGGAGTCTTGAAAGTTGCCCGTGAGGTTCCATGATGCCGTCATTAGCATGCATGCTTTAATTATGTCCGGATTGTATCATCATGTGTAGACAGGGTAATTTATCGAGAGGGTTATCCATCATATTCCGCGCCCGGGGAGCGAGAAGCCAGAGATGTAAAAAGAAAGTGATAAATATAATGCGCCAGTAACGCCATCTGCGATGCTGCAAGGGCCATGTAGTCCCCGCTATGCGCCTCATGCCTTGCGATCCTAAAATACTTTTAAAAGCCCATAGCGGCCGTCTTATATGCCGTCCCACCCTTTCCTCCACTGCTCGTATGGTTCATCACGCATCTTGAAGAAGATGGAAAAACAAAAGAAACGAAAAGAAAGCAAAGCCGGCATATAGCTTAACCTAGTTTATCTGCGTCGTCTTTCAGGTCAAAGACTGTCCTCAGCTCTTCGCCTTTCTCACGCTCGTCTTTAAGCATCCTGTTGTCCATGCGGGCATCCGCACCCTCGACCGTGATAGCCGCTTTGGGGGTAATCGCATCGAGAACAAAGTGGTTATCGCAATGAGGGCAGTACTCGTCGGACTCCTCGAACTCCTGGGCATCCTTGCGGAAGCACTTCTTGCATTTTTGCAGGCAAAAATGAGCTCAAGCTGCTGCCGGAGAGTGTGAGTCTCCTGTTCAGCGTGGCATTCAGCACAATCGAACCATTTACGGCCTAGATACAGGAGAAGCTCTAAGTTAGAGGAGGAGCGGTCGGCGGGGGAAGGTTAAGGAGGGGTGGGTGGTAGGGTGGGGTTGCTTCATACAGCAGGGAGCGCGGATGGAGACCTGCGCGTTGAGAACGTGCTTGCTAGAAGACGCGTTAGTGATTTGGCCAAGGTATGCACATGAAGCTGGTGAATAGGACACACCACATCGTGAATCTGTTCGACGGTAGCGTCGGTCTGCTCTATTCACCGGGACTTGAAGGGTTGAAGTTAGGTTCGTGGTGGCGTTCCTGGCAGGGCCTGTAGTCATGATCCGCTTAGTCACCGGAAATTTCAGTGTGTTTTTTGGCTCTCATGTTGCGCTCTCTCGTCTTACGTTTCGCTGATTCTTCGGCGTCTCCCGACCTCGAAAAGCATTTGTCACCCAGCCAGCGTCTGCCTGTTCTACTGCCTTTTTCTTTCGCCTTGTCCGCCCTGTTCTCTCCCTTCCGCCTTTCCTTCGACATTGCCAACATCGAGTCCGAAAACATCGATTCTGGATACCCCCCAACGAACGCACGTTACGTGTGCAAAATACAGTAGCGTTAAGCGATCCGCGTTATCGGCCGCCTGCAAGCATCCCTAGGAACTCTGTGAACAGCTATAACTCGTTTGTGATTTCTATACCAAGGGGAGCACCGCAACCACGATGCCTCCCAAGAGGAAGGCGTCAGGCACGGTTGCCGGTGCGGCCAAGGCGGGGAGGACATCACAGGTTTCCACACCAGGTGTAGGGACTCCGAAAAGCATTGATAGCAGCGATGAATACTCGGACACGGCCGACGAGGTGGAGGATCCTGTTGATGCGGAGACTGAAGAGAAGATCGAAAAGGTCGTGGACAAGTTCTCCACAAATGTCCTAGAGCGCCGGATGCAGCAGGAGCAGACACGGGCGAAGAAGTCCAACCACGAACTGCTCACGCACATCTTTGGCAGCCGTGACTATTCGTATCTCAAGATGAAGCCCGACCATAAGAACCGTCCGCTTTGGATCGATCCCTCCAAGGGCCGTATCATCATGGAGAGCTTCAACCCGCTCGCTGCGCAGGCGCAGGACTTTTGATCACGATCGCGGAACCCCTGTCTAGGCCCAGCTTCATCCACGAGTATGCCCTGACGATGCACAGTCTATACGCCGCCGTATCGGTAGGCTTGTCGCCTGATGACATCATCAACACCCTCGACCGCTTCCTCAAGATTCCGCTCCCCGATGCAATCCGTCAATTCATCAAGGGCTGCACGCAGAGCTACGGCAAAGTCAAGCTGGTGTTGAAGAACACCAAGTACTATGTCGAGAGCCCCGACCCTGAGGTCCTCCAAAAGCTGTTGAAGGATGAAGTCATTGGTCCGCTTCGGGTGCAAGGATCCGATACCATCACATCCAGCGCGCCCAAGATGGCAGGTCTCGTCATCCCCGGCACCCAGAGCGCTGCAGGAGTCAACCAAGCTGCGGCTGCGCTACCCCCAGCGCCGAACAAGGACCCTGAGGTGCCGGAGGACAGCGTGCTCTATGCCAACCTAAATGATGAAGATGAGGACGAAGAGGTCACACACTCATTTGAAATACCAGATAGCGCCGTAGAAACCGTTCAAAAACGGTGTCTCGAACTCGAATACCCTGTGCTGGAAGAGTACGACTTTAGAAGAGATGAGGTGAACTCCAACCTCGAGATCGATCTCCGGCCGGGTACTTCGATTCGACCGTACCAAGAAAAGTCACTGAGTAAGATGTTCGGTAACGGACGAGCCAAGAGCGGTATCATTGTACTGCCTTGTGGCGCAGGTAAAACGCTCGTGGGCATCACGGCAGCCGTAACCATCAAAAAGGGCGTCATTGTCCTATGCACAAGCTCCATGTCTGTTGTGCAGTGGCGAAACGAGTTCCTCAAGTGGTCCAACATCAGCCCTGATGACATTGTGGCCTTCACGGCCGACTCCAAGAACAATATGTTTTCGGGTAACACGGGTATTATCGTCACCACATACTCCATGGTGACGCAAACGAGGGAGCGGTCTCACGAGGCCAAGAAGATGATGGACTTCCTCACGGGACGCGAATGGGGCCTTATGCTCCTGGACGAGGTCCACGTGGTGCCGGCCAACATTTTCCGCAAGGTCACGTCGTCGATCAAATCTCACTCCAAGCTGGGTTTGACGGCCACGTTGCTCCGAGAGGATGACAAGATCTCGGATCTTAACTTCCTCATCGGTCCCAAGCTTTCGAGGCCAATTGGATGGAGCTGTCCGAGCAGGGCCACATCGCAAAGGTCCAGTGCGCAGAGGTGTGGTGTTCCATGCCGACAGAGTTCTTTGACCAGTACCTTCGAGCGCCGTCCCGTGAAAAGGGCCTGCTCTATATCATGAACCCCAACAAATTCCAGGCTTGCCAGTACCTGATCCAGTACCACGAGAAGCGCGGGGACAAGATCATCGTCTTCTCCGATAACGTGTACGCTCTCAAGGCCTACGCGCTGAAGCTGAAAAAGGCCTTCATCTACGGTGGTACGGGTCAGTCGGAACGTCTCCAGGTGCTCGAGAATTTCCAGCATAACCCGGATGTGAACACGCTGTTCCTATCAAAGATTGGCGACACATCGCTCGATCTACCGGAGGCGACGTGTCTGATTCAAATCTCCTCCCACTACGGTTCTCGACGTCAGGAAGCGCAGCGGCTTGGCCGTATCCTGCGAGCTAAGCGTAGGAATGACGAGGGCTTCAATGCCTTTTTCTACTCCCTCGTATCCAAGGATACAGAGGAGATGCATTACTCACACAAGAGACAAGCTTTCTTGGTGGATCAGGGCTACGCCTTCAAGGTCATCACGCAGCTAGCCAACATTGAGAAGACGCCAGACCTGGCTTTTGCAACGGCAGCAGAGCGGCGCGAGCTGCTACAAAGATTATGATTGAGAATGAGATTGGAAACGAGAAAGAAGAAGTGGATAACATGTGGCATGGCAAGGGGGCGGGCAGGAGGAAAGGCGCGGTGCGGAGGGCAGCGGGCAGTCTCATGGAGCTTAGCGGCGGGCAGGACATGGCCTACGTGGAACAGAACAAGGGCGTCAACAGAGGGCTCAAGAAGAAGAAGAAGTCGCAGAGTGCATTCTTCAAAAGCTCGAGCGAGAGAAGGAGAGGGCGCGCACAGGGACCTGAGAGGTGCAACCCGAGTATTCTGACCGCTCCCCCTCTCGTTACGGTCCCATGGGCCAGGACATGCGGGTCTGAGCGTGAAAGCGAACACGCAGGCAGCGGTTTCTTTCCTTTTCCTTTTTTCCTTTCCCATCACCATGTCTAAACTTTGGATTACCCACGTTGCGATTGTGTGCTCGATCCTACTCGATCCACATCGCATATCTTCCGTTTTAGGAGTATACGGGGGCTGTAAATTTGTTGAGGGCTTTTTCATATCAGAGGATTGCACATTCTCACAAACTAGATTGGCTTGACAGCGAGTGCAAAAAGAGCGCCTTTGTCTGCGACTCGAACACAGCATGCACTATATGTACACATCAGACATACTTTGTTTGCGTAGACAGATATATCTACGCTGGTGTACCCTTTTACTATTACAGATGGCGCGAGATGCAGCTCCGCATCCCCCTTCGGGAGCCAAAGAACAAGAGGACGAAAAAGAAATACATGTATATTCCAACTGTAAAGAAAGAAATATGCCAGTGCAAGTGTGTCAACCCGTTGGAGCTCTTTTTCGGGGTTACATCGCCCCGAGGGCTGTCTGTCTGCGGCCTTGCTGAGAAGAAGTTGACTGACTTATACGCAAGAATGGCTCGAGAGGTTGTGCTTCATGCGATGCCATGTATCTATGCGAATGCGGGAGCGGTAAGACAAACTTGCAGTTCCGGTTCGGCAACCAGTTCTTTTCTTTTTTTTTTTTTTTCTCATGACTAGGGCAAGCAAGATTACCACCCTTCACTGAGAGTACACTAACTCGCTCTCACATCCTAGACAAAAGGAAGGGGAGAAAAAGAAAGAAAGAAAGAAAGCAAGAGAGAAAGCAAGAAAGGCATGTCGCGGCAAGCACTCTCACCGCAGGTTTACGTCCGGCGGGCCGGGTGCCACGAGGTGGAGAACCGCAGGGCATGGGCGCGGCGCGGACAAGGACAGATCGAGTCCTGGGGTCGTGCCGCTGGTTCAGGATGCAAAACATGTGCTTAGACTACGAGATTCTATTTGACGAAAGGAAAGAGGTGCTTGCGTCGGCGGGGAGAGGACAGAAAATGATAAGATATCAGAAAAAGAAAGAAAAAAACAATGACCGAGACTAGGAATCGGTAGAATGCTCGCCGGAAAACATATCAAGACTCTACGATGAAAGATACACCGCTTGATGAAGGTAAGCAGGTAGGCGGAATTGGTTGGTTTCACTGCTGGTAATGATTGATTGGAAAACATCCGAATTCAACTTTGGATATCGCGAAACAGGGGAAAGGGAGGGGGTGTCGATGCATCCACCACTCCTATATTGTCCACTCACCCACCCCTTTGCCGGCATCTGGGGTGTTTGACTGTTATGGCCTGTGGAGGGAGGGATAAATGAAGATAGGGTCCTTGTCGCGTACTTCCTGCCTGAGGGTCGGAGACCTTGAGGGTGGTCTTCGTCGTGGCTGTGCTCGAGGCCGAAGCTTGAAGCTAATGTACGGATGGTGACATTCATCGTTAACCCCATTTGTGAATTGAGGGATAGCTGCTTTCAATGACTTAGGGCCGCTATTGGAAGCGGCTCACCCTTTATGTTTCTTAGGCTGTTTTTCCCTTTCTTTTTGGCTTCTTTTCCGTGTTTTTCCCCCTTCCTCCCGTGATCTGCGCCGATCAGCGTGGCGGGAATTTCGGGCCTAGCCATGAGTAGATGAGTTCAATGTTCTATTTGACGAGGAGCGGCCTGGAAGGACGGCGGGAGCCAGATAATTCCTTGGCAGGGCAGTGCCATTCACGGATGGATGGGCCAATGGATCAAGGGTGAGAGAGACTGCAGGAGTATTTCGTACCAGTTAGGATGGCGAGCACGTTTTGTGTCAGGATGGTTGCTGTTGAGGGATGGATTGATTGCAGTATGGGTCGGAGTGTTCGATACTGCGAGGGAGAAGACGAGGGGGTGCACCCAGTGAACACCTCCCTCCACTCAGCAACTCAGCAATTGATAGTGAGCCAGTGGACAATACTGCATAGACTTCCTCCCCTCCCCAAAAGAAAAGGGAGACAAAAAACGGTTCCTCATCTAAGAGCAGCGAGACATTTTTTCTGTCTCAAAAATCGATCTCCATTTGGAGAGGAAGAAGCATTATTGATAGATAGGGCGATAAGAACTGTCTTGCTGCGTGCAATGGGCTGCGTGTTGCGATTGGCGGTTGCCTCTTCCTCTTCTTCAATCCGCTTTTCGTTGCTTTTTGCAGGTGCGTTCCAAAGACAAAAGCTTAACCCACTTGCCCACCTCGGTACGCAGGTCATTCCTTCCTTTTCTCCATCATGGTGTGAGACTTAGGGCCTGAGGCGGAAAGAGCGTATGCGCAACAAGCAAAGTGAATATCTATAGCTTGACCTCTCGATGAGTTAGTGTCGGTAAACTCGGCTGATGAAGAGAGAGACGTTGGCAATGGATGGTGCAGGGCGGCACCTGAGGCAAATAGTCCATGGAGATCAACGAACAAATTCTGCTTAGGCGAGAATGGTACGCAGCCAGCTGGCATCACGCTGCAGACATCGGGCGAGGTGGACGACTGCAGTCAAGACACTTAAGAGCAAGGACACTGGCGATCGCATACTCGTGTCGAACAGAACCCTGATGTCGCGAAAAGGAACCTGAGGTGGGAGAGGCCAGCGATGCCAAGGGAACGAGAGGGGGAGGGGTGCGATCTGTATGCTCTCCCCCATGACAAGGTTGCAGTAGCTCACAACACACCCCCAGCCGTGACCCAGTATTTTGGGTGGGATCAATCTCATTGATCTGTTTATTTCAACTGTTTGACGTTATCCATGCGAATTGCAGTACGCCACTGCATCGACGTGCAAGGAGAGGAGGGACAAGGAGCACCGGAACCGATCGGCGCCTGGGATGAGCAGAGGGGCTTTGCACCACATGTGCACTCAATATGCACCAAGTTATGATCTGAGTTGTTGTGTGCGCAATTGGACAAAGTCCCGGTGGACAAGTTACTACTACCGCCGCTGGGAAATAGAGAATATTGCGGGATCTGATTGATCAAATTTATTATGGCGGGCAAGTTTGAATCGAAACGAAGAAGCACTTGATCTCGTGGAGAGCGGCCGGGGTTTCTCTTCACCCTACTGGATCACTCCATAATACGAAGTACAGCATAGATGCTTTGGGGTCCAAGCGATTGATGTTGGAATATTTAGGGCCGCCTCGGTCATTCCTCTCCTCAATACATCTCCTCGGCTCGTGGTTCTCGCGCTCTTTGATTTCGGCAATCGTCGGTGGTCTTTCGAGAAGGAGAGAAACGAATGAAATCTAGCATCGGGGTCAGAGAACACATAGCATCATCACCTTGCCTCGATTGTTTGATGCGAACGCATCTTCATCACATCTCAGTCTAGTCCTGCCCCGTCCTTGGATGGATCCTCGTTATCTCGCAGAACCTCAACAGGAATTAAAGGAGAATTGAAGGGAGCACATGCCCCCTGTGATCCCTCAATTCCGTTGATTTGGTGTATTGCCATCATTTGGTTGAACATAACTACACAGCACTGAGGAGCTACACCCTCCTTGCATCTGTTGGAATTGACAATTACTGTCGCTCCATCTCACCTCGCCCAGATCGAAGCAAGCAGGATCCGAGCCAATTCAACCTTCCCTGATCCACCACAGCTCGATCGCCGCTTACCGACAGATAGACTAAGCCCAAGTTTTAGCTCCACCTGCCGCCATCAAAAATCAATCGTCCATTTTTCGCCTGCAAGCACGTGTCTAGGTTTTTCCCCCAAGCCGTTCCCCTTTTCCGCGACGACCAAAACTGCCCGTCTCTTTCCCCGTCACCTCATTCCCTTGCCCCAGTTGTCTCGAAGCCCTCTCTCAAGACGCGATTGAGCCTTGACGCATTCGCCTTTTTCCTCATTTTTATCCCTTCCTCTCACGTTAGAGGTCGCGCGCCACCATACTTTGCCTTTCCCAATCCGGCCCCTTCATCATGAACATTGGCACAACGACGACATCCGCTTGTGTGTTCAGACGCCTGGTCAGCTAACACGCGGCCCCCTCCGCCGCCCCTTTACAACATCATCCCATCCTCTTTTCCTCTTCCTTTTTCTCTCCCTCACCATTCTTCTCCTCGGTTCCTTCGCGAACTAGGAACTGTTGGCTATTTGGCCTGCGAGTCTCTCTCCCGACTTGCATGCAACGGGAATCCTTCCTCATCCCTCACTTCTCCGGATTCAGAAGCTACGGGGATCAGCTCGTCGTTGGATATCGAACCTCCCTCGTAAAAAGAGGGAGCGATCCCTAAGCCCTTCATTATCTCTACTCCCTGTTGGCAAAAGAAGTGAACATTGCCTCACAAACAATTCAGCAAATTTCACCATGGAGTTTCTAAGACGTTTAGGGCCTATTATCTGGACCCATTTACGGGCCCTCAAGCCCTCCTTTATCAGCAAAGACCCCCATTTTAACTTCATCTCGGCACATTGTACGTTGCCCAACATGGCGCACCCCCAAACTCTTGTTTCATTGCTTCTTGAGGGGGCTCAAGGAAGGCCTCACATCAGCGGTGGCTTACTGACTTGCTGAAATCTAGATTTTTGGATCATTGGCATGTCAATATTTGCCTCCATCCTCCTCTACAGCACGGCCAATGGCCAGCTTCCTTACGTAGACGCTCTCTTCTTCGCGTCTGGAGCTAACACGCAAGCTGGCTTGAACACCATTGACCTGAACCAGCTGAATACATTCCAGCAAATAGTCATGTACATATTCCCCATGGTATCGTGCCCGATCACACTCCACGGCTCTGTTGTCTTCTTGCGCCTCTATTGGTTCGAGAAGCGCCTACAAAATCATGTCCGTGATGCTCGTAGCCGACGAGGTACCCTGTCCCGATCCAAATCCCGCGGCGGCGATGCTTCCCGTCTGGAGAAGGGCGTCAATGGCCGAAAGATTACAATTTTAAGGGAGTCTGGAAAGCGAATGGCCAACGATGGAAGCTTGCTGGGACCAAAGGAACCGATCATCAGCGCCCCCGCGGCCCCATCCACTCACCAGTCCACCAACCCATCCTCCACCCCCTCCTCTAATGGATCCGATCGGGACAGTGATGGCACGGTGGGCGGGGACCACAACACTCATCTCAACGGCCTAGTCCGTCCTGCCGGGCAGCCTCACTCCATTTCCTTCGCGCCAACCGTGATTAGGAGTGATGGGATTGAGTTAGATGCTACCAAATTCCCCGAGTCTTCCACCTCCGACGATGATGGTACTGTCGCGCTTGAACGACAGGAGCATACCAAGGATAGCGAGGCAGAGGTCCTCCGTATCCCCAATCCTCGCGATGCCGACCGCGGCATCGGCCCTACCCGTCTAGAAGTTGGCGAGAGCCGTCCAGAGGATGACGATGACGATGACGACGATCAAGGCACCGGCGACGCACCCGAATCCCACAAGACCCAGTCCGCCCCACAGAGCCCTAGTAGCAACCGAGCACAAGATCGCCAAGAGCTGTCGGATTCTCTTCGCCAAAGAGCGCCCGTCATTCAAATTCTAGAGCCGGATCCTGAGCTCGACGAACGCCGCCAACAAGAGCGAACGGTCATGGACACGGTCATGGATAATATCGCCGACGAGGCGAGGGCCATTGGCAATACTTTTGGGCCTCTTCGCTTTAGAAAGCCCCGTCTCTTCCAGTCCAAGGACAAGGTCCACCACGTCGACAGCGATGAATCCGACAACTCCCGTTCCAGCGCGAAAGGCACCATGAGAAAGATCAAGTCGCTTTTCGGTAGCAAGGAAGCTGACGAGGCCCCCTATCTGAGTTGGACGCCCACGACCGGCCGAAACTCGCAGTTTCCCGGCCTGACGCTTGAGCAGCGAGAGGAACTGGGCGGTATCGAGTACCGGTCGCTGAGGACGCTCGCGTTACTGTTGGTCGTCTACTTTTGGGGCTTTCAGCTATTCGGTATCATCTGCATGCTCCCTATATCAAGGCCAAACAGCAGTATGGCGAAGTGGTGGACGCGGCTGGCGTTTCGCGCACCTGGTGGAGTTTCTACACGTCGAACTCTGCCTTTATGGACCTAGGCCTCACGCTGACTCCGGATAGCATGATTTCGTTTCAGAGGTCTACCTTTGTCATGATGATATTTTGGCTCCTCATCATTGCTGGCAATACAGGCTTCCCTGTCTTTCTACGCTTCATGATTTGGGCGACCTCGCGGGTCGTGCCCCGAGGTACCGGGCTGTGGGAGGAATTGAGGTTTCTCCTCGATCATCCTCGTCGCTGCTTCACGCTGCTCTTTCCCTCGAGCGCGACGTGGTGGCTGTTTTGGATTCTTGTGATCTTAAACGTGATAGACCTGGTCTTCTTCCTAATCCTTGATGTAAGTAGTCCCTTTTGGCCCACTCGATTGCGAGATTTTCGTTGCCTTGGGCTCTTGGAGTTGTTTTATGCTAACCAGCTTGTTTGCTTTTCTAGCTAAATAATCCAATCGTTCAGGACCTGCCCTGGAATGTCAGGATCGCGGATGGTCTATTTCAGGCGGCAGCTACCCGGACGGCTGGGTTCTCGTGCTTCCCTATCAACTTCCTCCACCCCGGCGTCCAGACGCTGTACCTTATTATGATGTATATATCCGTCTTCCCCATTGCCATTTCTATCCGTGGCACCAATGTGTACGAGGAGCGATCTCTCGGTATATACAGCGGCCATGATGAGGACGATGGCTGGGGCCAGAACGCGATGAACTATATCGGCACGCATTTGAGGCGCCAGCTGTCCTTTGACTTGTGGTTTGTCTTCCTCGCGCTCTTCATCTTGGCAATTTCCGAAGGCGGTAAGCTCGAGCGCAAGGAGTTCAACATGTTTGACGTCTTGTTCGAGGTGGTTAGCGCCTACGGCACCGTCGGCCTAAGTATGGGCTATCACACTGTCGACGCGTCGCTGTGCTCCCAGTTTAGCACCGTCGGAAAGCTAGTCATCATCGCGGCCCAGGTTCGCGGCCGTCATCGTGGTCTACCGTACGGCCTTGATCGCGCAATCCTCCTTCCCAGCGAGTCTCGGTTCGCCAAGGAGGCGGCCGAGCCCGTGCCGGGCCTGCCTCGGACTAACACGGCTGTTTCCACGACCTCCGCGCCGGGCCTGGCACGGCGGATCACGACCTCGACACGCCCTCGCACGATTGAGAGACCGAGTACCAACTTTTTGCCCAGATTCTGCATCCGGGCCCGACCCTCCCGCCCAGGATCGATCGGAGAATGTCTGTCGAGACGATGCAAGTACCGTATCAACCTCAACAGCACGGCCCTGCGATGCGAAGAGCTGCGACCGTGGCTGTGTCGGATGAGGAAGAGGATCCGGAACTCATTCACCCCGTGTCTAGGGCGAGAACGTACGGAGGGTCGGGCATTAGACTACGGCGTTCTTCCTTTGGAGCCTGATCGGACCATGTTCCCCAAACCTTGCGGACAATCGCAGTAAATCTTTTAGTTTCTCTTTCTCCCTTGGATATCCTGGAGCCAGCCCTTTCTTCTTCTTCTTCTTCTTCCTCCCATTTTTTTCTCATCTCTTTCTGCTTTTGCGAACCACAGGCGCATGAGGAAGGAGGGGCTAGTAGACTAGCAACCCTTGACGTACTAGATAATGTCGAAAAGCTTTGATTTGTTATTCTCCCTTTTTCCCTTGAAAGCGGGCTAATGGCCAAGGGTGACGGGATCAGCGCAGCGAGTTGAATCACGGTGTGGACGGCATTAACGGCATGGAAATGGTATTGGCCGCTGATAGATGTCGTTCCAAGCGCAGCAGCACAAGTAGTTGAACCAGAGGCCTTGACGGCTGCTTTATCATGATTTATGAAGAAGAACAATAAACAATAAACATACTTGACATGATGCACCTGAGGTTAACAAAAGGCCCTTTTATTGGATATTTCTATGTAATATACACAGTCTTTTACTGACACAAGGATGTACAAGGTACCGGAGCTAGCTCTGCCGGGACCTTTACCATCGTACAATGAGTTCACTCCCCACGCTCAACACAGCCTTACTCCCATGAAATAAATCGTTATAAGAGCAAGCGATGTCTGTTGGAGGCATCCCCCTCCCCCACCCTTCTCCCCGCGCTCTTTACTGGCTCTCGAAGACAGTACCGAGATGCTTGCCCCTGTTCGAGGAGCGGAGCTGGCTCCTCTCCCTCTTCCAAGCCCACACGAGATGATCGACGCTGCCCATGTCGTGCTTCTTCTTCCGGAGGTAGGTGAGACGAGCACGTCGAGCGCGCTTGGGCCGCCTCCAAATGATGTCGATGCCCATGAGGGCGGGGAGTAGATTTTGAACCACATTTCGACGCCCGTGTTCATGAGGTTGCCGCGGAGCTGGATGGCGGTGTCGACGCCGCGGCGGCGAATCTGGATGAGGGCGCCGGCAAAGGGCTCGCCGCGGTGGGTGGTGACCATGAGGACGTCGCCGACCTTGGCGCGGTCGGGGCGGGCCTTGGAGAAGAGAGCGGTGCGGGCGCCCGTGGGGTCGAGGGTGGCGATGGAGGAGGAGTGGAAGGGGGCATGGGGTCCTTGGGGGTCGTGGTGGCGGGTTGGGGAGGGGGGTATACGGCGAAGGGGGTGGGTTTGTGAGTCTTGGGTTTATCTGTTGAAGGGGGGCGATGGTTAGCACGAGTGTTTTTTGGAGAGGGGTCTTGGGGTAGATAGAAAAAGACGATAAAAAAAAAAGGGGGGAAGCGAACGTACGAAGACGGAATTGGGACGTCGTAGATGGTGTAGACGAGGTCGGGGGCTGCTGGGACGAGGCCTCGGAGGCAAAGGTGCGCTGGATCTGGCGGACGTGCCGCGTCTGGCGGAGGACGGTCTTGAGGCAGCCCAGGGGCCGCCGGATCGGGAGGACGTTCATGGCCACGGGGTTCGGCACAAGGTGCCTTCACGAGACAAAGAAGCTTTGCTCGCGAAAGGCGGTATGCTGGATGGGGTGGTGGGTTGGTGTTTTGGCGAAGGGGCTACGTAGGGGAAGCAGCGGACCTTTCAAGCAAAGAAAAGAAAAATTGGATTCTCGACGAAGAAAGTCGGACGACCAGCAAAGGGAGAAGAATTCACGACGGTGATTGGCTGAGGGTGCTATTCGGGCCAGTTAGAACGCGCAGTGTGGGTCACGGAGCTGTACTTGCGAGGTTCTGCCGAATGGGAAGGAGCGAGCTGGCCGTGTGGTGTGCGTGTGTGCGTGTGGTTGCACCCAAGAAATTTTGGAAGGGCCGCGCTGCCGCAACCTCGCGATCTTTGAAAAAAAGAAAGAGCAGTAGCAGAACCCGAGCACAAGGAAGAAAGGGAGGAAAACAGCTCTTTTCTTTCACCACCTCTTCCGTGCCGCGGCCCGAGTATCCCCTCAGCGAAACACGACCTCTATACTCCCCTTTACGGGCCAATCGATAGAGTGCGAAGTGCACTCCCTGTTTTGGGCCATCCCTGGTGTGGTCAAGATCAAGACTTTGCCGAGACGACGCAGCCGAGGGGAGCAGATTGAGAATACAAGGAACGCCATGCTTCGGAACCCGTTAGCCAACACCCTCAGGGCGTCGCCCTCGAGGCGGATAATACAAAATGGCACCGCTACCGGCCTTGAGTCGTGGATGCAGCACAGGACGTTGACGACGACGACCCCTCTAGGTGAGTTTTGAAATTATATCAGGACCCCGTAGCCTCGAAGCTTTTCAGAGACCCATCCAATCCCTTGGTCTTTTTTTTTTTTTTTCTCTCCTCCTCTTTCTATGGGCTAACCGTGTTCTCCTCTTCTCTTTCTCTCTCCAGCGAGCAAGGTCATCTTTGACAAGACGTCGAATCCCGAGCTCGACGCCGTCTTCACCGAGATGCTCCACAAGATCATCCTCCCCGCGCGACTCCCCAAGAAGAAGCGCAAGATCGTGTCCAACGCCAAGTTCAACCAGATGCTCCGGGTCGACCCCATCGTCGTCGAGGTGGACGGGTACGAGCACCGCTTCGACACCCTCGACTTCCACCAGGGCACCATCCCCGCTCGCGCGACCTCATGCGGCAGGCCGTGCGCCTCATGGCCACCCGAGACGACTGGAACAACCTGCCGCGCATGCTCGCCGGCTACCGCAACGCCGAGCGCCGCATCCTCGCCAAGGACGTGTCCGACATCGTCAAGAACGCCGGCCGGTCGGGCAACATCTACGCCATCATCGACGCGCTGCGGAATGTCAAGGAGTCGGGCCTGCGCATCCGGACCCTCGCCTTCGCCGACGAAGTCCTGTACTGGGTGCAGATGCGCGCCGTCGAGAGCGGTTTCGCCGAGGACCCGACGGCCAAGACCAAGACGTGGGCCGTCATGCTCCGCGAGCTCATGGAGGACCCCGACCACAGCAAGCACCCCACGTGGCCCGGTCGCATCCCCCTGCACCGCGAGCCGCAAATCGTCGGCCAGGTCCTCCACGCCGCGGCCGCCCAGGCCGTGTACCACCAAGGGGCGAGGACGCGGACGGCAAGGTGGCCGAGCTCGCCGAGACCCTCAGCTACGTCTGGCCCGCCGGCAAGGCGATTCAGGATATCCACCAGTCGAACCTCGCTCCCGACGCCAAGGTCGCGGAGCGCGTGAGGTTCCAGGCGGAGGACGACGCGTACCTCACGCTCAGCACGACGAACCGCATCTCGGTCTCTAGCTTCATCCTCCACGGCATCGAGCTGGCCAAGCAGGTCGTCGCGCCCGAGCTCGCCGCTAAGCTGGAGCCCATCGCGCAAGTCCTCAAGAGCGGTCTCGAGGCCGACAAGGCGGCCAACGTCAAGGCGGATCGGGGCTGGGCGGTGTACGACAAGCTGATTGCGAAAAAGGCCTAAAATGTGTGTGTATGAAATGCTTTTGCCGGGCCCCTTTGTTCAAGGGGCGCCAGGGGGTGGTTTGAGAGAACCATTGTACAACGATTACATCTTCCATTGTATAATATCAGCGGGAAACCCGGGAAAGAAAAGGGAGATGAACTAGACCAGCGGAAGAGAGGAAAGGGAGAATGGACTAGAGGAGCAAGTGGCAGCCATTACGTGGCGGGAGTGAAACAAAAAGAGACTCGAGATTTTGTACAAATCTCTTTTCCTTGAAAAAATAAAAATCCCCCAACTCGAAACACAGTGGTAGCCACCAGAACGTCCTTTATTTATGCTCATTCCTTCTTCTTTTGCTAAATGGTTGACCTCTCTCTACGATAAAATGGCCCCTCTTGGGTACGTACATGTAGACGGAGAGGGGTGTAAAACAAAAAGGGCTGGCTTGGTATATGTTGGTAAAGAAAAGGTTGGTGGGCGTGGCCCCTACAGCTAGGCCGCCGCGCATGGTACAAGGTTCACTTCACTCTTGAATGTACATCAACAGTTGACAATTTACAAAAAAGAGAGAAAAAGAGAAAAATTGGTTGAACACAGTGGGCGGCGTTCTTAAGGAAGAACAATGTACTTTTCGAGATGCTTGGGGATGGCGCTAAGAAGGTTCTTGCTCTCGAGCCACTTCCTAGAGAAAAGCCTGTCGGCGTACCTGTAGGCGCCATCGGCCAGGACGGTGACGACGGTGTGGCCCTTGCCGAGCTTCTCGGCCACCTCCTTGGCGGCAACGACGTTGAGCGCGGAGCTAGCACCGAGATAGAGACCCTCCTCGTCGAGGCAGCGGTACACCATGCCAATGCTCTTCTCGTCGCTAATGTGCAGGGCACCGTCAACGAGGTCGATATCCTGGGCCAGGTTATCGGTCACGCGGCCCTGGCCAATCCCCTCGGTGATGGAGGAGCCGGCGCGCTCCGTCAGCTTCCCGCCCGAGGTGATGTAGGAATGGAGCACGCTGCCGGGCGGATCGGCCAAAAGGCCTTGACGCGGCCGTCGGACGCGGTCTTGAGGAAACGCGTGATGCCGGCAAACGTCCCCGCGGTGCCGGTGGAGCAGGTAAAAGCGTCGACCTGCCCCGCCGTCTGCGCCCAGATCTCGGGGCCGGTGGTCTCGATGTGGGCGCGGCGGTTGGCGATGTTGTCGAACTGGTTCGTCCAGACGGCGTTGTCGAGGGACTCGGCGTGGCGGCGGGCCTGGTGGTTGTAGTTCATGTCGTTGTCGAAGGCGACGGCGGGGACGGGTAGACCTCGGCGCCGAGGAGGCGTAGGAGGTCAATCTTGCCCTGGGACTGGGTGTTGGGCATGTAGATGACGAGCTTGTAGCCGCGCGACCGGCACACGTGGGCGAGGCCGATGCCCGTGTTGCCGGCCGTGCCCTCCACCACGGTGCCGCCGGGGCGGAGGAGCCCGCGCTCCTCGGCGTCCTTGACGACGTAGAGAGCGGCGCGGTCCTTGATGGAGCCGCCGGGGTTCATGAACTCGGCTTTGCCGAGGACGTTGCAGCCCGTTTCGTTGGAGAGGTGGTTGAGGCGGATGAGGGGAGTGTTGCCGATCGCTGTGTGCGTCGAGAGAAACGGGAACGTCAGGTCAGCCATACTGCAAAAACGAGCAAACGGCTGTTTTCTTTTGGGGGTCTCCTTGTATTGCGTGTCCCGGATGTGCGCCCTCTTCTTCAGAGGGCGAGCAATCTCCAGATTCATGGGTGGGGGAGGGGAAGAGCAAGGGAGAGACGAGCTTACCCTCAGTCAAGCCATTGGCCACGCCCTGGGCCTTGGAAACCCCTATCGTGTGGGCGGTAGGCTCCCGCGGAGGGATCGCGGCGCTCGCAAAGGCGCGGACACCCTTTGGAGGATATTCCTCCGCAGCATCACGGGGAACTGGGACATGCTGGGCGCAAACGGCGGAAGATGTGGGCGGGGAGTTGCCAAAATAAGCGAGGGAGGAGGGGTGACAAGGGTTAAAACGTTCTCGTTGCCCCAAATATGAACGCGGCGCCGAACTTGGACCTTGGACGTTTAGATGTTGCGGGGGAGGGAAGAGTCTGGAAAAGCGACTATGTGACACTTCGAATTGCGGGATTAGGTTGGTTCTGGCTCCTGCGTTTCCGGAGCTCCAAAGGAACTAAAAAACGGCATCGGCTTTTTTCTGCTTTGTCAACCACGCTCGACTCGACTTGCCTCGAAGCGGAATGCCCCGCGCATCGGAGGAATAATTGGCGAAACTTTGGTGGGGTCCAGTATTAGTCCCTGTCTCAAAATGCTGGTTGATTCATTGTTCTCTTTCTCCAGGCTGAAAGAGACCATTATACGCCCTCGCTGCCATTCAGCATTGATTAATCACTAGAGCGCAAGGTCCGAATACAATGGATACAATTCGACCTCGTTCCAACCGCAAACATGCACAGACAACCTTGAACAGAGCAACGAGTATTGAATAGAAATATAACGTAGAGAAGATGCCAATAAATGTCATGTTAGCCATGCCGCAAGGCTATGTAAAGGAAATCAAAAGAAAGAAAAGGAGAACAAAAAGGCCGAGACTGTTGTTGCCCACAAGATAGTCCATGATGTCTTCACACCTCCCTCCAAGCCATTGACTCGATCCACCCAACCCATTTTCCATGCCAGTTCCATCGTCCACTACCATGGAAGAGAGCTACCAATAAACATGAACAAAAAAAAGACCCCTAGTCATGTCTCGTCACTCGTCGTCACTCTTCACCCTTCATTGAGAACCACCACATACGGCGCCGGAAACGTCCCCACCTCCCCCATATACGACCCAAAGTACCAATCCCCATTCACGTCCTCCACCTCGCGAATCTCCGCATTCCGCGGAAAGTACAGCTCGTCCTCCGCCACCGGCCGCCCCTGCACGGGAGCCACCCCCACCGCGCCCGCGCCACCGACCCGCACCCCCGTCCGGCGGGAAACCGTGCTGCTGCTGTTGCGCCGACACCATGACCAGCCCGTCCAGCGGCGCCCCGCCCTCCCGCGCATCCACCACCGCCGGCGCCGCGGCCGCCACGTCCGTCGTCACCAGCCGGCCCAGCATCCGGCCCTCCTGCATCCAGCACCACGTCACCGCCGCCGACGTGCCCTCCACCCCGCGGCTCCACAGCCGCCGGCCCCCACCAGGTCCTGCACAATGTACCTCTTCTGCCCCGCCGTGCTCTCCTGGAACGCCATCACCACCATCCTGTGGCCCGCCAGGCACCTCCGCCACCCCGCCAGGCCGTTCTCCGCGCTGATTTGCCGCTCCCGCACCAGGTTGGTGTAGCACGACACGCACACGTCGTAGTCGCCCGGCTGCGTGTCCGGCTCCACCGAGCTGACGCACTCGAAGCAGTGGAAGCGGCTCTGCGTCGGCGGGATCGGATCCTGGCAGAGGTCGCACCGCGTCACAAACGTCAGCGAGTGGAAGCTGCTGAACCCGCCGCCCGCCGCCGCCGCCGACAGAGACCCCGCCGAGATGGACGTGTTGTGCGGCGCCTTGGGCGCCCGCGGGCTCCCGGGCGGCGTGTTGTGCGTCGTCGACGGCGGCTGGTACACGTACGGCAGGAGCGGGTGCGAGCAGCACCGGCCCTGGTTGACGCAGTTGTTGCAGAACCCCCAGTCGCCAAAGTTGCACGTCCCGCACCGCCAGTAGCACCCGTTGGACCACGCCGAGCACTTGTCGCAAAACGTCCCGCTCTGCAGCCTCTGCATCGGGTCTTCCGCCGTCTGCAGCCAGCCGTCTTCGTTTCGGATCGGCGCCTCCTTGGGAGCGCGTACCGGCTCGGCCGCAGTATGTGCGGGCGCTCCAGGCGCGGGTTCTCCTTGTGCATCTTTTCCCACTTCATCACCCCCGCGTACCCGAACCCGAACCAATGCAGACACCCCTTGCCGCCTCGGTAGCAGTCTGAGCAAATGTTCCAGTTGCCCCCGCGCACGCCCCGCAGTTGTAGTGCACGCCGTATTCGATATTCTGCCGGTGGCAGCGCGAGCAGCTGAGCGCGGGCTCGGTAAATCGCAGCGGCGGCCTCTTGATGCCCGGAGACAGCGTCGTCGGACTGTCCATGGGGCTGCTGTGCGCCGACTGGTTGAGGAGCCCCAGCTCGGCCGGCCGGTGCGACCGCTGCATGCGCGTGGGGCTAGGCAAATCGTGCGGCTGCGCTGCCGTCGTCGTCGAGGACTGCGCGGCGTGAAGCGGTACCCTGCTAGCAAAGGAAAGGTGCGAACCCTCGAGGGCGTCCCATTCCCATTATTGGTGGCCACCACCGGCGAGCTTGTGCTGCGGGCCTCGGGCAACACGGATCTCGGGTTAGCCGTGCCTGGGCGCGTCTGGTTGCCCAAGTCGGTGTGTGATCGTGTGGTTGGCGGGATGATGACCGGGCTCGGCGTGACGGGCGTGGTGGATGTCCGCGACGAGCTCGCCGTCCTCCGCCGGTGCCGCTGCTCGGGTTGCACTTCGAGGTGACCGGAGCTGGTCTGCGACCGGGTTGGATCTTCCGCGTGCATCCTCGCCCCCGTCGAGTTTCTTCGCCTGCTGACCGCCCGGCCTTCGTCTCGAGGTCGCTGTAGTTCGACCCCGCCACCCACCTCGGACCGCGTCTCGTTTGGTGGCGCCGCGCCGCCTCGTCTTGCCGGCTCCGGCTGCCTCGCGCGATCCCGTTGTCGTCTCCTATACGCTTCCGTGATGCGCCGACTCAGCTCGTCGTCGCGTTCCAGGTCAATGTTGTCGAGGTCGAGTCCGTCGAGTATGCCTTCCTCCTGGATCTGCCGCGCAAACTCTTCAATCTCCCGTTCAATGTCCCTCTCGCTCATATTTGTCGCGCTAATGAGCGAACGGATCGACGACTGGTGCTCAATCTGCCGCGTTGTTCTCGCTTCTGCCGATTCGTCCGCCCGCCGCCGCGTCTCTACTCCGTCTTCGGGTCGTTGCGTCGACTCGCTCCGCCGCCGTCTCCGTTCTTCGCCGGGAGGACGGCTGCTATCCGGGGTTGCCTACTTCGTGTCCGGCCCTCTTCGCCCCGCAGCCGTGCCGCGCCCTCCGTCGCTCGTCTTGGCTGGCGGCTATCGCGGCTGGCATCCCGACTTCGGCTTTCGGCTCGCCGTCGGCGCGAAGCTGGCGCTAACGAGGAGGACTCGACGCCCGCCTCTCTCAAGCTCATGACCCGCACCTCCTCCATCAGTCGCCGGTCCTCTTCTTCGGCGCGAAGCTGCTCGGCCGACTTGTCCATGTTGATCTTGGGCAGCACATTCTGGCCGGGCTTGTACTTGCTCATAATCTCCTCTTTTCGCTGTCAGGTCGGTCCTTGTCCGGGTTAGCCTTGAGATACATGTCGAGCAGCGTCGCCACGGTGGCGTTGTGTCGCGTGTCTCGCACCCCGGATCGACATGACGGACAGGTGAAGATCGGGGTTCCTGGAGCGGGAGGGGTGGGCGCGTAGTCGACCGAGGCGGCCTGAAAACTGAACCAGTCCTTTAGACAGGCGCCGCAGTAGGTGTGCAAGCAGTCGAGGAGGGTAAGAGGCTGGTAGAGAAGCTCTGTGCAGATCTAGAAAGAGAGTTCGCTTCGTGATTAGCGGTGGGAGGATCCATGACAACTTATTTTCGAGCTCAGCGCATCTAGAAAGGCATGAGGTAGCTAGGGGCGAGGGGGAAGGAAGGAAAGGCGTCGTGCGCGGGTAGAAGAGGGAAATCGATGATCGACATATACAAGGGGGTAAAATAGGAGCCGACTTACTGAGCAGGTGAGTTCCTTCTCCAGGTCAAGACCTGGTCTTGAATGATCCATGTTGAGAGAAAGAAAAAGAACAAGAGAAATAAAACAAGAAGGGGAAAAAAGAGTGCTTGCCCCTTGAAGATTCACGAAGAGTGTCAAGGGAGCAGACGGATCGAGCCGTTCCCTTTGGGTGGAAATGTGCAGGTTCACGTAGGTCTCGTCCGTGTCGGGGCAGGAGGAGATGGGGCCAAGGATTAATATTACTCTTTCCGTCGATGCGTCCAGGTTGCTATGATTTGATGGCTTCCCTCGCCCCCCAAAGCTAACAATAGCTGGACAGGACAGGACAGGATAGGACAGGATAGGACAGGACAGTGGCACATGCAGTCGCTGGTTTTGGTGTCTTTGGCTAGGTGGGGCAGCTATTACTAGTCAGGGAGCACTTGAGGCGGGGGAATCTGCGGGGAGTTGAGGCGAAGAGAGCAGGGGCCAGGAACAACCCTCAAGTGCTCGAAGCCCTGGAAAATCGAGGTTGGGCTGGCCTAGTGGTCAAGGTGAAAGGGGAAAGACAGAGCCTTGAGAGCACTTGAGCAAGCTCGATGAAAATGAACGCCGCTGCCTTATGGCTGAGATTTTAATTGATTATGGGGGCAAAGAAAAAAGCCGCCCAGCCCGCCTGTCACGATTGCGATCAAAATCCATTGATCCTTGCAGCATCAACTCGCCCAGGAACCAATGATAATTGGAGTTTACATTCCAGCACTGCCAGCCAGGTTCAAACTGCGCTTCCGGGTCATCTTGGTTCGCTGTTAGGCTCAGCGAAGCTAGTGGGCCGCAGGTCGCATTTATTATGCTGCTGGTATCTGATATAACCTCACTTTCGCTTCTAAACCCGTCCCTGGTGGCGGCAAGGGAGAGTGTCCTTTTTTCTTCTTTCTTCTTCTTTTCTTCTCCGGGGAATGCGTCACTAGGCTTCTTTATTGAACCTGCCGGCCCGCCTTGTTCGATGAGTGGACAAAGACACAAGCTCGCAAGGCACTCGTATCCTCGATCCCTCCTGGACAAAGGCGATGTGGCAATGCATGCACGAACTGGACAGACAGGACGGGTACATTCATTCCATCATGGCGCTGTACTCGTCAAGACAATCAATGGGGGTTGAACAGTGTCTACCCTGGGCCAGTCGGACATTGGCTTGGCTTGGGCTGACACAGATGCACGAGCGAACGGCATGTCCAGCCTCTGGGTAGCAACAAGCACCCAACATCGAGGCCATCAGCCACACCAACTGGCTAAGCCGGCCTGAGGGGAAAAAAATCTATCTTTCGCTCGCTTCTGAATTTTTCTTCTTCTTCTTCCTTTGTCGCATATGCGCTCGAAAGCAGCTAGGATCAAGCAGCGGTGCAGGACGGCAACGCACCCTCCCATTCATCGTTGTCTCAAAAACCCTCGATCCCGACTGGTTGTCACTGGTGCACTACCCTCCCATGCCATGTTGAGCGCCGGCGAGAGCGAATAGACGATCTCGGATTAGACGGTACGGGTGATCAGGAGTTATAAGACATGTTCGGGTGTAAGTCGCGTGCCACACACCTCGAATCCTTGATTACGAGCAGTAACGTGGGATGAAATGCTTATGCATGGCGCGGTGAGGCCATCAACCACACACTGCAAGTACTTTATCGTACAGGACATCGGCAAAGAACACGAAATCTCGTGCAGAGAAAGAATGTCGACGCCGCACTAGTCAACCCACGTAGAAATAGAAGGAAAGAAATGGAACGAAAAAAAAAAGGGTAGCAGGAGGTCAAGTGATGGATGTCTTGTAACCCAAACTATCATGGCACTACGACAAAATGCTATGAAAAGATATCACATCTTGAATTGTATTTACGAGTGCGTCCACTCGGCCTTCTTCTTCTCAGCAAATGCCTTCATCCCCACCTTTTGATCCTGGCTCCCAAAGAGCGAGTGGAATACGCGCCTCTCAAACTCAACACCATCCCGAAGCGCCAGATCCTGGCTCTTGTTGACCACCTCCTTGCACGCCTGGACAGCCACGCGCGAGTAGCTCGCAATCGTCTCCGCCGTCTTCATCGTCTCCTCCATGAGCGCCTCGTACGTGGGGAACGCCCGAGCCGCGACCCCCACTGCGCCGCCTCTACGCCCGAAAACGACTTGCCCGTGAGGATCAGCTCCATCGCCTTGGACTTGCCCACCGCCCTCGTCAGGCGCTGGCTTCCTCCCGCCCCGGGAATCGTCCCCAGCTTCACCTCGGGCTGGCCAAAGTTGGCGCCCTCGGTGCAGTAAAGGATGTCGCACATCATCGCGAGCTCGCAGCCGCCTCCCAGCGCGTGGCCCGACACCGCGCCGATGAGCGGCTTCTTCAGCTGTGTCGTCAGCAGCGACCACGACTCGATAAAGGATTTGGTGTACGCCTCGGAAAATGTGAGCGGCGCCATTTCCTTGATGTCTGCGCCCGCTGCGAACGCCTTTTGGGAGCCGGTGAGGATGATGACCGAGGTATCGTCCGATGCGTTGAAATCGGCGAGAGCCTGATTCAGCTCATTGATGAGAGGGGTGCACAGGGCGTTTAAAGCCTTGGGGCGGTTAAGCGTAACTATCGTCAACCGCGGTTAGAGTTTGGACATGTCTGGCGCACAAAGGGCTACTCATTGAATGTTGGGGGATTGGGTGTGGATGGTAGTAGGGGTGCGAGGGGCAATGCGCGGGGAGGCGAGGAGCGAGGGAGACCAAGTACCTTGACCAACGCCAGGCTTGGGCTGGGAAACCTGGATATACTCGTACGAAGCGTTCGAATAGTAGCGCCCCACGACGCGAGGGAGCGTTGTGGGTTGGAATCGCGAGGCAATTGGCCTCAAGCACCGAGCTGTGTTCATATCTGATGATGTGGGAAGCTCTCTCCAAGCAAGTGAGCTTCGACGTATGGCGGCGAGCTGCTTTCCCGTCAAATCGCTCGGGGAAAGACTAATCAGTGCTTTCTTGGCTAAACTTGACGTATATAGCTCAAGGCGGGAGAAGCAGAGGATATGACACTATGAATGTCGTGGAGGCTATACAATTGTTGGCTCGGCGTGCAGCAAGGTTGGAGGCATCTTGTCCGAGGCTGGAAAGCATCGGCTTTGAGGAAGCTCATGCCCGGATTACTAACAAGCAGCCGCCGTTGAACAGGGCCTACACCTCGGCTCCCACCCCCGGAGCGAGGTTGGCTGTGCCAGCCGATGCCAGATGGGTTCGGTCTGTGATGAAAGTTGCGTCATCCTCAGGCACTGGGGGCCAGATTAGCGAGAATATACAGTGTCACTGGGAACAACAGCTTGTGGCGAGGTTCTGCGAGTCAGTTTCAACCGCCCGTCCCGCGCGTGTCCCACATGTCAAACATAATTTGATGTTGAAGGATGAACACTAATTAGTCTTTGCCACGCAACCCAAGAAAATCCAGGGGTAAAGGAGATGGACAGGAGTCGCGCAGTTGTCGCGAGCCCGCCACGCCAAGCTAGCAATGTTTTTTCCTCTCTCGAGAATTTTATTAGTAGAATGCTGAAGTTGATCGAGCAGCGATGTAGATCTCATTTGTCCGTGTGGGAACCAACTATTCTATAAAATGTCCGCGTCCCATTTATAGTGAACCTTTCCGTCCCAGCGTATCCTTCCACTCCATGTGCGCAACATGAAGAAGAGTAACGCTTCCAGACACCTTCAAAATAGGAATATAATTGCTCACAAGCTGCCATTGTAATCAATAGAATCAAAGGGAACAAAGGTCATGCCTGCAAGATAATGTCGTGATTTCTTTGTTCCTTGTTACATAAGTTGGCAATTTTGTGTAGGTGGCCTTCTCTTCGGAGAATATTCGGCTAAGATGATTGGAGAGAACCTGGGTCTCGCCATCTCACAATCTCGGGCTGTGAGTACCGAAGATGGCTGCCTCCTGAATTACGAAGCCGCGAGCTGTCAAAAAAACCTTGAATTTCCCCAAAGTCGATCAGTTGCCGCCAGCCACCGACTATCTCGACCTCGCACCCCTCATCCTCTTCTCTATCCTGGTTTGCAAGTTGTCAGAATAGCATAGGGCCCCTCGCACTACTTTTTTCCCGACGTCCTCTCGCGCTCCCTAGAATTAATACGCCTCTCGCCTTGCGCGCCAGCTTAATCAACGCCCTTGATTTTACCTACCCCCTCAAAAGGCATCCTTGAAACGCCAGCATGAACTCGATCGAGCCCGAACAGACGCCTTTCGAGGCCGTCTCTATGCACACGTCTAACTTCCAAAGGGTAAGTGACGGAGATGCGACAAACAATTGCCATCGATTGACTCTTTTTTTCCCGCTGACTCTCGACCCAATAGCGCTACCAAGCTCTCCTCGACCAGTCGACTCCTTTTGTCCTATATCGATGGGTCAGCACCGCAGTCCTTCTCGTCGTCTTCTTCGCCAGGATTTTCGTCGCGCAGGGATGGTACATTGGTACGTTTCCTGCTTGACCCTCTTCAAAACTCCCATTTCCCTCTTTCTATCGCCTCGGGACGATGGATTTTGCTCGCGGGAGTGGTTTGGAACCCGGACTAACAATCGGTGCGCGCAGTTGCCTACGCCCTCGGAATCTATCTTTTGAACCTCTTCCTTGCCTTCCTACAGCCCAAGTTCGACCCGTCCAGTGATGCGCTAGATCAGGATATGGAGGACGGTGCTGCCGGTGGCCTCCCCACCAAGAACGACGACGAGTTCAAGCCCTTCATCCGCCGCCTCCCCGAGTTCAAGTTCTGGTACTGGGCCACCCGCGCCATCTGCATTGGCTTCTTCTGCAGCTGGTTCGAGCTCTTCAACGTCCCCGTCTTCTGGCCCGTCCTCGTCATGTACTGGATCATTCTCTTCGTTCTTACCAGTATGTCCAATCCAACCCCTCCCGCCTAAATTCCCCAATCCCTTTTTTGCGGCGAATTAACTAACCAATTTCCTTGTCTAGTGAGGAGGCAGATCCAGCACATGGTCAAGTACCGATATGTCCCGTTCTCTTTCGGCAAGAAGAACTACGCGAAGAACAGCAACTAGGCGATCGGGAGAGCGGCGACCGAGTGTATTCCACCTTTACATGAGCGTGAGGAATAGTTGGCGAGAACGGCATCGGTTCATTTAGGGGCGTTGCCAAATTACGGATGGGTAATGTCATGACTTTGAGTCTGGGGGTGGGCAAAGCCCTGGTTACGGGCAAGTTTTTGTAAAAACAATCATGGCTTTCAATTGGCACCAAGATACATAGAGCTTTTTTAATGGATATGCAAAAGTTTCTTCTTATTACAAGTCGTATTTCTTGAGCCCTTGCTGCTTAGCTCCAACCTGATTCCTTTGAGGGAGTGCGTAGAGTGCAGATTCAGGAAGAGCATCTCGGTAGTCAAGGTCGAAATCGGCCAAAAAAATTGAGTTTCCTCGTTGGGGTTTTAAGGGGAAAAAACCGTTCAATTAATCTACTATTTTAGCTTCGTTGAAAGCTCCGTGGAGGGGATTTAATTTTTCGAAGGTTTGGCGAGGAAGGGCGCCAGCCAAGGTGTCGCGGAACCTGGCCCATGCTCCTCCGCGCCTTCCACCCGCCCAATCTCAGCCTCGTGCACGCAAGTCACATTTTCTTCTAACCACCACACCTCTCGCCCACAACTCTTCCTCCGCCTAATCCCGCGCCCCAGCCACCACCACAATTTGGCTTTATCAATTCGAATCGCCCATCATACCAGTGCATGTTAGCGGGATTTTTCAAAGCTGAGAGAGTTGCGGGTATCCACGATGAGCAAATCGTCGTCGTCCGGCGGTGGCCGTGTCATCCACCAGGACTTCATCGCCCGCATCCGCTACTCCAACGCGCTACCCCGCCTCTAATCCCCCAAGCTTTTGGATATCCCCAACACCGGCCTCTCTAGCGGACAGTACACAACCCCCGGCTTCGCGTCGCGGCTGGTTCGCGAGCAGCCGTTGAATATCGAGGCCGACGCCGAGCTGGGCATGCCCTTGGACCTGGTGGGCATGCCCGGAATCTTTGACGGCGATGAGAGTTGTACGTATAGCCCCCAAAAGCTCAATGGGTTTCTTCTATGCAGCCCTGTCTCTTACACTTCTATATAGCTATCCAAGCGCCGAGCGAGATGCCGCCCGTCCACCCCCACGACAAGGCCCTCCTGCGACCCTTGGCCGCCCTCTCGCGCTCCAAAGCCGGCGACGCCCCAGTCTCCTTCCTCCGACGAACAGAATACATTTCCTCCACCATTCGCCGTTCCGGAACCGGTGCCCTTCTCAACAAGGACAGCTTGCGTCGTCCCGAGAAGCGGCCCGCACCCGAGCCCGACGACTCCCCGCGAATATTCGACGCAAGATCGATCACGGCTTCGAGCTGGCGGAGAAATACCTCGCCGATCCCACCAAGGTCAAGCACCCGCTCAAGACAAACGCCAAGGTTGTCGACGTGTTTCCAGTGCTTCCCGACCTGGACTCCTTTCCGGATGCCGGCGCCTACGTCACCGTCAAGTTCCTCAATGCGCCAGTTCACAGCGGCGCCGCCTATGACACTCGCCTGCTGAGTGGCCTTTTCAAGCCTTGCGACCGGACGCCTGCCGAAGACGCCGCCTATGCCGAGGCAATGGAGTTGTGGGAACGTGACCCGGCGAACCACTCGAAGCCGGCGCCGTGCACGAATTACGACTACTACCTGACCAACACATCCGAGGATGCCAAGCGATTCCGAGCCAAGTTTGATGTCGATAACCCAGAAAATGACGAGGAGGGACTCTACACGGCGCAGGGCGAATCTGGTCCTTGCTTCCAGTTCAATAGGTTGCGAGCTTACGAAACGGTCAAGGAGACCGAGCTGGATCACAAGACGAAATACAGCAGCGAGCTCATTATTGGGTTTAGCGATGGTGATATAGAAGGCCAAAAGGCAGCCTGGTACTATCCCGTCATGCAGCGTTCTACGATCAGGCCTCAGAGACAGAAGCGCATTGACATCACTCGGGGTTATGGAGCCGAGGACGAGCAGCCAGTGGTCGACCAGCTCGACGTCACTATCGACGACCCCAGCGATGAGCTCCGCGAGCACATGCTCCGCTACAAGGAGCATCCGCACGGTTGGGAAGAAGAGGAAGCGGGTGAGGATGAGAATAGAGCAGACAACGCTAGTAATGCAGGCGAGGATGATAGGCCTGAGAACGGTTCCGCATCCAGGGCTCGGGGGCAAGGCTGGAAGAAGATGACGCGGAGGGGGATGAGGACGAGTAAAGGGCGCTCATTGGTGTATTCTTTCAAGTGGGTAAAGTTTTTTGGCGCCGAGGATCTGGCTTTAGGAATCTTCATATAGAGCCTTCAAGGGAACAAAAAAAACGAAAAGGGTCGTAGACAGACTGGTGTACTACTGCATATATTCCACCTTGGTGAGGCCTCGTGTTGAACTTTGAGAAGAACGTCATTGGACATTGGACGTACGAGACACGAGTGTACCCCTATTAAGTGCATCTGTAGGGCAGGCGTCAAGTCTCGTAAAAGCCCGAGCGAGCATCGGCTCAAGAAACGCGGCGAGATCAAGAGCTCTCGTTAAAAGAGAAAAAGCCCCCAACACAAGGCCCTCGCCGTCCTTGCACCGAGACAGCCCTCACCACGACTTAAACGACGGGGTTTTGCTGTTTGTCATGGTTCAAACACTCTATTGCTTTGCTTGATAGAAAACCTTCCCAGATAGCATGCGGATATATAAGTCTATAGATACATGATGTGATGTGAAGGGACACATCTGAGCCAAAAAGAATTTAACGAAAAAAAAAAAAAAAACAGTCATAAGCTTCATGAAAAGAATCGAGACATGGGCGCGTGTATCATGCTGTTATATAGAAAAGTTCAACCAGCACACAGGCGGTAAGCAAAGCAAGGAACAGACAAACAACAAGTAACCCAAGCAGCTAGCATGCGGGGTGATCGATTTGGGCTTTTGCTGATACGGTGGAGCTTCGTTTCCAGCGGCATCTTCCATGATTGTCCGACACTGTTTCGGCAGTTGATGGTTGGTGGTTGGTGATTCGACCGTTCGATGGTTCGATTGCTCTGATGGGCTGCTAGTTGTTGTTTCCTTTGCTTAGGATCTTGGCTGGCTTCCTCTTATTCTGTTCCTCGCTGGCGCTTCGCTTGCCTTCTTGGTTTCTACGAGTGCCTCCAATTTGGAGGCCTTCTCGTATTCCACTATCTCCTCTTCTGCATTTGGCATCATGGTTTCGACGTTCTTCGAAGATGATCTCTCTCCCGATGCGTTTCTCCAATTGCCATGCGAAGGCGGGGTTGATGCTTTGCAATAGACACTCCTTTCTCCGACTCGATTCTTGGCACTTCCTCTGGTTTGTTGATTCCGTAGCCTGGTATTCGGTAGTCCTTGTCCAGCAATGCCTTTCGCGCTTCTGGTAGCTCGGAATTTGCATCGCTCACTTGCTGCTCGACTCGTCCCTTGCTTCCGGCCTGTGTGCTGCTTGCTGGCAGGTGGTTATGCTTTCAAGTTCCTTTGGAGCGCGTGTCTCGAGGCAGGCGTTAGGCAGATGAGATTCAATGCCCGCCTTAGATAGGGTGTACGGGGAGCGACTTTCGGCGCTGGCTCATATAGTAAAGCCAATGCTCTCTCGATTGTCATCCACCACTCTCCCGTACTCCAGCAACAGCCTGAAGAACCAAACCTCCATATCCTCCTTCCGCAAAACCTTCCTCGCCCACTCGCTGCTATTCGATGCCATCTCTTCGGCAACGCGCTTCCCCTCCTCTTCCTCCGCTAGGTAGCGTACCGTCTCAATCCACTCATCACCGTGGAGGGACAGCGGGATGTAATCCCTCCAAGCCGCCAGCCAGCCGCCAGACCCGCCGGTCCATTCCCTAAACAGGGCGAACTTGAGAACGAGGCTGTTGCTGCGAAGGAAGGCCTGAAAACGGCCGGAGAAGGCGTTGCCATCGAGATCCAACAGGTACTTGAACCCCCAGGCGTTATTCTGCGGGGCAACGGGAGCGAGGTCGAACACGGCGCGTTGGGCGGAACAGTCGCCCGGATCGCACTGACCGACTTGGGAGAAGGAGACGTTGAGAAGGTGTGCGTGGGACTCGATGGTGGATTTCTCGGCGGTCCAAGGGGTCTCGGGGTCGGTATTGGTGGTGGAGTTGTCACTCGCGGGTGCGCTCAGGGTGAGGACGTCATCCGAGAGGGTGTTTAGTTTCTGCACGAAGCGCTGGCGATGATGGTTGCGCCAGTTCCCCCAGCGGCTGAACCCCTGTCGTAGAACCGCGCCAGTAAACCTCTGGGGTCTTGGACTCCCAAGGCTCGTCGTCCTCGGCGTTATAAGGCACCCTGTCCGCCCAGTACCAATGCGCAGGGAACACAATATCGGAGTAGGTAGATAGCTTCGACGGAGAGAAGATGGGGACGAGATCGTGCGTGACCACGTACGAAAGCGGGCTGTCGAGGAAGCCGTGCATTTTCCGAAAGGAAGGGCTCGAGCAAATATCGCTAAAGGCCGTCACGTCGGAGACGAAACACAACGGGCCTTCCGAGCAGTACCTGGATGTGTCGTCCGTCATCTCATCATCCTCTTCTTCGAGGGAGCGCGCAGGGCTGTCTGGTGAACAGCTCATACGGGCCGTTGCCCAGGCCGACCTTTTCCCCAGGTTGAAGAAGCGGCTTACGGCGACTTCTCGGATCGAATTGCCGTTTCCAAGCTCCGCCGCCCGGGTGAAGCCATTGGAGAGCGCCTGCTTTCCCTTAGAGGTAGCTAGTTTCGCCGTCTCGGCCTTGGCAAGGAGGCGGGCTAGATCGTCGTGCTGCAACGCCACGCGCGGCTCATCGAGAGCGTTGAACGCGAGGTCCATGTCCGGCAAATACTTGACAAACTTGCCAAGCATCTTGGGGAGAGCCTTCCTCTCCCAGGGCCGGCCACCTTGCTGGTGCGCAACCGTTCCATTGCGGATCAAGATACCAATGAGGTAATTCTCGTACCCCAGCGCCTCCACCGCCCTCTTTCGGATCGTCGCCGGCTTCAGGCCCCAGAACGGCGCAAGCATCTCGTGAATCGCGTCAAACTCGTCAATGAGGACGACATCCCTCGCCCTGGCAAACTCGTACCACTTGTCAAAATTGGGCGGCGGCGCAACCTTGTACTTCCTGCGGTATTCGTTCACGGCTTCCTCCAAGGACCGGGACTGTCTCGCGAGGAGCTTTTCCCTCTCATCACCGGCCTTCTGAACAAGTCGTCGGATGGGGTGCGGCGCCGACCCAATATCCGTCTGCGCTACTTGCGGGGTTTACCACTTCCTGCTCCGCGCTTTCCGCTGTGATTGTCGGCTTTTTTGTCTCATGTAAAGAAGATGTCGGTGATTCTTCTTTCTTGGTAAATGTGATTTTGGGTTCTTCCTTTTGCTAGGTGAGATGTCATTCCGAAGCTCGAACGATGCTGCGGGGACTTCGATGATGTGATATGCGACGAAGAAAATAAACAAAACAAGAACAGCTGCGCTGAAGCCGCTCCGTGGCATGCGGCAAAATCCTAACATCTTGAGTAGGGTGCGGGGGTATAAATGGCCCTCAGCCCCAGTTGACGCCAGTTACAAGACAAAGAGATTGTTCGATCTGGGGAGCCGAATCTGACATTGAAGTTTCGAAAAAAGACAGTAACGAACCGATGTACCCGCTTTGACGAGAACCTGGATTCAAGTCAAGCGGCATGATGGCGGGACCCGTTGATCGGGCAACGCGACGAAAGCTATGGGTGGGGCATTCGCAGCTGTCACCAGCTGGTGATCCTGAAATTGACTACACATGGCTGCTCACATCGCACAAAAAGAAGATAAATTTCACAGTGGGACATCAACCGAGTCAATTGACATGAGTGCTCGCAAAGGCTCGTTTTGCTTGATATATTTGATATCAAGTCCGGAAACTCAGTGGCTAGAAACCAAAAGCGCCAGATGGGATGCCCAAACGCCAAGTAATGCCATCCACCTTTTTTAAGTTAACCCCTCCTTTCCCTTGGTATCAATTCCTTAGTAGAAGAAGCCAATGATCTTGCCAGCAACGTGCTTCCTACGGGCCTCCTCGTGGTCCATGATACCGGCAGAGGTGGTGAGGATGACATAACCGAACTGACGAGCGGGGAGAAGCTTGACAACCCACTTCTCGAGCTCGGAGAGACGGACGTTGTAGCGGGGAGAGATGACACCGCACTTGTTGAGGCGGCCGTTGAGCTGGACAACGATCTTGCCGGAGCGGTGGTCGTCGACCTCCTCGAACTCGCCAATGTAGCCTAGAAGAAGAAAGAATATTAGTTTTTGAAAAGGTTTGTGGCAGAAATTATCCACGTCGCAGGACGTGGGGGTAAGATGAAATCGAGAAACGCGTAATGGGGATAAGATTCTGCTGGGTATAATATATCGGCAGTTTATAGGGGCTAGTTCGTGGGAGAAAGCGATCGTTGCCCTAGTTATCAAGCCGAATGGGGGAAAGGGAAGCAGAGGGGGCGAGTGCAACGGGGAGGGTAGAGAGGAACAAGGAAGAGGAGAGGTTCGACATTGGGGGCTGACATACCGTGACGCTGCATGACCTGGAGGAACTTGGTGATGACCTTGGAGCTGGGTCGGATCATGACCTGGCGCTTGCCGGCCTTCTCACCGTTGTTGATGGTGTTGAGGGCATCGTGGAGGACGGAAGTAAGAACCATTTTTGCGGTATTGAGACGGAGATTCTCAAGTCGTTAGAGGGAAATGAGGTATCTGCGTAAAACAAGAGCGAAAACGTTAGCCTCCGATGGCCCTGAAGCGTGGAGAGTACCCTCGATACCAGAAAAGGTGATGGAGGGTTTCTGCCGCTCAGTGCTGAAGAGGAGATGCGTATCAGGGCTACTGTTTCAAGCCATATTGCCAGCTGGTTCGAGTTTTTCAGGATCTCGCGATCCGGACCAGGCCGCCCAGGAGGCTCCCGTATTCCAGGAAGCCGTCACCGGTAGGCAATATTTGTCTGATTGCTCTCCTCCGCCATCGCGAAAGGCATAATACCAGTCGCCATCACGTTTCCGGCATCTTCAGGTAATTTATTTATTTTTCGTGTCAAAACATACCTCGAAAAATTGGTGGTGAGAAGTTGGGTGGGTTGGATGGAGGGGATGGGAAGCGGAAGGAGGAATTTCAAGATCTCCAAGAGAGTGGTTTTTCTCCCTGGGCGGCGTGGAAATTTCACAGCGAAAGCACAATCGGAAGCCCTGTTGTGTGGTGGTCCGTGCACGCACGCAAAATTGCCCTAAGTGAATGTGCGTCTGCCCCGCCATCCAATAGATGCACAGTACTAATGATGACTTGCACACACAAAACTTCTACCTCCCACTTTGTACCAATCCAGGTTCATCCAACTTCCACGTCTTTACATTCTCTACATTTCTCCAACTTATTCAACCATTACTCTTCGAGGACGGCCGACAATCCCTTGAATCAAACATTCCATCAAGATGGTGAGCGATATCCCCGGCACTTGGACTTGTTTATATCAGCCTCGCTTCCCCGCAATTCGCCTTGGTAGACGGACGTCTGCCGCCGTCCACGATGGTTCGCTCGGGTGTCTACAAGGCTGCAGGAGTAGGGGAAGGGGGAGAAAGAAGATGAAAGAAACCTAGTGAAAATTGAGAAAATTGAGACAAATCCTGGATAACAAACTAACTTTTGGGGTTCCTTGCCTCGTTTCTAGTCGGACGTAGAAGAGAAGAACACCCCCGAGGTCTCTGAGGAGGTCGAGGTTTCCGCCGATGCCACCTCCAAGGGTCAGATGTCTGTTCTCGATGCCCTCAAGGGTGTCTTGAAGCTTGCTCTCATGCACGACGGTCTTGCCCGTGGTCTCCGTGAGGCTTCCAAGGCCCTCGACCGTCGCCAGGCGCACATGTGTGTCCTCAACGAGTCGTGCGAGGAGGATGCTTACAAGAAGCTCATCATCGCCCTCTGCTCCGAGCACAAGATCCCTCTCATCAAGGTCCCCGATGGCAAGCAGCTCGGCGAGTGGGCCGGTCTCTGTACGTTTCGATTGTCCCTTTGGATGCACTCGCGACCCCGAATACCGAGGAAACTTGCGAGAGCCTCTCAAATATGTTGTCGTTGGAAGGCACACATCGTACTAATATATCTTCTTTTTTTCTTAGGCGTCCTCGACCGCGAGGGCAACGCCCGCAAGGTCGTCAACTGCTCTTGCGTCGTTGTCAAGGACTGGGGTGAGGAGTCTCAGGAGCGATCCATCCTCCTCAACTACTTCCAGACCGAGCAGTAATTGCGTTTTCCGGCGTCAAAGGCTTGGGGCTTAGGGTATAGAGTGGGGGCTATGGGGGATCTCCAAAACAAATGGTTTTCATCCTGAGGCAACTTGAGACCGTTTTGGTTGTACTCTAGCATCCTCAGCCGGCATCATCAATCCAAGGATTGGATGGGCTGACGAAGAATAAAAAACAAAAAGCATAAAGGACACCAAAAGTTTGGATACAGATTACCTCTATTCTCATTAGGCGTATGTACGTGATGTGACCCACCACCGTAAGAGTACAACGAAGGAAACATGAATCGTGAGGTTCTTGCGTCTCGGTACAAAGATGCTTTATTTCCTTCCCTCGACCTAGAAGGCAGGTTAGAGGATCGCGGGGTCGACCGAGAAGACTATTGCAAGAGGTGTCCCCAACTTACCATGATGATGTGGTATCCAAACTCCGTCTTGGCCTCCCCAATCTTGGGGTTACCCGTTGAACTCGCCTCCAGGTTAAAGGCAACCTCTTCAAACTGGGGGCAAGGCTCCCTCTCGTCTTCCATCCAAGGGCACCACCTAACAACACGAGCGCACAGTCGGTTAGCTTCGCGTACAAGGCAACGCGCTGTGACCTCTGTGCCATGACTGATACTTACCCTGCCTCGCCTTGTCCTCTGAGAATTCGCGGGCGACCTCGTCGAACTTGGCACCGTCCCTCAGCTTAGCCAGGGCCTCCTCCTTCTTCGCATGCTTCTCACACTGCAAAGCTACTAGTCAGTCATTTTGTCCCTTATTTAACGTTCCCCACCCCGCCCGTAGGGAATTCCTGCTGGGCTGTGGGAACAGCGTCTCGTAGGGTTTCCCGGTAGAAGGCCCCGTTGGCCCAAATCGCTTCACACACATGCGGAGGTGAGACGTACGAGAATGTGGCGCACATTGATGGACTGCGCGCCCTTGACTTGCTTGTCGTCCTTGTCCGGCTTGCCTCCCTTCCCCTTGGCCGGGGCTGGCGCCTTCTTGTCGGTTGCCTTTCCTTTCGCCATGTTTATGCTGCGAAGGCTTTGGGAAGGAGCTTGTGGGCTTGGAACTTGGGGGAGGTTGAGAGTTCGTTCTTGTTCTTATTATTGGAATTTATCACCCCTTTCTCTTTTTGGAAGTTCCTTGACAAAAGTAGTTCTCCGAATGCCTTGTCGGGCAGAGTTGTGGGTTTTCTTCTTCTCTTCAATTTTCTTTGTACTCAGGACAAGCACTGCATTGTTGCTGTTGAAGTGGTGCTACCCCGCCTCTGGCTCTTTAAGCGGGTCGGAGCACTGAAGCGAGGGCGACACTAGGCCGTCCGTCGTTGTAAAAGCACACTTGCGATTTGGACTTCAATGGTGATTGCATCGAGCCTTGGGACCAAATCTTGCTCTTCATTCGCTACATGTATTCATTCCGTCTGTCTTAAAGCGTCTTCATGTAGGCACCGGGGTTTTGTATAAGAATTAAACATGGTCCCCCTTTAACATTTACATGTACTACACCCAAACAAGTGAGCTCGATCGTTCCTGCCAGGAGGGGCGTGCACGAGTCAACGTTGTCATCTGCTTATTCTACGAGATGGAAACCTCGCGGGATTCACTCCTCTCATCAGGATCGAGGTGAAGGGCAAGCAAACGGGGGAAAACAAGCCAGTTATGAACCCGGTCTACTTTATGGGATGCAAAAATGGAGGTGTCACATCTCCACAGAAGCTTAGCTCCGCCAACGGCCCTTGCCATCCCCCTGGCTGAACCGAGGGGCCGGAACCGTAAGGCCAGACAAGGTCTGAGGGTATTATCAGTCCAGTCCAGGCCGTCGGCTTTAGGCCGATAGGGGATTCGCAACACACCACCCGTTGCCGATTTAGCAGGCCGTGTATTATCATTATTCCTTTGGTCGATGCAAGTAGTTATAAAAACCCAGGTTCTCCCCGTTTGTTGCGGCGACAGATTCCCCATTTCTACCGTGCGGTTTTCTTCTGTCTGCGGGAGGATCTTGATGGAAGGCAGTTGCGATGCCTAGCACGATACTCATCACCACATACGTATACGTAGAGTAAGTTGAGCTCTTGTTCGCGTTTCATTACTAAATAAAAATATTGCCAGATGGCTATTATGCAAGGGGGGACTCTGCGCTCAGTCGAACCTCTATAGATCGACTGACGGCGCACAATCAACATACATCCATCCATTGAGAATGATACTAAAAAAGGAAAAGAAACCCTCAAGAACCCCAAGAAATCCCGGGATACCATTCCATCCTGGAAGGAAAACCCAAAAAATGCGCCATCCACCGTCAAGATGCACCGGCATCCGTGGTCAGAAAACAGTTATTCCTCCGTTCCGTTCTAGCCCAGAAACCGATCCAATCTCCCATCCTGTCCTGTTCAGACACCATTACCACGCTGTTGAAAGAGAAAAAGAAGAAGAAAATTAACAAGAGGCCACCAAACATGCCTCATACGCCCTAGAAGACAACCGGGTCTCTCTTCTGCATCGTCCTCCAAGTGCCATACTCGTCGTCGACCCCCGCCCTCTTGATCTCGTGCTCTTCGAATTTTTCGTAAAGCTTCCAGTCGTCGAGCTGCGAAGGTCTCGGTATGGGTTGGAGGGTCTCTACGCGGCCTTGGCCTGGGGCCTGCTCCATGTTGAGACTCATGCAGTAAGTTTCCTTGTGAGGGTCGAGCTTCAAGCCGAAGCTGCGAATGATGTACCTAAAGGAGCCAAAGACGACGAGTTAGGATAACCGGCCCTCGGAAAGGGGAAAGGTGGAAGGGGAAGGGAAAAGCTTACAGTCCGTCGTAACGGATACCCGCTTCCGGCGCATGCGGGCTCCGGAGTTTATATCCTCTGAGGATGTGCACCTTTTGGCCGACTTGTGTGAGGAGAGAGTGGACCATTTCCGAAGCATCCCCGTCGCGGATGTATCTCGTCACATCTTTGTCAATCTGCTCCTCTCTTCCCCAGAGTAGGGGCAGAACCTTGATGCCGTTTTTGGCGAGGGTCTCGATCGAGTTGCCGGACATGCCGCTGCGGCGTGCGCAGGCCATGTTGATGAACCACCTGAAAAGAAAGCTGTTAGAAGACTAGCCCTCCTACAGCTCTGCACATGCAACAACCCGAAAAGTTTCCCAAAGGCAGGGGAGTGGGAGACAATCTACTTACTGTCCGAGCTCCAAGGAGGTATTGGTCACAACCTCCACCGACGGGGCGCGGCCCTCGCGTATCCTCCAAGCCGGGTTGCCATCCTCAACGCTGAGATACAAATCCTTCAAGTACCCGGTTTGCTTCAGCTCGAGGCTTCGCACGTCGTCGATGGACGTAAAGTCTTCGCCGAACCTCGCCGCCCATTTCCCCTGCAGCTGGCTCGCCTTGGCGACGAGGTCAAGCAGCTCTTCGGGCGCCCGGCGAGGGTGGTGCTTGGGGTTGAGGATGTCGGCCAGGAGCTTGTCGAGGCGGCAGGCTTTGATGGTTTCGAGGTTGACGTGCATCGAGGGCACTTCTTCGTCCTGCAAAAGGCGGACACGAGGCCGGAGAGCTCGGTCAGATGCGGCCAAGGCCCGGGACCCCGGTGGCCCTGGATCGAAGCGCGGATGTCGTCGCATATCCGGGCGAGGACGGGAGCTTTGCGCGCTTGGGCGCGTAGGAGTAGGAGGAGGTGGAGTTTTCCCGCGAGTGGGTAGGGGTGTTGCCTACGGATTGTGGCATCGTCATGGGCTGCTGGGCGTCGATGGGACAGTTCTTTTGGTTTTTCAAGGGAAAAAAAAAAAAGGGGGAGGGCCCCGAGGTAGGTAGGTGTGTTGGTGTTATAGGTTTGCGTGCTCACTTGGTTGCGCGCGCGTTCGTGCAAGTTTCTAGGAGAATAAGTCTGCGAGGCGATGGCCGGACAAGGCAAGGCTCACTGTTGAACCAAAAAGTTGACGGATGGATGAATGGAACAAGGTCGAAGAAGCTGGCCAAGGTCCGGGTCCAACGGGGTTGAGCCAACCTCGGGAGGAAGTTGAGGTCGCCCGTTCCTTGGATCTATCTAGGGGGGCGAAGAAGGGTTACTACCCAAGGGAAAAAGAAGCAAGTCGGACAAAAAGAATCCAATTCGAACGTGGAGAAAAAGCAAGCACGGAACAAAGGAAAACGAGGCTAGCGCATGTCCGAACCGACTCAGCGAGTCAGCACCTCCACAAGCGATCTGCAGGCGTCCGGCGGCTGGGAGTAGGGGAGTACCGAGGCAGGGCAAGAGAAGAGGAATTAGTCGAGAAGCTTCCTGCAGGCGGCCAAGAGCGGAGCGAGCGGCGTCACAAAAAGACGCAGACAAAGAGAGGCGGGAGGGTATTTTCTGCGGTGCTGCGGTACCGTGGTCTTGCGGGTGCTGCAATGGGATTGGGGATAGGGAGCATTTGACCGATCCCACGTGGAAAGCTCGGAGAAATGAGAAGGTGAGAGGAGGAGGAGCAGGAGGAGGAGGGGCGCGGGGGGGTGCGGCCACCAGAGATTGTGCAAGCAAGCTAAGTCGGTAGTTGATCAAAGGACGAGGGAAATGAAGCTTGGTTTGGCAGATGTTGTGGACGATCCCATTCCGCGTGAGGTCATGGGCAGGATCTGATTTGGGTCTAAGGGGCAGGTTAGGCGGGCCCACCGTGGTGGTGGGACAAGATGATGGGTCAAATGTTCGGGAGAGAGAGAGAGAGTGCGCTACATGTACGCTAAGCGGGAAGCTCGGTTGGACCAAGTGGCAGATGGATGATATAGCCCCAACCGCAACGGCGTTCTTGTTTCGTGCTGTTTAGCTCCTTTCGGAAGGGGAGGGATGAAGGGGATAAAGGGGATTCTTTTTCGTGAGGAACACGCCGGCTCGGCCATGTGGACGGCGCCATCAGATGAGAGGCGTCAAGACAAGACGGGAGGGACAATGGGCCATGCCTCATCCCTGCTCCGAGGAAATTGAAAAGGGTCAAGAGTGCATTGAGGGTCGTTGGCTTGGATTCAACATGGCTTTGTCTCGCCCAACTGGTTGGTGACAAGCAACCTTGTCTATTGCTGGTTAATTTGCGACTACGATTATAATACATACTCCACCACTACACCAGATTCCTACACCAGTCTACACGCACTCGCTTGTGGAGGGTACAGGATGGAAGGGTATTTCGAAATAGGTTCAAGAGGGAGCAAAGCAACGGGATTAGGGATCCACTTCGGATGCGGTGGTGCTACTCTTTCCTCCACAAAATCCAGCCATTGGGAACATGGAATCGCAAGCAAAGACGGTAGCACTCCATGCAATCCAGGATCAATCAGCTCGGGATTTCTTCGAGGCGAGGGCAAAGAGTTGGGAGATAAGCGAGAAGGGGGAGGGCGGAAACCTTGTGGGTGATTTGACGCAGCGATCTTCAAGCAATAGAGTTCCCACTAGAGGACTGGCTGACTCGTGAGAGAAGACTATGAAGAGAAAAGGGAAATAAGGAGACTGTCACTTCGTTTTTCGTTGGGCCAGGCCATTTCGCCAGGTCGACGCTAGCTCGCCGGTCAGCCTACCCGGTCAGCCTACCTCCCTGCATCCTCGCTGGGAGTGACCCTGGTTGCAGACGCTGGCGTGCCATCCCGGTCGATTTGAAGGAGGAGGGGAAAGAAAATTGGGGACAAAGTGAGCCATATCTTTTTCCCCTTCTTCTCATCAAATAGAAAAGAAAGAGGGAAGTGGGGGGGACGAGCAGGGAGCAGGGCGCCCGTTCATGATGATATTGATCAACGTTCAATTCCATAATCTACATGCACAACAAGGCCGGACCCTGAAGGAAAGGAGAGCGTTTGACGTTGATCTCGATGAGGGACGACGGGGTCCAATCCAGCAAAGTACTGCGCAAGTGAAGTAAGGAATTGCGAATTTTAACTCTGGGCCTGGAAGCTGTGCCCCCTTCTACTTCGTACTTTTGTCAATGATAGCTACTCTGAGGAGCTCTGCGGGAGTCATCCGAAGCTTCCATCCACCCACGTCGTTCGGCTGCGGCGGGGATGAGGTTGAGCCGGTCGAGTGGCGACTTCTTCAGGTGCTTAGAATGAAGAAAGAACGCGCAAGTCCCCTTCTTGGCTCTGCAGCCAACTTGCCAGGGTATTACGAAAGTGAGTAGCAGTGAGTTGTGCTGCGCAGGGTGTAGTGTTCCGAAGCGGAGGAAACAAAAATTCTTGGGACCGAACCGGGCTGCTCCCGCCAGGTCAATGCGTTGCGCTGGTAGGTTGGTAGGGTAGTGTACGTGCACCGTCCCGGTCGTCTCGTCATCGCGGATGCATCAATGTGGTCAGCGTCAATAGCCATTCAAGTGTCAACGATTCATGGTGAAGCCGGAGAGCCGTGCACAAACACAAGGACAACGACTATCAGCTGTCAACAGATGTTCACATAGACAATCTTGGAAAAGTGTGAGAGCAATGGTAGCTCTGAATTTTGCAGCAGAGGAAAAAAAAAAAAAAAAAAAGAAGTGATCAATTGGAACTCAGCCATGATGCACGTAGACTGAACCTTGATCTGGTCGCCACACTTCTTTTCCTTTCACTTTCCCTGAGCTAGTCTGAGAGCCTGCTGCATTGGCGCACCTGTCACACGAAACTTTCCACCGCGTCAATTAAAAGAACCCTTGGTTGATCGTGGCAGGCGCATTATCAAACAACCTTCCGATCACCACGCACCCCGCCTAACACCTTCTTTACCCCCCTCCTCCCCTCCTCCTTGCCGCATTTTACTAGCCTCGCCTCCCTTGGTTGCGCGGTGATTCGCACGAAGTCTGTGGGATTCCCAATCCCTCGTCCCATGCCAAGGACCCCGGCCACTCTCCAAACTCTCACTCGCGTGTTCCGCCGCAGCCTCACCATGACTGCCCCTCGGCCGGACATCCAGCGCAGCTGCGCTGCCTTTGATACCTCCATCGGCATCACGGAAAGGGTCTCTACGCCGTCAACGTTTTGGCAGGGCATCATGCGACACAGGTATCACACATGTACATAGCTGCGGCTGTTGCTGCACCACCGTAAATGCGGCATCCGTTGGGGTCCGAGGGCTCGTAGTTGTTTGACCTCGCAGGGAAATGTTGGGGCAAAAGAGACTGATTCGTATCCTTGCGTAGACGTACTGATTTCCTCGTCAATGAAATCCAGAAAGATGGAACCGTGTTGCACTTGAGGAATTGCAACATTGAGCTTCCTAAAGACGTATGTATCAAAGAACAACAGCCGCTCCGCACATCTCTCGCATCGCTTTGTTCTATCCTCAGCGGCGGCTCTCTCTCTCTCTCTCTCTCTCTCTTCACTACCCTTCCCCTTTTCATTCCTCCAAAGCCGCAAAAGCTCTAACGGTATTACCGTAGGGCCAAGGAAATGGCAACAGTAACAATAGCGGCCGCGCCGCTCCGCTCCCGCGCCCAAGGAGGAGACTGCGCCCGAGAAGCCAGAAATCCCCGTCGAAGATGTCGCCATCCTCGAGGGGTTAACATCCAAAGACTTTGCCGAGAAGATTATCAACCTGTACAAGTCTGCGCCCTCTCAGTCCAAGAACTCCGTCACCACCGACCTGATCGAAGACAAGGCGACCAGGTCCAAGCTCCACCAAGTAAGCATCGCGCCCCCCTTTCCTCTCTTGCTCTCTGTGCGTTGCCGTTGCTTTTAACACTCTTACACAAAAACTTAGGAAGTCAGAAGGATATTCAAGTCCGAAATCGACACCACCACCGACCCAACAACAGGCGCCATCGTCGCCAGCAAGCGCAAGTCCGACCGCACCAAGAACAAGAACGTCAAGTTCAAGCAGCGCGTCGACTGCCCCGGCACCGGCGACTTCCTCCACTTCACCCTCTTCAAGGAGAACCGCGACACCATGGAGGCCGCGAACCTCATCGCGCGCATGCTCTCCCTCAAGCCCCGCGCCATCCACTTCGCCGGCACCAAGGACCGCCGCGCCGCCACCGTGCAGCGCTGCTCCGTCCGCCAGCGCACCGCCGCCGACCTCGCCCGCCTCAACCCCAAACTCTACGGCATGAAGACGGGCGACTACGCCTACCGCCACGACCCCATCCGCCTCGGCCAGCTCCGCGGCAACGAGTTCACCATCGTCGTCAAGGACTGCCACTTCGCCCAGGACGCCGCCCTGCCCGTCGCCCGCCGCGCCGACGTCCTCCACACCTCCCTCCGCGACACCCTGCGCAGCATGCACGCCCGCGGCTGGATCAACTACTTTGGCCACCAGCGCTTCGGCAGCTTCGCCACCGGCACCAACAAGATCGGCATGCTCATCTTCTCCGGCCGCCTCGAGGACGCCGTCAACGCCCTCCTCCAGTACGACCCCGCCGTCCTCGAAAACCCCCGCCCGCCGACCTCCCCCGCAGCAACCCCCGCCACGACGAGTACAACCGCGCCCTCGCCTGCCGCACCTTCCAGACCGAGCACGACGCCGCCAAGGCCCTCAAGCACCTCCCCGCCGCTTCGCCGCCGAGTCCACCATCATCGGTCACCTCGGCCGCTCCCCGCCACCCGCGGCGACTACGCCGGCGCCCTGCTCCACCTCCCCGCGGCCTGCGCACCCTCTACCTCCACGCCTACCAATCCTACGTCTGGAACCACGCCGCCAGCAAGCGCTGGGCCCTCTACGGCGACAAGGTCGTCGAGGGCGACCTCGTCGCCTCCACCCCCGGTGACGACCGAGGAGACCCCGAGCCCGAAGCCGAGCCCGTCGATCCCGAAGACGACGACGAGGTCGCCATCTCCGCTCGGCCCCTCACCGCCCAAGAGGCCGCCAGCGGCGCCTTCTCCATCTTCGACGTCGTCCTCCCCAGTGCGGGCACCAGCACCCTCCTCCCCGCCAACGAGGTCGGCGCCTTTTACCGCGAATTCATGGGCCGTCCCGAGAACGGTGGCCTCGACCCCTCGACCTGCCCCGCCACCACAAGGAGTTCACCGCCCCCGGCCGCTACAGGCACCTCATCCAGCGCTTCCTCGCCGAGCCCAGCGTCGAGGTCCGCGCCTACGCCGACGACAATGAGCAGATGCATCCCACCGACCTCGACCTCCTCATGCAGGAAAAGAGGAGCAGCAGCAGGAGCAGCAAAGCGCCCAGGCCAAGGCGCAAGGTGACGGCGGCAGTGGCGGCGGCAAGAGAAGCTTGGATGCCGCCACCAATGAGGCGGGAGACGGAGAAAATCCGGTCAAGAAGACCAAGCTCGACGCTGATGCCCCGCCCGCGGATGTCGAGATGGACGGCGCAGCGGACGTACAACCCCTTGAGCCCGCCGCTGAGAAAGTTGCCACCATCTTGCACTTCCAGCTTGGCAGAAGTGCCTACGCCACAGTCGCTATCCGCGAGATGGGTCTATCGCCAGACGAGCACGGCACGGGAGTCAACCCATAGTCGGTGGGTAAATTTCCAAAGAGTGAACTAAAACGGGCGATGCGACTTCATTAGTAGAGTGTATAGCGGAGGACTTCATCTCTTAGAAATCAGTGGCAAGAAAGGGAGAAAATAGGTATCTCAAGTCAATTCAAAAATGATGTTTACACAACGTGAATTTCGTATTGCTCGTCATGGATTCAAGGGCAGGGACCCTTGGAGACGCCTATACGCGCCAAAGCTCAAGACCATGAGCATTCTTTGTCTTGTTTTCTTCCTTCACCCTCTCCTTCTCCTCTTCTTATAAACCACTCAGCCTGCCACTTATTGAGACGGCTTCCTGAGCAAAAATACCAAGTAATTCATCTCTTTTCTCCCAAGTGGAACTTGCCGTAGACCCTCAACCAAAATCCAAGAAACAAAAGGGCGTTGACCGCAAAAGGAAACATGAGTAGAGTGAAACTCAGAAGCACGAGGAGAATAATGAATGAGTGGGAATCAAAAGAGTAGTTAGCATCTAGCATGCTAGAGCGTGATGAACTTGGCAGTGTGACCAAGGCAAGATACCTGCTCATGGCCTCCAGCCTCGCCTTGACGGTTGTCTCATCTTTGGCCAATTTGTTCCAATCAAGATTTGAGGGTGGCTGTCATCTTAGGAGGTGAAGGCTCCTTGCGAACGACAACAGTGTAGGTGAAACAGATGCCGAACTTCGCCAATGACAAAAGGCGTGCTGTGCGTGCTAGGCTGGGAAACTAGCCGAGATGGGTGGCATGCGTCTCCCGCGGCGATGCTATTTGTTGAAATGGGGTGAAGTACAACGACGGATTTTACGCCGGTACATCGGCAACATCGGCGGTCGCATTGGTCCAGCCCCACACCTGGGAGAGGAATTTGCTCATATTCACTCTCTTGGTCTTCATCTCCACCATCCAGGGGTGTTCCAACATTCTCCAAGGCGTCGCCCTCCTTGAACCTTCTTTCTCCAAGCTATTACGAATCGGATGTTGTTAGTCAAGGCGACGACATCATTAGAGGTGGCGGTAGGTGTAGGTGGTGGGGGTGACTTTTCAGGGTAGCAAAGGGTATCAAACTTACCAGCACTCAATAAAGTATTTGAAGTTTTCGCTCCACGCAATGTTGCTATCCGGCTCGTCCTTGAGCTTGGGGATGGGTTGGCTGACAATGTATGTCAGTAGGTCAATAAGACCAGCCCGAGGTTGCATCTCCGTGCCGTCCGCGGGGAAGGGGAAGCGATGCTGAGCGACTTCGAGGAGGGTCACGCCGGTTGACCACACATCCGACGTAATTGTGTAAGAATTTCCGGTGATGCGCTCGGGGGCCATGTAATAGCTGGTCCCGATAAAAGTGTCGGCTTCACCTTTGGTACCGAAGTCTCCGGAAACACCAAAGTCGCACAACTTCACCTCACCGGTCCGGCACAGTAGGATGTTGGAGGGTTTAATATCACGATGGATGATGCGGCGGCTGTGAAGGTACGTGAGACCACCCAAGATACCTTCCGCCACCTTTCCGAGGACCTTTTCTCCTGTCCTGCCGCCCAGGCGCTTAACCTCCTTGTAGATGCTATCCAAAGAGCCTCCCTCGCAAAACTCCATAGCAATGAAGATGCTCGCGGTCGAAGCATCGACAAAGGCACCATAGTAGCGACAGATATGCTCGGATGCACAGCCCTTGTTGAAATCGAGCTCTCGGACGATCTGCTTCTTGACATCGGGGTCCGGGTTCGAGGTGATGACCTAGCTTGGATTTAGTGTCTGATCTTGACGCGAGGTGCTGATGAAAAGGGGACTCTCCAGAAGATGGAGAAGGCGGACCGGAAGAGTGGATGTGAATGGAAGAGGGAGGTGGGGACAGATAGTAGACCAACCTTTAGGGCAAATAACGTCTTGCCGCCTTTCAGCATACACTTGGTGACAGCGCCGCCAGCACCCTCACCAAGGCTGCCCATCTGCACTATCCTCTGCTCTTTGTTGGCAATCTGCCAACCCTCATTGTCCAGTTCTTCGACATCCTTAGACCGACCCCGTTCAAGGCTCAGCTGATCGAACGCTTCGAGGCCCTGCAGGCTACCCTCCCTCTCCATACCGACGCCACCTTCGCTTCTTTCAGAGTAGATAGAGCCGACGGCGGAGACGGGGTCGGGGTACCCTGCGCCCTCGAGACGTCAAGGCCGAACTGAGAGGCAAAGGAAAGAGCAGAGTATTGGGAACCCGCCGAGGTAGGGTTGCTTGCGCGACCGTCAAAGGGCCCGAAGCTGCCTGATCGAGAGTGAGCGGCGCTGCTTTCGCTGCCGCCGCCGGCGGATTGGCCAGGCTGGATATTGCCGCTTCGTGGGGGTTGAGAGAGCGCAGAAAGTTTGCTACCGGCGGGAGTGTTGATGTTGAGGGTGGGGAGAGGCGGCCTAGAGGGAGCAGCGGAGGGAGCCGGAACGGGAGCAATACCTCCGGTAGGAGTAACGGCCTTGACATTAGGCGATACGGGAATTGCGAGGCCTAGCCTAGGGGCCCGGCCGCCGGCGCCGGGGCGCTGACCACCAAGGGCTGGACGGAGAAAGGGAGCAGGAGCAGACATCGTAGGGACGGCGTTCGACGGAGGTTGAATGGGAGCAAGGGTTGGTACGAACGGAAGCTAAAAAAATAGATAAATAGATAAACTACGTTAGCCAACTGCGCTGCTCGGTGTTGGAGGGATAGGAAGCTTCTGAAGACTCTAAACGTACGGGCTGAGGCGTCTCGCCTTGCGACTGGTTCGTGAAGTCTGACATGGTGTACGGTAGTTTCGGTGGTGCGTATGGAATGCAAGAGGCGTCGTTGGAGGAAGGAGCGACTCCTAGTAGCCGAGTAGTACTGGGCGTGAGCAGAAGCTCAGGGTTCTACCCTGAGGTCTACCAATGCAACGGCACGGGCAAAGCCAGAGAGTGGAAGGGCCTGTCAGAGCTTGGCGACTATTCAACTTGGTAGAAGGTGGAAGCTGAAATACGTGGGTAAGAATGGTCGAAGCAGTCTCGTCGCCAATTTGCATGTACCAACGATACAACTCGGAAACGATGCACAAGGGGACTTGAAGTCGGGTGAGGTTAAGGAAATGGCCTCTTTAGAAACGAACGTAGGTGGGACTTGGTGGGAAAGGAGAGAGGAAGTGGGAGCGAGAGAAAGAAGGCAAGTATTGTTCCGAAGTGGGGTGCAGCAAGGCAGCTTAAGGGCGAAACACAGCTGGCAAATGGCAGAGAGCCAGGAGGGGTCGCGTGGGTTGAGAAGGCGGTTCTATTGTATACATGTAGGGGATCGATCCCCTCCTAAGAAGAAAAAGGCCGTTCTTCGTGGCGATGAAGAGAAAAAAAGGGAAAGCAAGAGCAGGGACTTGCGTCTTCAGAAATCCGGTATGTTGCAACAATATACCTTTGTGCGAGAGCGGGAAGAGAAAGCGAGACAGAATAGATGCCTGGTAATAATGTCACAAGGGGGAATTCGAGGAGGGTGGCGAGGCTTTTGATGGCCTGTGGTGGTTTTGGCCCAAAGAGGGAAGCGGGATTCAAAGGCGGGGAGGAACTTGGGACGTGATTGTTAATATGTGGGCGCAAAGTATTAAGTGCAGGTATCGCGAAGGTCACTGGGGATGGAGGGGTGGCCCTGACCAGGGTCGGAGAGACTGGGATTGGAATGTGTCAAGTGCAGAGCTGACTGGGATTCGGCTTGGAAATCTCGTCATGCTTGGACCAGCGAAGCCTAGTGGACAAGCACAAAGTTATTCATTTCAAAGAGGCCAGCCATCAGCACCAGCACCAGCACCCACCAGCACACACCGGCACACACCAGCACACACCAGCACAGGCCAGCACAAGCCAGCATCAGCCCAATTGATTGATCCATTGATCCATTCATCCTGGATCCATCCACCACGGATCAAGAGCTATCAAGGGCCCCCAACAATCATGGACGGCCGACAGAGAGGTTCAAGATTATAACCGTTTGATTGATCGAGAGTGCTATTCAGGCCCCATCCGTCACTCCCCTTTCCGGGACTCGTACAATTCTCGAATCTCCCCGATGCTCCGCCCCATTATCGTTCAAACAAGCGTGTGGATGACGGCGCGGGCATGACAGGCCGGCGAGATCGACCAAGGGATAGATGTCTCATGCAGTTGTTCCTGCAATTGACTTGTACCTTCCCACGGAGACTTCCGCCGTTTTCCCCTCTGAGCTAGGTTCCGCCCACTCCATTCGCATCGATTGGTGAAATTTTGGCGGAGACATCCACGATGCTTTGAATCGAAAATGTCTTATCAAGTCAATCGACATGAGGATTGCGGCTCGGTGCAATCTATGTTGGCGAATCCAGACATCAGGGCCTGTATTCTTCCAAAATGAGGCGGCGGCGTCGGGGCTAGTCCAATCTATGATGTTGAAATAGCAGGCCCATTCAGTACATATGCTCGAGATACTCACAAGATACGACGACTTGAGGCTTCAATTTGCGAATACATTTGCCGATCTATTGCCAGCGATTTCAATATAGCATTGATTCTCAGTGGCTGCGTTGCGTCTACTGGGCACTGGAGGCATGAATTTTCCAAGGCGCAGCTTACAAGGTACCATGGTATCTTACTCTTTTCCACCTTGCAACACTAAGCTTAACTCTCTTCGATATTATTGCGAGTGTTATGGGAGTCTGTCGTCTTGGTCGATTCTACATGTACTTCCATTGAGCGCTGTTTTCTCTCCCCAGTTTGGTCTACGGTAGGTTGTTACATGCATCGCCTAGCCCTTACCGGACGGTCAAGTCGTGCACAAAGTTGAATGATAGATTAGTGTAAGCATTGAGGAGATTGGATCAATTGTACTTACTGAGGCTCGTCCGCACGCTGTATCCATCCCTCATTTGGTGTCCCACACAGGAATGACCTCAAGTGCAACGAGTTCGCACCTGAGCACAAATTGACCTTTTGCAGCCCAAAAATGGCAATGTAACGAACCCCAGCCGCAGGGAGAGAAGTCCAGAGCGCTGGTAGTAGGCCTAGTTGAAGCGCGGTCTTCCGCAGCTTCGTTTATAAACTAGCTGCATCGAATGCAACAAAAAGCCAGAAAGAAGATTCTTTGCGGAGGTCTTCTAATACCACCATCGACTACTCGGATATATCCCATCAAATTCAACTCGCCGCGGCGACCAGCCCATGTTACCCGGCGATGGCAAGGATGGCCAGGATGACAACCGAGGAGGCTCTGCAGCTGATCGTGGCCAGCCATGTTCCCTCGCTGCACCCTCACTGCAACGGAGCCAGACACCAGACTAGATACATTGGACCAAGAGCCTGCCCGCATAGTGGCACCAAATGATGAGGGGAACCCGAGCGGAGGTGCTGCGTTCGGCAAGCCAAACCAGACCCGGATTCTGTCCAATCATAGCACCTAATCCTGCTCATATTTCGCCGGCGCAACATAGAGGCCACCGCTACCCACCGACTCGCTGGGCTTGCCACCCTACGGATGTCGGCCATCTAGGCACAACCAAGCGTTCGCGGCCCGGGGAGATCACCACACGAAGGAACCAGATTTTCTCCGGGAAGATGGTTGCACAAATCGAGGCGCAGCCCTGCAAAGTCATTGCACACCAGGGCTGACGCCCACAAGCAGCTTGGAAAACCAGCTCTTTAGTGTTGTTGTTTTTCGGTGTATGCTTGAAAACCTGAAACCTGGCGCTTTTCGAAATCCACGGATCATTTCATCCTCGCCCCATCCTAGGACGATGCATGGCTTCTTTTGAGGACGTCATGATAGTCATGGCAGGGAGCATTCTTTAATTCAACAAGCCACCACCATCAGTCGACACCCATCCGATCGTGGATACGGAACCTTGGCGCCGCACAGTACAATCAGTGTTATATCCAGGGGCTTGCCTTGGTTGACAAGCCCAACAAGAGGATTCCAGCCAGGTCAGCCCTTGTCGGAGTGACCGGTCTATCCACTGTCTATCACAACGACGAGTGGTCGCTGTTTGGACGAAGAGAACAGAGCGGATGCAAGCTTCTTCTTCTGGTGGAGTGCTTCGTCGTCTGGGCCTAACACGAGCTGCGAGCCTAGCTTACCTGCGCCCGTGCCTGTGCCTGTGCTTGTGCCTGCAGGTCGAAGCCCAGCAACCCTTCTTTTATGCTATATAGCGACCTAGAACCCTGCAGACGGGCAGTGACACTCAAAATACCTCCTATACCACCTAGCATAGCTAGAAATTTCAGGGTCGCTTTTCGAAGAACAATACATCCTGGATGGATCTATGGACCTCTTTGGGACCCAGGGACAATCGTTCATCCTGGGCTCGTTTAGGCTGGTCAACTGGAACCTTGCCCCTCCTCACCAAGCGCACGTTAACGCGGGGACTAGCTTTTAGCGGCTCTAATTGGTTGTTATCCACATCAGCCCTGTAACGAAAGCATTGACTAGAGAATATTCGCTTCTTATTGGCTAGAAATCCCCAAGTGAATTTTTTTCCTTTCCCCTTCCTCCAGACCTTCTTACACGTGAAGAACGGTGGGACCTTCCACCAGCGCAAGCCCGGACTTCGGAAGGAAAAAAAAATTGGAGGGGAAATTGTCAGCCGGCCTCAACCACCAGAAATCACCATCGGTGACGAACCCGTACAGTCTACACCACACCCAACACCTCCGTGACGAGCGTAGTACATTGGTCCGAAGACCTTGCACACAGGCATGCCTTCTGCTGCACGTTCGAAACACCCCGTCCCTCCCAGGACCACTCCCGGTCGTGGCGGGGCTCGTGAGTCCTCCCCATCCTCCTCGAGATCATCATCCCCTTCTTCCGATGAGTCGGGCAACGAATCCGATCGACTCGACAGCCCCGAGCCTCGGAAACGGAGGCGGACCGAAGTAGATGTTGAGGTCGATTCCGACGAGGAGGCTCCCGTCCCAGCCTCAGCACAACCCATCTTCCAAGCCCCATCGAGAATAAAGGCCAAGCCCAAGGGAGCGACGGCCTCGGGAGCTTCTGCGGCTAGCAACCTGCCCCCTTCTGAGCAGGGTTCTTCGTCCTCAAGTGCAAACCCCATACTAGCACCTGTCGATCCAAACACCACCTTCGAAACCCTCAAAGTCAAGCCATGGTTAGTCCAGTCGCTGGCCAACATGGCCATCAACAGGCCGACTGGCATCCAAAAAGGGTGCATACCGGAAATTCTCAAGGGCCGTGACTGTATCGGAGGCAGCAGGACTGGTTCCGGTAAAACCGTAGCATTCGCCGTTCCAATCCTGCAAAAATGGGCGGAAGATCCGTCCGGCATCTTCGCGGTCGTGCTCACACCAACCCGTGAGTTGGCCTTGCAGATTTTTGAGCAGTTCAACGCCATTTCCTCGCCCCGACTTCTCAAGGCCATCCTCGTAACCGGTGGCGCGGACATGCGGGCCCAAGCAATTGCCCTCGGGGAGCGGCCTCACGTTGTCATCGCCACTCCCGGACGCCTGGCCGACCACATCCGAACATCGGGTGACGATACCATCTGCGGGCTTCGAAGGGTCAAGTACGTCGTACTTGACGAAGCGGATAGGCTCCTGGACGGGTCCGGCCACGGGAGCATGGTGCCTGATGTGGAAGAATGCTTCTCGGTTCTACCGCCGCCGACAGAGAGGCAGACTCTCCTCTTCACCGCCACCATGACATCTGAGGTCCTGGCACTCAAGAACATGCCAGCTAAGCCGGGCAAGGAATCTGCATTTGTATGCGAAGTTGATACCTCGGTGCTTGCCATCCCGGCGACGCTACAGCAAATGCATATCAAGGTTCCCGTCACGCATCGTGAACACTACCTGCACACCTTCCTGTCGACGGAAGGAAACGTCGAGAAGACAGTCATCATCTTCTGCAACAGAACATCCACGGCAGATTTCTTGCACCATTTACTCCGGCTCCTCGAACATCGAGTAACCTCGCTACACTCTAAGCTACCGCAACGTCAGCGAACAGACAATCTTGGGCGCTTTAGGGCTTCGGCGGCCCGGATCCTCGTCGCGACCGATGTCGCTGCCCGAGGTCTCGATATCCCCGAAGTCAGCTTAGTCATTAACTACGACGTACCACGCGATCCGGATGACTACATTCATCGCGTGGGTCGAACCGCCCGTGCTGGAAGAGCCGGCCAGGCCGTAACCTTTGTTGGCCAGAGAGACGTAGAGCTGGTCCTGGCGATCGAGGATCGCGTGGGACGCCAGATGGAGGCGTGGGAGGAGGAAGGGGTCAATCTAGAAAGCAGGGTTATCCGCGACGCGCTCAAACTTGTCAGCGAGAAAAAGAGGGAGGCTCTATTGGAGGTGGAAGAGGGCCGGGAGGTCGGAGGTAAGAGGAAACGCGGCAAGGAGAAGCTTCGTGTCAAAGGATGAGGACATGATGACGGAGGGCAAGTGGCCAAGGCGGTCAGATGCTCTCGTTCAGCCCCTTCCCTTACTTGACCCCCATCCCCGTCTCGGCATGCTGCTTGGGTGCACAAATCTTAGCATGGTATTCTGTGGAGCCTTGTCTTATTTCTCTTGCTATCGTCTTTTTTTCTTTTCTTTTTCGGGTTGATTCGCATTAGTTGCCCATCTATTCCTTGTGCCCCTTTCGTCTCCAAGGTACGATTTAAACCTCAATTTACATACTGCAAGGTACCCGATCAAAATGGCCTGTCGCCGACGTCTGAGAGAAATTAGCACTTTGCTTGTGACCAAACGGCCCTTGATCTAGAGCTTTACACTCTACAGTGCCTTAATTATCTTTGCGAGGGATCTATAGATGGATCCATTTCCTTTAAACCCCCACCCTCGCTTTGCTTTGGGTATCCCACCAAGGAAATACCCGTGTAGAGTTGGGTCCAGGTTTCAGATCGATGGAGGGCCTCCATTGCCCTCATCGTCTAAATGTGGCAACCCCGGTCCTGCCGCGTGACAGCCACAAGGATGACCCTTTTATCGCTCCCGGGGCAGGAATGCGAAGAGCCGCCTATCCAACCCCCGGGGATGGCATTCTTTATTTTCTTTTGCGTCTTTCATTCTTCTTTTTCTCGGTCTCCTGCCATTCGCCGAGCCAAGTTTGGTCCAAGGCTCTCCATAATCTCGCAGGCTACCCCTGGCGGACGCCGGATAAAGCAAGATGCGCAAAGAGAGACAGATGGTCAGAAGCAGTATCATCCGCAAATAGGAATCTTTCCTCGTGAGCCTCTTTTAACCCCCAGTTCCCCCTTTCTTTGTGTCCCCAATTGATTTATTTATTCAAACTGAGGGTTAAGCTATATGGCGTCGATCCTGGATCCTGCTTCGACTAGAAGGGGAAGGGAAAAAAACAGGGCAAAGCAGTCAAGCATTGAATCAACTTTGTGGGATGGGTGATGACTCGGTGGTGATGGACGAAACGATCGCTTTCGCTACAATGCCGAGAATTCCTTGTTGGGGGATGATTACTCGACTTTCTTTTCTTACCCTCAGCAAGGGAGTCGAGGCATTAACTTGCGCCAGACTTGGCCGTGTTGGTGGTGAGTAGAGGCGGCGCATCGATAAACGTACTGCGTCAGACAAACACACACACGCACACACACACACACACACACACACGCACACACACACACGCACACACACACGCACACACACACACACACACACACGCACATCGCATGACGGTGAGAAAGGTGGTGGGCAGAGGCATTTAGCGAAACACCAAAAACGATAGCATTGCCATTGTAATTGGAAGCGAGGCGAAGCAGCAGAGCTTGAGCTCTCCTCCCCACCGCTCGGCTACCCCGCCAAGGCGATCTCATGATGCCGTTTTTTTCTTCCTCCCGGAGATTTCATGCTTCGTCGCCCCATTCAACTCTGGTGTCGATACATGTATGCTATTTCCTCACCTTGGGGATTGTCAATCATCGCGGGGCACGGAAAAAGGACTCGCAGAACTGGGGTGTGAGCCCATCGGCGCGCTTATGGGAGGTATGGAGGGGCAGGACGGTTCAAAAGACGTGTCGAGTTTTGAAGCTCTTTAGCGAGCCTGTCAAGGTGAAGGGTGAGGTCGCAGGACGCGCTTCTCTTGCAAAGAGCATCGCTCATCTGACCAGCAGTTTTGGAGGAACTTTTTACATCTCGAGCCTTTTTGCTCATCTTTCCGCCTTCGCCTAACTTACATGTAAAATTCTGAGGGCGACTCAAAGCCGTGACCGTGTGATACATTGTCCACTTTTCTTGATTTAGTATATTTCATGCGATGGAGTTGGACACGAGCGGCTCCGGACGCGACTTGCTCTCGCGATGGATTGTAGACTGTCTCGACGCGCTCGCGAATGAATCGATTCTGTGACTTGAAGGCGCGGGATCTCAACACTCCGGGTTGTGAGCCCAGGGTAAATTCCTCGAGCCACGAATGGATACACATTCGAAAACCGGCCGCCTCGCCATGTTGTCTATCAAGATGATACCCACGAGGAAGAGATGGAAAGGAAGAGAGCAAGCGAATGCGTGTGGGCGGTGCTACCAATGTCGAGTAAGCCATCCAAGTCATCCACTGCCTTGAAAGGCAGCCCTGGAGGCATGTAAGCTTCTGAGCTCCCGGAGCTCAGAAGCTTACACTGCAGGAGGGTTCTCCCAACCTGCTGGAAGCGAAGACTGCATGCATTGATAGTTCGCATCAACATTGTGCTGCGTAACCTTGACTGTATAGAGAACAATCTGGATTCGGATGGCCGAGTACCATAATCGGTCAGGATGCATCACCGCTTTGAGATGCCCGCCCTCCTTTCGCGATCCCTATGAAGAATAGCAAGAGCTATGCTTAGTCGAGGTTCAAACAATACCGTTTCAAACGATGAGTGGGTGGGTTGAATGAGTGTGGCCACCAATCAACAAAGTCAGGCAAGCCAGCCCTGGTCCCAATCGGATGATGTCTGAACGCGCATCCCTCACGGAACATCATACATGAACGATCAGTCAAGTCATGGACAACTCCAGGTAGGGATAAGCTTATGAAAACAAACGCGACCGACGCGTTCGCTCCCAAGAAATAGAAAGAAAAGGCCTCCCAAGTACTATTTTTCATTTTGTAGCCTATACGCGAGTTCTCGTTTCGATTGACCGCCTCTCTTCTTTGGGACTCATATCCCGGTCGAGGGACGAATCGGGATGACCCAACCTGCACTGATACAGATGCTGTTTGAACCGTAAGAGAAACAATAGTAAACGCGCCTCTTCATATGCTGACGAGGGAGGCTCCTTTCTCGTCCCCGACCACCACCCTATCAAGCGAGCGAGCAAAGGCGCTTCCCTTGGTAGCGAAGCAAGCGAGGTCAAGAAGAGTGGGAGTGGCAGGCGCAAAGAACAATGCAAAATGCCCCCTGGTACTCAAGCACCCCCTTTTCGCTGTACGTTCATCAAGACGGAACTCGGAGCTGACATTGTGATTTGTTGCCCGCGGTCACGAGCCTTCTCCTTGTGCTCCCGGTGGACTTTGGGCTGCGAAGAGGGAGCTTGGGCGCTGTCGCACGCGTGCTTTATGCGCGGGTTGAGTCTGCGACAAGCTTGTGCCGGCTGTTTGCGTATGAACTAAAACAACGACTTTTTGGCTTCACCCGGGTGCCTCATTCTTCCCACCGGGAGAGAATCATAAGCTTGAGGTTAAAAAGATGGAAAAAAAAAAAGAAAAAACTTTCCATGTGTCATAGCCTACCTGACGACCACACAATCAAGCCACCGGGCTGGTTCATGGCCCATTGCCGGCATCCTGTCCTCTTTAAGGGTTGCCGCGAGAGGCGGCATCCAGTTCTACACTAGTGTACACTCAATCGAATGCCGAGAGAAGTGTGGAAGGGCTGACGAAAACTCGAGCGCCACAGATCCCCATGCCGCTGTTACTATTATTACAATTTGTGTCATGATGTGCTCTGCGTCGATTTATCGGCTCTGCCCACTTCCCTGTCCGAATGTTTGAAGGGCCCGGGAGTTGGCAGCGAGCGCCATCCGATTCGAGCAGGTCTAGCTCCTCGTCTAATGGTTCTTGAAACCCTTCGAGGCTTCTCAGGATATTCACGAGTACAATGATCACTGGATCACGCGGTCACCCAGGACTGTTAATTTTGACAAGAAGAATACTTGGCCTTCCTTTGCATCCGGTCTCGTCTTCTACCGCTACCGCTATGTGCGTGGTTGCGAAGTTGCGAAGAGATGCACACAAGGTAAAGCGTGACGTAGTTGAGGTGAGGACACATTTTCGAAGCTCCCGGTCTCCAACCTCCCGCGCCGCTTCTTTCTCTGCCCCACTCCTCGCAGGGCGAAAATGACTAAATAGAGAGGGATCAAAGAGGGAGAAACCAGGGGAGAGAACGAAATGCTGCGTATCTCGATGGGATAGGCTGGCCTGATCGATCAATTGATCCATTGTATCGAAGAAAAAGACCATCAACGAGCGGAGCCCTCAATTCGTCCCGTACATATTCTATCGATCAATCTGACGAATTTTCGAGGGATTGTGTCAATCAGGGACCCATGGCAACCGGCGGTCAGGAAGCCACGAGGCTATGGGCTCTAGGAGATACAAGATTCGGATTTTAGCTACTGGTGTCAAAAGGAGCATGGAGACGCTGTTTTCACCCAAGTCACAATGTCTCACCCCAATTCAGTGAGTGGATCGGGCCCGGCCGGAGAAAGGAATTTGACGGAGCCCGAGACGCCGACAGAACCTGCGCTTACGACTATTGGGAAGGAGGGTACTTCAATCCTGCGAGACGGACCGGATGAGATGGGCGGGGCATCATTGGGCGAGGGTATCTGACGCCTCGAGGTACACACAGTAATTTTTTTTTCTTCTTTTCGATGGACAATCGTGACTCACGATGTGATGCTCAATGTTCACAACCTTACGGTTATTCCCTGTCACCCGTTTACTTCCGGGGCGAACCTGTCTAGTGAATGGCCCGGGATCGTGGGAGTTGCAGGATCGATTGCAGCGTTCCGGACTGAGACAATGATGGGCATTCTCTTTTCTACGATAGAGTTGTGTTGTCTCTCTTTGTGTGAACTTCTCCAAGCACAATGATGGCGATTGTGGAAGAAAAGTGCCAATCAAATTGGCCAAGCCCCGGCAGCAAGACCTTGCCACAGAAGAACACGAAGGAAGGAGAATGCCTTTTGGTTTTTTTCTTTCTTTTTTGATCGCCAACTGAGGGACTAGAATCCAACTGTCCATCGGAATATCATATTCTCCAAGTCTTTGGAATGGCCGCATTCGTCGCTACTCGAGTCTTGCGTTCGCATCACGGAGATTGATTGATGGGCCGAAAGTGCGCAGGGAAAAAGACTCGGTACCGAGATACTTGTGGCTGGTGAAGTTACGGTAATCCGGGGATAGTGGGGCGTCGGAGTTGACTAAAGTCCTAGACATTACTAATAATGTGGTGGATGACGACTGCTACAGAGAGTGCACTCCTCTCTTCTTTGAGAGGCTCAACTCCGATGGGCTTTGGGCCCACCCAACTCTAACACAGGCAGAGTTCATCGTCCAGCCAGTAGTCCCCCAGTCCCCCCACCTTCCGGATGAAAAGAGGACCTGTGGGACCGGCCAGAAACCCAGAATTTCTCCAGCTCGGTCGGCCTGTCGGGGCGTCTTGCCAGCGCCCCATGCTCTCTCTGGTTAAGAGGTGGCTTGCACACCTCTTGATGAATATCGACAACCGATGAGCCATACGCTGCTAGTCTTCAAGAAGAAAAACCAACACCTGCGCAGGGCGAAGCTCCGTCATAATTAGACTGTTTGGAAGGGAATCGATGCTCAATCAATCGCCTTTGTTCAGATGTGCGGCCTGATGCCGCCAGGCGACCCGCCTCGATGGCGGGAAGATGAACTCGTGGACAAGCTCGCTAAAATACAAGGATCAATGCCAGGTGCTCGCTATGTCCCAGAAGGGTATGCCCGCAAACTTATGTGCTCACTTGCTCACCGCATGCTACACCCCTGATTCCAGGTGATGTCACATTGACCAGTTCCGTCACCTTGGACTATTTCAACTCGAAGCACAGTTGTTCTGTCAGATTAATAGGGGAAATTGGCAGGATCAAATGGTCTTTTTCCCGCCCGTACATCTGTGAATTCAACCTCATGTCCCACGTGAACACTGGGTGTCGAGTCGACAGAACACTGAATTGGAGCCGCCCCTCCCTTCCCAAACAGCTTCAAGTTAAATTGGGGAAAAGTGGGAAGGCCCCAAAAGGGTTCAAGCTTGATGAACGGCTTCATGCTTGTACCCTATAGCATCATACCAAGCGCGTGTTCAGAGACTTTTGCGGCTCCACCTGGTTTTCTGCGGTATCTTTTTCCCCTTTCGGGGTTGCCATCGTGATTCGAGGCGAGAGCTGTGCAATGCCCTGTGGTGTCATGGAGTGTACCGCCTTTTCTCCTTCAATGTTGTATTTGAAGCTGTGTATAGAGGGTGCAGCGAAGAGGAGATTTTCAAATCGGGAATGCCATTCAAGGTCGCCCTCAATGCACACAGTAGAATTTCATCTCAAATGAAAAATGAAGATTCGCGATGAGGCGCTGTCTTCTCGCTCTCCGCGCCGTATCTGCGTGTTACGTTGCGTGCCGCTTACGTGGTTGGATTCGTTGCTGTGGTCGATGGTGGTGGTGAGCCACAGGTGCTTCAATTGCAGCCTGGATGCAACTGGTGCAAACGGCCTGGACGGCCTCAGGCCGGTGATACAGCCCTGCGGATACAGATCTGACAGGGACAAATGCATCGGTGATTCGTTGCCTGAGGGCGCAGCAGGGAGCGTACACCGGCCACTCAGAGAAGGAAGCGAAAAGAGCCGGCAAACCGCGAGAGCGAAGACTCAAAAAGCGATAGATGCGAGCATGTATTACGAAGTACCTTGAGAGTATCAATGCGACTGAAAAGGGACTTGTTGAACTAAAAAGACGCGCCAAGTGAACTTCAGATCTGGCAGCGCCGCATCAGCCCTCAGATGATATGCCGGGGCTTCCCACCCTCGGGCCTCGAAGGGCTCGCCGAGCGATTTCCAGCCCGGGTCCGATAGGCTCTCAAATGAGATGGGGTGGGGTGTGTTCGTTTACGTCGTTTTGTCAATCCGCGGATTCCTCAGAGATAGAGCAAGACAGACCACATATTTCGTACACGTCAAGATGAAAGGGGAGGATTGAGGCGGTGCAAGATTAGGTGTTCTGCCGTCCGGAATATCTTTGCACCAATTCGGGTGGCTCCAGGGCATCCCTTGAGCTTGTTGGGTTGCGGGAGTGAGCCATCTCCCCGGGAACAAGGGTTGTTGAGTGGGGAAGCAGCCAAAGCGCCGCTGGCAAAAGGAAAAAGCCGTCAACTGTCTGTCTGAGTGGATTTGTTCAAGGGAAATTTGACTTGCCGGTTTTTTACTTGGGTACTTGTGGTTTTGGGTCCTTTGGTGTGTGAGTGCGTGTGCGTGTGTGTGCGGATGACGACACTCGGTTCCTGAACCCGCAGTCAAAATCCTGCTGCCTTCTGGCTGGGATCCGGGAGCGTCGAGCCAAGAGCCCCGAGGACATTGAGAAGGACATCGGGAATTCCCTTTCTCAGAGTTGAAAAAGAGTCGTGGGAGCAAAATGTCTAGTATTCGCTTAAGGCCTTGATAGTTCATGCGCATCGATTCCAAGTTTATTGATGTGGCCCAGAGAGAACTTGCAAGTCTTGGAAGAGATCACATATCGTTCTTCGTAGCCGTCTTTTCGTCGTTCGCCAAAAGATGACGTCGATATGTATGTCTTGTGTGTGTCTCTCATGTAGGACGGCCCCCAGTTTACATGGGGGTGAGGGCTTTGCTGTGATCAATGCCTTTGACCGCAGGCTTCGGAGGCTGTCACCCTCCTCGTTACTTGTTACAAAAAAATTATTCCACTGAGCTACAGATGATTCATATTGATTCAGGCCCCAAAGGGCAAGTCCAGGTCTTTCCACCTGTCGCATTTTCGCCGGCCGGGGCTTCTGAGGCGGCCAACGGGCGTGTGGGGTTGGATTGTATCAGCTTCCATGTTCCCTTTCAATGTCCCCTCCCCGACAAAAAATGACAATGCCAGCTTGGGGTATTCGTGTCACCAAGATTGTTGGCGTGTGGCCAGTAAATTACAGTGGTAGCCTTCGGAGAAAAGAAAAGGGAGTGAAGAAAAAGAAACCTGGAGAAGAGCAAAGGGACATCCGCCCAGCCCACCAACAAGGGAGGAATTCCGCCGCCCGCAAAAGCCACTCATCCCATTAGCATGATACGCCCACGCTCTGCCAAAGTCCTGGCTGAGACACGTACCATCTACGCGATGAACTCAACTCGACGCACTTGGAGGAGATATGATGGTAAATTAGGGGACGCGGCGGGGAACCGGTGCTACTGCTAGTACCCTGGAATGGAATTAAGCAGCGGCCTAAAAGTCGTGATTAGGAATCAACCTCGCACCGCACCCGCAGACAAATTGGATTTCTAAACTCCGACGATTATTAAGGAACGAGGGTGTCGTGTTCCACCCAAATGACTAATAGACGAGGTGGGACATTGCCGTAGCGCACGCCCCAAGGCCCCAGCTGTCCCATCGGGGTCGGGAATTCGTCACCGACCGACCGACCGACCGACGGAACAATGAGGGAGCGGAGTGAAGTTGCGATGGAAGAGGAAAACTATCAAACCGGTTGCCGTGTGTTGGCATGCGTTGAATTTTGCACCGCCCTTCCATTTCAAAACGTATTTCGTTCGCTCATTTTTCGTGAGCGAAAAGTAGTTTCGCAAGTCAGCCTGAGGAGAGGCGCGCAAAGCGTTGACGACGCCTGGCAGGGCCAGAAAACCAAAGCGAGCCAGACGAGGCAGGCAAGACGAAAAAAAAAACACACACACACACACTCCTCAAGAAGCGTCCACGTGTGTCGTGGGCCGCGGGGTGCGGCGTGTCCAGGCATCAAGGTATCTACGTTGTACCAATGGGCGTGGACCCGTGAGTTCCGCACCTTGAGTTCTGAGGCACATATGGCAGCAATGCTGGAGGGGCTTGGCTGGCGTGTACCTGAAGGGAACGCGGGCTCAGGGTTCCCTTTTCCGTGCTGTCGTGAGCGACGATTCCTGCTTGGTCATTTCCCGGGGGAAAGGCCTAACTAAGCCTCGGACTTACCAGAAAGTGCCCACGACGGACTTTGCGAGTTTGACTCGTACCGGTCGCATCCAAATCCCTAATCCCGTTCTTGCGCCTTTGTTCACACGCCCAGAGACAACCTCCGCCCATGCCCCACGCCCACACCCACACCCACGCCCCCATCCATACCTCCGCCAATCTCACACCCCTCCCTTTTTCTCTCTTCGCAAAGGGCGCGCATCCTTGGCTTTTCCGCCCTTTGCAGGTACGACACGACACACGCACACCCCCTCAAGCGGGAGTTCCTGCCACCCCGAAAAGTCGGGGCCGGAGAGCAGACGAGCACAAAGTTCGCACACATGATTCTTAATCCAAACACACGAGTCCACGAGGGATTATCGGCTTGGTTGTGGTATCCGCACTTGGACGTGAACGTGTAAGGCGGAGCTGCCTTGATCGTTGAGATACTTGGAATACAAAAAGATTCACCTTCCCCACGATCCCTTCCAGCCCTTTCCACTTGGTCTCCTTTCACCACAATCTCCCACTCGGACTTTACTTCTACCCTCACATACGAGAACTAGCTTGCTTCGACGCCTTCAACCTCACAAGATCCTTCAAAACAATCTTAAACTCCTGTAGCAAGTTGCAGCACCCTAGGTCCCGCTCTCCCTTCTACCAATCAGCCTTGAACAGCAACCTCCATCAGAGCAATCTCGCAGCCTGAAGACATATACCCCTCGCCTTTTGACTCCTCCTTACAGCTTCTGCCTACCAGCCAGCAGCAATTCTAAACGTCGAGGGTAAAACGCACAGAGCAACGAGAACCAAACTTCCCACCCATCTCCAACCACAACAGTGCATAGGGAGCAGGTAGCAGCAACGACTGGCCAACCCGATTATTCACCGACCCATTTTTGATTAGACGCACGCTAGGCAGAACCCCCTAGCCCGCCATCCCTCCATCACTCACACCGCAAACGAACCCACCCCCTGTCTAGCCGGAATCGGGCTTGTTGCCTTGACTCACACTGGGCAAATTCGTGCCGGGCTCGTCATTATCTCAAAATCTTAGAACATTATTTTGTTCCTCGCCAAAACAGCCCCTTATCATCTAAATACTCCCCTTTTTTTTTTTTTTCTCCTTTGATTTTCTTCAAGATGACTACCACAACAATCAATTCCTCCCCATTACAACCCTCACGCCCGGCCCCGGCCTCTCCTGCCTACATCACCCCCTTCTCTCTCAGGAAGAAGACCATGTCCATCACCCAGACCTACTACCTCGCCCACAAGGCGAGGGCGAAACTCGCCAAGGAGGCTTCCCGCTCCGACCACAACCTTCGATACCTCGTGGGCCATGCCAACCTTCTCGATTGCTTGATGCTCGAGCTCGCTGATGCCGAGCGGGAGCAGGAGAGCTGGTTCAACCAATCCGTACGGGGCGCTGCCAAGCACGAACAGGAGGACATTGACTACGAAGACACCATCATCGAAGTTCCCGACGAGGACTGGGACTCCGACTCTGACTCCGACTCGTGCTCCGACTCGGACTGCGATAGCCACGAAGAGGACGAGGACGACGTTGAGATGGCAGACATTGTCTCCTACCGCCGCGTACCAGTTCCCGATGCTCCCATCACCAGGATAACATCCTACGATGAAGACGACGACATGGACGAAGATGACGAGAACCTAGCGGATCTTGAGCTCGTCCGCACACCTTCTCACACAACGCCACCCGAGCTCGACGACGACTCGGACGCTTCGGAGGAGGAGACCATGCCCCCTCGCCCCCGACAGCCATGCTTACCTTTTCGGAAAAGGAGACGCAAGAAGAATTGCAAAGACAAGAATCCTCCTTCTACTCGCACCACTTCTACGTGCCTGAAAGGAATCCCGCCAGAATCGTTTCATCGATACCGATATGCTAAATTCGGCTCCTTCACCGTTTCTTTAGCGCACTCGACACGATACGATTTGATGATTCTTACTTCTTCTCGTGTACTTTTTACACTCGATTTATATACAACTAGGCATAAGCGATTATACCTCGGCATGGGCAACGGCGTTTGAAAATACCACAAAAAAGCTACCAGCAGCAGCGGCATTGGCACCGGTTTGATTCTCCGGAAGAAAAAAGGGCTTCTTTGCTTTATGATTTTGCATATTTCTTATCTATAATATCGAAAGATCCATTATATGGTCTCTCCTCTCATCTCAAAATTCCAATTACGATCCTCATTGGGGGAAAGGATTCACAAGACACACACTCTACTCGAGAGCTGCTTCTCTTGGAGGGCGCTCTACAATTTCTTTCTGGTTTACATTTCACTTGGGAGGATGGATCGACGAAATCGGCGGAGGGGCACACTTTTTGGGTCGTGGTCTTGGGACCCCGCACTCAGGCAGCCAGCGAACCGCACTTTGGGCGAGCTGGCTCTCGTGGGCTTAAGATTTCCTTAAGCCTCAGCTTTAGTAGAAGACGCTGAACCAACGCAAATAATTGAATCCATTCTTTACTACTACCAAAATCTTTGACCTCATCAATCATGTGAAGCCTGAGCTGTGTCTACTATCGAACATTGAATCGTAAAGCCAAGGAAACCCCCGCAGCCAAACTATACCTGGGCAGCTCTCCCACGCACTTTGCGTGCCATTTGACCGAGGGACGGAACGAATGTACCGATCGTGACTCCCAGGCCGACGTCCACGGCGGAGGAGCGAAAAAAAAAGCACTGTCAAGACCTGAGCTACCACCCTTCCGAGGCCAGGCTCGGTCAGTCGGGTGGGTCGGGTCGGCGGTTCTGTTTGGGGGTTTTCTTTGGCGATATCGGTCTGTCGGCGTTTTTTTCCTTTTGACTCAGAAGGAAAGCCTCCCAGGCCGAGAAGCCATCAACCGAGCCCCACTCTACTGTGCGCTTCAACTTCTGAGTCGATCGCCGCCAAGAGAAGGGGGTGTACATCTATCAACCCGAACTGAGCGAGGTAGATCTCCGACACTCCGCCTCCTCTCTTTTTTTTTTTTTTGCCCTCTCGCGCAATATTCTTGCCCATGGTCGTGTTTCTATTCTAACGCTCAAGCTTTGAATGAAAAGCACGCGCTATTTCATTTACATTTCGCCGCTCGTTACGTTGCAAGGTGACGAGGTTTTTGTGGAGAGGGGAGGGGATTTGGCTCATTGTGAAAGCTTGAGGAATTGATGTCAGTCTCTCAACAAAGAATCACGATTCAACAGACAGCGAATTTGAGCGAATGGACGATGTTCGCGAAGGAGTGGGGAAAAGGGGGCGTGTGGTGAAGAGAGCTCCCTCCATCGTACCGAATCCAATGCCTTGTGAATGTCGTTCTTGTGGACCCGGCAGTCTTTTTTTTTTTTTTTTTTGCTTCCCTCGTGCGCTGCCTCGCCTATCTTGTTCGTACAAGTCGACGGGCTTGCAGGGATCGTGATGATTCATTGAAAGTTTTCCGCGATCGACAAATTTTTGGAGTCTTTTTACAGTGCTATCTCGCCGTTTGCTTTTCTTCATCATGTACCACGCCCCTAAATCCCATCCTTTTGACTCTCGCTCCTCTGTCTGAGTTGAGCAACCCCCGATAACCCAGTTCGAGGGATGGACGACCTAGAAATCTAATCGCGCCTCAGGCGCAGATCTGAGCCATACCCTTCGCAAGCCAAGCGCGCCTCCCAAGAGCCGGGAAAATGGCATGCTTTGGCCACAGTCATGACCATCGTAGGTTACTCGGAGGGCGTGTCAACGCCGGAGATACATCTACCTAGCCCCTCAGAGGAATGGCGTCCTGCCCAATTTCACCATAAAAAACAAAATTGATAATCAGAGGCTGGGGGAAGTGGAGGGACCTACATAGTGAAAACAGTGCCCGGTCGGTCCTGTGAGGACTTGGTACCAGCAATGGTGCAGCAAGCGCTGCAAGCTGAGGAGAGGGAAACCTTATCGGGATGGGGGCCAGGTCAGGCGGCCGAACCCCCAAACACCCGTGCAAGCGGGGTCAGAGACAACAAGAGGGTCAATTCCTGGCCGGGTCACTCAGGCCTCTAGGAGGATGTCGGCAACCCGTTCAGCGGGATTATTATACTCCCCGGGATTTCGGGCGTATGATCAATCGGCTCTCTTGCTCGTCTGGCCCCGGAATAGGGCCTTTCCCCTCCTGACAAGGTACTGCGATAAGTTGCTCCCCAATAAGGGTGTGATCGGAAGATGTCGGCGGTTACAGGAAGGAGCGGCTTTTCCTGTGAGATACGAAGATTTTGCGGACACGAACATGTCGAAACGGGAAGGCTCGACAAGAATCAAGCGATCTAATAAAAGAAACACGCACTGTAGGTAGCAAGTGCTCAATGTTCTTGCTCTGCTTCTGCGAGGGTCAAGGCGCAATACATTGAGAGACGCATGCCTATACCCCGGGAGACTCTGGGACGCAGCAGAATGAGGCAGCGGCGCGTAGACAGGTAATTTGGCGAGCGGCGAAGCCGAGGAAAGCAAGGGAAAGCTATCAATCTGTGCGCGGCGGATTGCCTAGCTCTCTGGACACGAACCCTAGTGCCCGGCTGAGGATTCATCGCAAATGCTGTGCTCCCCAGCGGCCTATGAGCACAATTAAAAACTCCTACTGGCAGGATGGGGGCCCTTTCGTTGGCCGGCCCTATGGGCGGAACAAAGTACCACATTCGTTGAGCAGTCAGGGTGGGTGCCAGGCTGAGCTGATTTCCAATCCGTTGTTACACCAATCGAGACTATCCTCACAAAGTATATGCACACGCCCGCCATTTGACCAAAGGGTATCGCTGATCGGAGATCGTCAGCGAGCGGGACTTGTCATGAACCAACGCAGTCATCACGAACTTCAAGTCGCTTTGAGTTTCGTTGATTGCTCTCTTCGGTGGGATGATAATATCTATGATTCTGTACTTTTTCGGTACCCGCCCCCATTCCTGTCTATGTGGGAACAATGGATCAGTTGATTTGGATGGAAAGGGGGCACCGGCATTGGCGTCTTTCAAGAAGGCCGCCATCTTGATCTTGGCTGGCTTGATACTGAATCAGAATGGCGCCGAATCCAAAGTCCTGGGTCGGTCAAATTGAGATTTTGTGGCTTCGGGCTTCCTCACGCCTAGCTAGGGGTTTTGGGGCCAATAGACACCCTGGCAGACAAATGCTTCACCATGATCAAACTTTATAACTATACTATACCAAAAACAAGCACAGCCTGGAGCCCCTCGCATCTCCTCAAATCGATAATCAAAGTCACGGTCTACGCCTGTCCTCATGCAAGTCAGAATATTGACAAGTCAGCAAGGGGCCAGGTCTCAAGGAGGCGGGGGCCGAGATTGAGAATCCAGGCCGAAAATATCAAAAAGAGTCAGTCCTCTTTGGCGAGGACTCACCATTCTCTGAGCCCCAGCCATGCACAACAAAAAAAAGTTTGAGGACATGGAGGGCTGCAGACGAGCACGCCTTCCTATAGGACGTAATACTGTGCTGGCACTTTGAATGCGGGAGATGGAACAGTGAAGGACGGGCCAGCCAGGGCCAGGGGCCCACTCGCTCCGCCTTTTCGCGTTCCCCGAGGCGCACTGAAATGGCGGGCGTGCTTTGTTCAGGGCAAGCCTAGAGCGGTGAAGGGAAACGCGGGCGAGGATGAAATGTGTGTGGCGCGAACACGTACCTGCTGGGAGTCATGTACGCGGGACCGTAACAATGGGATCCATCATTCTCGCTTGTTCCCCCCCTTTCCTTCACTTGGCAGTCCTCGCTTGGAAAGGCGGGGTGGCACGCAGAGCAAGGTGGCTGCGCCCAAGACACGTGAGCTTCCTCGATGCAAATGATATGAAGGCGACCGGCCGGCTCGAGACTATCGATCTGGGCAAAGTGACTGATCGTCTACATTGTCAAATAGTTTTACTATCGGCGGCAAGCCGAATGGAACTGGACACAATTTCAACGGACTCGATATGGAGAAAACACGAGCTGACAATCACGAAGATCAGCACTGTTCCAACGGAGTCGAGTAGCGAAAGCTGTGGGATGAGAAGGGTGGGGGATCCATCAGCTCGAGAGGGGGCCGACCGGCAGGGGTGTGGTTAGAAAAAAAGTCGGCACGGGGAGGGGACCACCGAGTGCACCATTTCTCGTCAACAACGGGGCGACTGGATGGACGGGGTGTGTACATTTCCCCAACAGCCCTGAGGTTCATCGCGCTGGGCCAGCACAGAGGCCAAAGCCAGAGAGCCCAGCGCGTTCACTCTTCCCACCCACTCATCGCTTGGCTCCAAGTTGGGCTGGTGCTGTTTTGTCATTTGGGGCCAGGGCAAAGGATTGGGTCGTCACGCCGGCCATCCACGCTGACTGGCCTGGCCAACCTACGAGATACTATTGGCACTATCAAGCCCATACTCCAGGCGGTCGACCCTAGCCTGGTGAAATGTGAAACATGGCCACCGATGGCGGGGTAAGCTTGGATTGTTGGCTTTTGCGGTCACCACGAAGCGAGAATCCTTCTTCATCCTCAGATAGCTTGATTGGGGACCTCTGGTTTGGGGTTGATAGCATGACAACGACAGTGTCAGCGATCTCGTGTAGACGAACCCCTCTAGCTGGTGCGGTCCAAGCACCTGCCTGGGGCGCGATCGATGAAGAGAGAAAGGTGGGCTTGGGAGACAGTAAAGGTTGGCAACGCGGTAGTTCATTTGACTGCCCAAAGGAATAAGCCCAGACATGAGAAGCTGTGATTTGTGGAACTGAAGGGGTGAAGGAGCAGAAAGCCTCGGGTGCCCTGTCTCGAAGTCCCAGCTCGAAGCTGGGGCGGATGTATGCCCGTCTTTGACATGGTCTGTGCGGGAGGAGCCCGCACCTCCCGCACCACGATCGGAAGCCCGCCAATGCATCATCTACTCGGTATTCTCTTGTTCTTTGTCGTTGCGCCGTTGGTATTCATTCCCCTCATCTCATTACCTCAAAAGTCATTACTTCATTACTTTGATTAAAGAGGATTTCTCTTCTACGGACACATGACACATTTAGGTTCTGACCGTTGATGAATGGCGGAGTGCACGGAATCCATAACTCTGAGTGTCCTCAAGACGCTTCAGCCAAGGCAATCCGGGTAGGGTAAGACACACATGGGGCTGTCATGCCGCGGCGGGAGTGTTTGTGAGGGTGGCACAAGGACCTACATGATCCCGCAAAAGAGGGTGAGGGAGTGGCAGAAAGTCCCGATGAATGATGCGAATGGGGGCACATGATAACTGAGGGAGTGAGGTTTGTAAGCTAAAGGCCCATTTTCGCTTTGCGGTTTTGAGAGCACGAAGACGGTTGACGGGCTCGCTGTGTCCAGAGGCACTATCTGAATGAATCAACCACCCGGGTCCTTTAGATTCCTAGACATTATGCTGAAGGACACCGACGCCCAAGGGCCACATACAAACCCCCTCCCTTTCGAGAGTCCTATTTCCGACCGGGCATCTTTTCGGTATGCTGAAAGGCTGGGGCGTTTGATGTTGCACTTCGGGGGTTGTGACGCTAGGGTCCCAGCACTGAATCGCGTCAACTGACTCTGGGCAGCCGAGTTTATGACGTACGCGACTCAGGCGACTTCAATCCCGGATCGGATTCCAAGTCGAGATCGTTACCGCTCTCCTACTCAAAAGTCCACCTTGATAATCACACCTCTTATCATTCCCTGTTTATCCCGTAGAGCAACGCTTCATGGGGCTTGTTTCTTTCTCGGGTATGGGCTCACCCCCTTGCGGGGATTCTAAATGCTGGGGCGGGGGAAGAGGGGGAAGGGCAGGGGCGGATACAGCGGAAAGTCATAATGGGGCCTTTTAGTGCCATGGAAGAAGAAGCGCAGGGGGAGAAATCGCGGGGTTTGCGGCATTCGGGGAAGGTGGTTTCGCGCCGCTACATTTTCGGGGTTTTGTTTTCACCATTATCGCCTGAACGCATGAGTCGAAGAGCGATGGTTTCGGCAGGTGTGATCGGTCATTGACATCGCGAAGATAGAGCGTTGTTAAACTAGATCCCCATGATTTAAGTCCAGGAAATACCAAAAAGCACATGGATAGGGAGAGAAAAAAGAAAAAAGAAGAAATCAATGGCTTTCCACATCAGGGTTCTCCAGGAGGTAAAGAGGTGAGGTAGAAGGTGCACCGCGGGCGGATTTCAGCCTTGAGATCGCAATGGGCTCGGGCGCTTGGGCCATCTGCTCTCTGTTTGCGGTCGGAGCGGAGCTCAGAAAAAAACTTGTAGCATATTATGTAGTCATCCAAATCTTCGGAATCCATTCAGGAAAATCGCAGCATATCATTGGCGAAAGCTACTTACCTGTCAAGCAACCAGCGATAAAATTCGCTTCTGCTGACAAACACTCGAACCTCAACATTCAAGGAGAGAAGGTCAAACCTCGTTCACCACATTGATATATTGACGACGCATACCTTACTCGTCCAGAGACAACTTGCGTGTACATGGGCTCAACATGACGGTGCAGAACGCAGGGGCAGGCATCGCTCGCCTTTCACGGCGCCTCCTCTCGCTCTCCGGCCGGGATGCCGCCAACTTCCTGCAGGGTATGATGTCGACCGCCATCCTAACGCGAGACGACAAGCTCATCCCCGGGACGGCCCCGTTTACTCGGGCCTCTTCACCCCGCAGGGCAGAGTGCAGAACGATCTCCTAGTGTACCCGCGGCCGGCCCAGGACGCCACCCAGGCGAACCCGGACTATTTGGTCGAGGTGGACGGGAACGAGGCCGCCAAGTTGATGAAGAGGTTCAAGTTTTACAAGCTTCGCGCCAAGTTTGCCATGAGACTGGTCGAGCCGGACGAGCTCGCCGTCCATCACCTATGGGATGATGCGGGGACGCAGGCGATCCAGTCCCTCCAAGGGAGTTTGGGGCAGACCGGGGCGCTATCCCGCGATCCAAGGTTAGCCGCTCTGGGGTACCGGTTGCTGGCCAAGGGGATTCGCTGCCGGCCGTCGACCTGCAAGAAGTCAGCGAGGATTCGTACCGGCTCCGAAGATATCTTTACGGCATCGCGGAAGGCCAGGACGAGATCCCGATAGAGCACGCCCTCCCTCTTGAGTACAACATGGAGCTCCTCGGCGGCATCGACTTCAACAAGGGGTGTTATGTCGGCCAGGAGCTGCAAGCACGCACAAAGTATCTCGGCATCGTTCACAAGAGGGTGCTTCCCTGCATGCTCTACGACGGCCCAGCACCGCCCGAGGTTCTCGAATATAGGCCTGACGCCTCTGTCTCGGCTGCCGACGCGCCCGGAGACTCCTCGATCAGTAGGATCCTGAAGGAAGGCGAGAAGCCCAGCAGGCGAGATAGGAAACCTGGCAAGTGGATCGCCGGCGTCGGAAACATCGGCCTTGCGGTATGCCGGCTCTCGGTCATGACAGACGTCGTCCCCCGCACCCCCAGATATGCCGGTAAATTCTACCTTTACGCCGGCTACCGAATTCAAGATTGACGCTGGCGACGAGGGCAAAACCGTCAAAGTCAAGGCATTTGCACCAGAGTGGTTGAGGCAAGGCCTTGTTGGGTACCGAGGCTAGGAAACAAGCGAACATGCGAGATGTAGCTCGGAGTGTACAACAATTGTATATAATTAAGCATCCTAGGAGATGTAAGGGCGAGGAAAAGGAAATCATGATATAGAGAGATTCCCTTGGTTATGCTTCACCAGCGCATCGGAGCTCTAACCCCCAGCGCCTCGGTCGCTCTCTGTATATCCTAACATGACCCGGGAACGACAAGGAAGGAGCATGATGGTAAAATATTCTTCTCAATCAAACAGCGGTAAAAAAATTCCTATTCGCCAGAGAGTCGTGGATATTGAGCGTCAGAGACGAGGTTGCACACCACGTCGACTCAACAAGTCGTCAGTCACGTGTCAAAAATGAATTCCGACCGACGACTGGTGTTGAAGCTCTGTGCGAAGTGGTGAGAGAGCTCCACCGTGGTTGAGCCACCAAAATTTAGCTCCCGCCAAAATCCTCGGCTTACTTCTCCTATCCACAAGCCGACACCACGACCACGAGCGCTTCAATTGAGTTCATACCGGCATTGAGGAGGGCGATTTCTTTTCTTTGACTTCATATTTGAGCTGTCTTCTTTTTCTTCTTTGCCCATCTCCCTCTTTTTTTTCCTTCCTCTTACACCGGCCGGTAGCTATGGCCAACAACCAGAAGCAGCCCGCAAGGGCCACCAAGAAGGGCCCATCGGGCCTGAAGCTCATCTACCTAATCCTCTACAACCTCTTCTCCGCCGTCGCGTGGGGAACAGTTCTCTGGCGCACCGTCGCTATCAATGTCCAGAGCGGCCCGTACGCCGTTTTCCCCGGCATCGGCGAGTGGACGCGCTGGACGCAAACCGTCGCCGGCCTCGAAATCCTACACTCCCTCCTCGGTATGGCTACCTCCTCTGTCGCAATTCCAACCCCCCTCCTTCCGGTTCAAGGCGCGAAATGTTCGCGAAACCCCAGTTTCAAGTCTTTTTTGCTAACGTGAAATGCTCCCAACCCCTGTAGGAGTCGTCCGCGCCCCTATCTTCACCACCCTCATGCAGGTTGCCTCCCGATACCTCCTCGTCTGGGGTATCGTCTATCCCTTCCCACAAGTTGCCGCCAGCCCCGTCTACTCGACCATGCTTCTCGCCTGGAGCATCACCGAGGTCATCCGCTACTCGTACTTTGCGCTATCTCTCGCTGGCTCCGTCCCCAACGCCCTTGTCTGGTTGCGATACAACACCTTCTACGTGCTCTACCCTCTAGGCATCTCGAGCGAGGCGTGGCTCGTATATAAGGCCATCGGGCCGGCGGCTGGTCTTAACGAGCTATTCCCCATTGCGCTCTATGCTATCCTAGCAATCTATGTCCCTGGTGTGTAGTCCCCGCCCGATTCCCTGTTTTGTTATCTTTGCGAATCTGGCAGCGTATCTACTGCAACCGAGCCGGAGAACCACCACTAACTTAGCGTAGGCTCGTACATTCTCTACAGCCACATGATGAAGCAGCGGACCAAGGTTATGAAGACTCTCAAGGAAAACGATTCTAGAAAGACTCAGTAGAGGCCTAGCGTGCAACAAAGCCCGCCTGTACTACAAATAAATGGGGATTGATGGCCGGTTTTCAAACGCCGGACACGAATGTGCTATGACTTGGAGTTATCTCTTTTCCAAAAAGAGAATATGCAGCACCTAGGTTGCCGCTATATAATGTAATATTAAGCTGTACTCTTGCGAGCTAACGAACCTGATTTCTTGAAAGCACGTAGACCTCCCATATTCAACAACATGCCGTGATAAACAGAAAATTTCCGAGCTCAGTATTGCTTCTAGGTCAAGGTAGCGGAGCAGTCATCCTAAGTCATCATAGGGTCTCCCTCGATGCTAGCTTGCGCTTCTGCGCTTGATGCGTACCAGTCATTCTTGGTCCAGGTGACGATATAGTTGGAAGCATCGTTCAAGAGAATCTTATACGCCGGGTTATTTTGCGGTTCAAACATTGCTAGCAGCGCGTTAGTTTTTTAGAGAGATGCACAAGCGCATGGCCCGATGAAAGGGACAAGGCGAATAAGTCAAATCGGCAGACTAAGGCCCAGCTTGAGGAAAGGCTCGGAGTGCAAACTTACTCATATGCGCGACCGTCTCGTCCGAAGCTTTATCGTTGATCGCCTCTGTCCAATTCCCCGCGCTAGAGCGGTTTGGGAGGTTGCAAAACGTCCTCTGGCTACCAAAAACGGTACCCGCGACACCGGCGACCTTTTTAGACCCAGCCGCCTTACCGAGGCGCGTGTATAAATTGGCAAAACCAAAGTCCAGCTCCTCGGACGCGCGCACGACGTGAGCGAGGCGTCGTTTCAAGTCCTCCGCCCGGGCGAGGCAGCCGACGAACTCGAGGTGGGACGAGACCCAGCCAAAGCCCTGGGAAATGTTGTCGCGGTTGACGTACGCGGCAGCCGAGGTGGCCGCGATCGCGGCGCCCGCGCCCGCAAACATGGCGACCTTGCCCCATTTCCCCCAACCACCACCCTGCGCCGGGGCAGAGGCGGCGGCGGCGGTCTCGGGAGCCGGCAGGGCCGCGATGGGGGCCTTGGCGCCGGCCGCGCCGGCCGCGGGACTGGCGGGTTTGCCCGCGCCCCAAAAGTTGTTGATCTGGGCGAGGGCGGAGGAGGCGGTGTTGTAGTGATCTTCGGCACCGTGCGCGACGACGCCGGGCGAGATCCCGAGGTAGGGGTGTCGAAGGCCAAAACGCCCTGGATATAAGGGAACATGAGACTGTGAAGATCGGCGGGAAGGTCTTTGCCATCCGTGTCCGGGTGTATGGGCTTATCGGACGTGAGGCGGATGACGGTCTCCGCGGCCACTATACCGCCCATGGAGTGTCCAATCAAGATGGTGCGCACGGAAGGATCCACCGTTGGCGAGGATGTGCCGGCCTCGACTTCGATGTCGATTACCTTTTCTAGCAGCCTGGATTTCGGGTTATCATTATAGACGCGCGAATGTCAGCGGGAGAAGATGGGTTAAAGCGGAGGGCGCATGAGCACTCGCTGGAGAGAGACAAAGGGTGAGAGATGAGAGATACTGACCAATCCCGAAAACGACCGACGCATTCGGCCAGGTCGCCCCTCGTCTCATATTTGGGGTACACGAGAACCTTGACGTCTATCTTGGGTAGCTGCTTGGCGACGCTGTCGCGTAGGTGCAGGGTGAATTGGTAGCCATCCCCAAAGGTGTTTTCGCCGCCCTTGTGTGGGTAAAAGAGTTGTTAGCTAGTTGGAACGAAGGGCGTTTGCAAGAAGCTTTGGGGGAAGGTTCTTGGAAGTTGAATATGTATGGCGGGGTAGATGGCGCGTAGGCGGGGGAGGGTGTGAGGGCCATGGGAACTTGAAGTGATTGTCTCACCTTAAATCCGTGGATAAAGCATAGCAGTAACGTCTTTTTCATCTTGACTTGGCCATGAGCGAGGAATGAGTGTAGGGGAGGAATGTATAAGATGAGAAAGGTCGAGACAAGTCTGAGGTGTATAAGGAACTTTGAGCGATGTGGCGAATGAGAGTGGCTCAGTGAGACAAGGCAACAGTCGCTTTGTTGCGACTTTTCTAGTTCCGAGTTTGACGAGAGGCAAGCCCGCCACGAGAAATCCCCTTCTGAATAATTTTGCAAATATAAATAATCTTGAAGGGGAAGGGAAAATACATGTAACGATCCATAATTTAGAGTTAGCCATGACTCTTGGTCATATCGTCTGAGCCCTCTACTCTTACCACCGCTTGTTGCGGGAATCGATCAGATTCGGAATGGGTTATACAGATCACGTCGCGAGGAAGCGCATGCTGGCATCACTGCATCAATTATCGTTCTATGGGTATCTAGTTGTTCATAAAGTGCCGGCGCAAGATGCGCCCCGGAAATTTTCTATCAATTACACAAAGCCCCTCGAGCCATCTTGGCTTGTTTACGGGCTTCCATTTCCCGTTCACTCTACACCGGCGGCTATTTCACGACCGCGGTGGGATGTAAGATGGTGAACCCGTTGGAATGTAGCGAACGAGAACTTCTTATCGCGTGTCCGTAACCCTTGGTATCCCGGCTAACGCGGGGGCAAGAGCAAAGGTAAGTGGCGAGTACCGTACCTGAGCTCGAGGCTGATTCGATGTAGGTAGAGAGGCGTGGGGGTTGCGACAAGGACGGTCCGCTAACCGGGGCCCAAGTTGATGGTAGGTTCGATAGGCAATTAGTTGGTATCGTTTCAAGTCATGACGACGTCGGCCTGGGCCGGCCCCTTCCTCTCATCTCTCTCCTTCTGGCGGGCTCGAAGCTTAGCCATGACCCCAGCCACCTTCTCCTCGTAGCTCAGTGTCGGATCGGTGCTGTAATAGTACGACGCGACCTTGGGCGCCGTCTTGTCGGTACCCCGAGCCGCCGACTTATCGGCTTTCTTCTGCGCCTTCTCGGCTCTCCTCTGCGCCTTGGCGGCCATTTTTGCCAGGATCTCGGCCTCCTGCTCGTCGAGCGACGGGCCCATTCGTTCCTTTTCCGCCTTTTCTTTGAACTCGCGGTCCTCCCGATCCCTCCTTTCGAGCCCCTCCTGGCGCAACCTCTCACGCTCGCGATCCAGCTCCCGCAGCTTCTCAGCTTCTTCTTCCTTCTTCGTCCGCGCCACCTTTTCCGCCGCCTCGAGCTCATCAATGTATCGCCTCTTCTCCCTGTCCATGCGGTCCCGCTCGGCCTTCTTGCGCGCGGCGGCGCCATGCCTGCATCGTAGGCCTGGCGCGCGGCGGGTTCCATGAGGACATCCTTGGCGTGGCCGATGCGCTCGTAGGCTACGGGATCGAAGGCGTCGCGGGTTTTGTCGGGGTGGTGCTGCAGGTTCTGGCGACGCCAGCCGCGGTGGATCTCTTTGTCGAGGGCATCGCTTGGCACTCCGAGTATGTCGTAGAGAGAGACTTCCTTTGTCGCGTAGTCCTTGGCGAGCGCCAGGAGCTCGTTGAGGTTTCGCTGTTCAGACATGGTGTCTGATTTTTCTTGAAAGGGTTCAGGTGCTGTATTTTGGGATTTGAGCGCGACTACGGCAGGCTGGGTGCCTCGAGAAACCAAGGCTAGAAGTACTTGTACCGGGTATTTAATGGGAAAACGTCCAGGGAATGAGTGGAGTAACAGCGCCACACAAGAGCAGGCCACGCCTCACGACGTTGACTTCAGTACCAGGAATATCAAGACTCATATCAGTCTCGTGAAACTTGGCGGATATTTCAAAGTTATGATACAAAACAACAATGGTTTCGACCGGCTTGAGGTGCATTGTTGAGGGAGGCAGATATGTTGCTTTTCCTAGCTGACCCTCCACAATTGTAATATAACCATACCAATTGATCTTAGTCCAGCTGGCTAGAGCCCTGAGATGCATTCCGTCTATGGATTGAATTCAATTCCAAGGATAGAGTATAGCACTTCATGGATAAAGGATGTGGGAGTGGAAAGGCCTTTAGGGGCAAAGGACAGCTATTCCGGGAGTTGCTAGTTGAAAGAAACAAGTGAGCTAGAAACTTCCAACAAGTTCACTCATGAACATGGTCTAGTGGCCCAATGGCAAGGCGTTTGACTACGAATCAAAAGATTGCAGGTTCGATCCCTGCCTAGATCAGATAATAACCCTCTTGACTTTATCTTTTGGTCTTCCTTTTTGGCTTGATTTATTCCCACTCATTCCTCAAGTAATCAAGTTTTTTTCTCCTCTTTACCCTCCCCGGTTCACCATTTCAACCTTGGCCTACCCTTTGACTTCTTTTAAGCAATCGATGCAAGGAATGCTTCCAATGTTCCTTCCTGAAGTCTTTGATGGGTCAAGGTGCATGTGACATGCGGTTGAACTCTGGAATAATTTGATTTCAATGCAGGTTAAGGTTGCCCCGCTCACACTGGGAAGTCTCGATGGAGGGTAAGCTCTTTGCTTTGATCTATGTTTATGTGGTGTGGTGGAGGAGTGTCGTAGACCTTCAAGTTGGCTGGACCCTGAAATTTAATACACCTGGCTTGTCTTGGGTCGGACCTCACCTTTTTAATCCTGTAACCACACCACAATCTCTAGCAATGAACGACGCCACCCACTAACATTAAAGCGCCCTCGTTCCTTCATCCCCAACCTTCACCTTACCCTCTACTTTTTTTCGAATCCATCGAACCTTAAGCTTCACACAGTCCCTCTCCCGAGCCGCTATGGCCTCTCCCAAACCTGTTTCCCTGGGCTCAGGCAAGGAAGAGTCGCCGCCCGCCCCGTCACCGCCTCGCCAAAACGAAGATTCCGATAACGCGACGACCCCTACGCGAGTCCAAGAGGCCGACGACTCTTCAGAATCGCAGGCGCACGATGCACGGGAGCAAGGCGAAATCTCCGACTCGGATGCGCCCCCACTTCCCAACGAGCCTCTCCCAGCCACCGTGGGGAAGACCCCCTTTGCCAAACGAATCTGCCCCTACGGCCGAGGATGATGGCTGGGACTACCGCTGGGAGCCCAGTGTCCAGAATTACATCTTCTTCAACCGCTTCACGGGGCAGGAGCAGCTCGAAAACCCTCGCCTCCCCGCTGCCGTGGCCGTGGCCGCGGCCCCGGCGCTGGCTCGGATGCCGCACCCACACACACAGAGGCCGCCCCGGCGCCACCCGTGATTACGGGCTACAATCCTGCTATCCACGGCGATTACGATCCCAACGCCTGGTATGCCAAGGGCTACGAGGACCCCGAGGCCGCGGCCCCTGTGCCCAACCCTGACGCCATCTACGAGTCCACCGCCCTGTTTAATCGATTTACGGGCCAATACCAGACCGCCGACCAAGGGCCGGCCAGACACAGTGACGAGGCCAAGGCGAAGCGTCAAATGAATGCCTACTTCGACGTCGACGACGCGGCCAACTCGCACGATGGGAGGAGTCTCAAGGCAGAGAGGGCAGGCAAAAAGCCCACCAAGTCGGAACTCAAGGCTTTCAAAGAAAAAGGAAGGCGAGGAAGGAGGAGAAGAGGAGGGCGTGGCTAAGGGACTAAAAGGATAGGAGCGTCCCCTGTAATGTCTCTTTTGTTAGGGCGGCGGCGTTTTCCTGTTTTTCTTTTTCGTCTCTTTAGGTGTGTTCCGGAGCTCTTGGCTGCTATATTGCTTCAAGGAAGATGGAGGGTAGGCTGGCTGGGCATAGTGTGGAGCGGGGCTGGGCCAGAGGGCATCTCTAAGCTCTCTGCGCCCGCCTCTAGATACGGGAAGTATCATGCATCTGATAGATAAGGTGCGTCACAAGTCATAGAGACTACATTTGTCAACGAAACTAGGTTGGAGGATTAGGCCTAGACCATGGGGACGGCCCGTAGAACAGCTGAAATATACCCGGCTTTTGCTTTCCATTTTTGTTATCGGGGAGAGAGAAGTATGAACCTATGTAAACCCCGTTATCCCTCGTCTCCTCCTTCCCCTACCCCATTTTTCTCTATCTAATCTCGATAACCGCTATCCGCCCTACTCGGCCTCATCCATCTCGGGGTCCGAGTCAAAACTAGCTACAAGTTTCACGCTCTCATCATCTGAGTCGTCATCGTCTGCCGGGGGCGACAGGCGCTGGCGCCCTCAGTCTCGGTAGCGGAGATGCCGGCGCGCTGTCCATCTCTTCGTCGTCTGACGATTGGCGGTGCACCTTCTTCCCAGGCTTCGTTCCATCCGCTTCATCGTCGCTCTTCCTCTTTGTGGGAGACAAGATATCGTCGACCGCAGCCCGGGGGCAAACGGGTTCTCCTTGGGAGGATCGTGCACAGGGGCAACAGCTTCGAAGACGGGAGTTTCAGCTGGTGGCGAGACCTCCAGCTCGTCGACCATGGCGGCAAGGGGTTCATCACCAGATGGGCTGTTTTCCATGTCGACATCTTGGCCTACCGCACCATTATCGGAAGGGCTGGTCTCCTGAACAAGGAGAAGGATGACGTATTAGAAGGTTGGCTTGAACGCATGTTGCTGCGGATAATCTCGAGCGCTTGGTCGTTGGGGTGCAGCTGGGATAGGAAGGGTAGGATGCTGGGGGCCATCTTGCTCTGCTTATTTCGGAAAGGGTTGAGCACACTGGCAAGCATGGCGTCCTTGTTCTGCGTGAGGATCGCGGTCTGATCGAGGAGGCTGCGCAGGACGGGCCGGAGGCGACGCTGGGGAAGATGCGAGAGGAACCCCACGAGGAGCTTCTCGGCTGCTAGCCGGTGAGCGGGTTCGAGGCTGGGGCCGGTAGCTGAGTTATCGTTGGTCTGTTGAGAGAGGAAGAGGTCCGCGTTCATCGCGACTCCGTTCTTTTTGCTTCTGGAGTAGGTTGGGCGGTGGGCTTGAGGAAGCCCGCTTCTTGTTGCAGGTCGCGGCAGCAAGCGCCGATGACGAGGTCGAGGGTTGAAACGGTATCTTTGCCCATGGTGGGTCCACTCAAAGGTAGGATCTCGTTGAGAAGGTTATAGCTCACCTGCCGAACGGACGCGGTGTTGATGCCGGATTTGAAGATGCGAAGGGTATAGTCCAGCGTCTCCAGCACGACAGGCACGAAGCTGCTCCCTAAGCGTCTGCAGATGGCGAGGAGAAGTTCGAGCGCGGCGCTGTGAATGGCGGGCATGGCGCTCCATAGCTCATCTCTCTCATCCCTGGAAACGGCCGGGTTCGTCTCGAGCCTGCTCCCACGTTTGTGACTTGGGCGAGTGCCTCGCGATCTGGGCGACACGAGATACCGCGTCGACGAGAACGCCAACGGGGATGGATATGGGGCTTTTGGTGGGCTGGAGGATGAACTCGGCCATGAAGCCAAGGAGGCCGATGAGGCGCTGGCTTCCGGGGCCAACGCCCACCCAGGCTGGCAGCATATCGGCCGAATCGCCACCGCCCCGCGGCGCTTCGCCGAGGACGACCTTGGAAGCGACATAACCAGGCGGCGGCTCCACGTTTCCTTGACGGCGCGGAATATTTGGTCGGCCGTGGCGTGAAAGTGCTTTACCGTTCCGGAAAGCAGGGCGCTCCACTCTTCAGAGCCCCGGATTTCGGTGCCGTGTAATGGAGGGCGATGGCGAGTCTGCGGCTGGCCGCCTGCAGACTCGCGGGGACCACGAACTCGTCGGAGAGGGTGGGGACGAGAAAAGGCCGAATCGCGGTGCGAATCTGCGAGACGAACGGGCGGGAAGTGGTTGGGTACAGCGGGATGACGGTGGCGAGAGCACCGATGATTGTCTCCACGACGGCGACGGGGGCGCGAAGGGGTTGGCCGGGGGCAGAGGATTTCAGGAGCTGCAGGCACGCGGTGATGAATCCGGGAATCGTAGGTGTGGCTATCTCCCTCACAAGTGTCTGGTACCCGTGGAGCTGGCTGTATATCCTCGTGAGGGCCACCACGGCAAGCTCTTTGGACCCGATGGGATCCTTCTTCTAGGGACAGAGTTAGCAATTTGAGAAATTGGGGGTCGACGGCATGAGAAAAGGGCATTGCCCGCATACCTGAAGCACGGCGATGAGGCCGCGAACCCACGGCTCAGAGCTGCGAAGTGTCTCCCACCCACCGACATCGACGACGGCCTTGACAAGGACGACGCCAGTGAACCTACGCCGGTGGTCGCGATCGTTCAAGAGGGTCTTTAACGCCGTCTTGAGCTTGTGAACCAGGACGGCGGTCTCGGAAGCGTTATCGCGGAGCTTGCTGTCTTGGGGGCGGACAGGGCCTCGGCGCATTGGAGGACATGGTTGGTCAACACATGCGCAGACTGCGCCAGCCGCGCTGACGAGACTGAGGATGAGGTGAGCTGGTGGCAGAGGACCCGCAGGTCGGGTGGTAGAGAGATGCCTGCCATGGGCAGGGATGAGAAATGTGCTGTCTCGGCCAAAAGAAAAGAAAAGTGAGAAAGAAACAGCGAAGCTTTGTTAAGCTTTCTCCTATACGTCGCACCACGATGCACTAAATAGTAGAAGCTTGAGGCTGCTAGAATATAAGGAAAGAAGAAGGTTGTGGTTTGCTTTGAAGTGGTTGCAAAGTGCGCAAAGCGTCCACTGTGGCCCCAAATCCAATGGAGTAGATGAGATATTCGGAGAAAGCAAACAAAAGCTGGGGACGAAAATACAATAAAAAGTCAGGCGATCTGTGTCGACTCGAGGAACAATAAACTTTGAGAGTTCTCGAAGCTGCAAGGCTGAGCTTACATGTATACACAGTCTTTATCTTGTCCTTTTTTTTTTTTTTTTTTTCAATGGCACTAACAATTTTCATGTGCTGCACCAAAGTTGACGTCGTTGACTGTGGATCCATTTGGTGGGGAAACGTGGGTCCACATCTGAAAACCACACCGAACGGGCCTGGCCACTAAAGTGCTGCCAAAACAGGGTTGCCATCCTCGGTGAAACCCTGGTAGTAAACAAAACTTGTTGCCAACAAGGGGAAGGGGAAAAAAGGGAAGGCGCTATTACGCAGAACACCACAGGACACCACGTTCACCATGAGGACTCAGGCACGGCACGACGGCCTAAACTAACGATCGAAGAATTCCCCGACCTCGCGACCCAAGCCTTCACCGCCTGCGTGTTTCAACAGCAGCCAATTCCACCCAGCAGCACACTCGAATACCCACTCTTTGCTGCGATTTCCTAGGGTTCTTCGTCGTCATCCCTAATTTCGATCAGCGCCTTGACAGCTGTCATCTTGTCCCTCCCTTTTCCTCCCCCTCTTCCTCGTTCCCCTTCCTTATACTTTCTTTTTCTGCCCGCGAGATGCTGTCGACGCGGACCCTCTCTTAAGATCCCACTCCCGACCTCGTTACCCTCTGTCACGTCCCAATTCGCCCCCGCCACCCGAATCCGGCCTCGGCGAGTGCCCCCAAAGATGAGTGTAAGTAGCTATTTTGCTGAGCTGGAGGCGGTCTCGCCTGTGACGAATCGATCGACCCAGCGACAGACGGAGCTAACGTCTACCCCACGACCAGCCTCACAAAGCCATTCACTATTTGCGAGCGCTTGATGAGGCTCGTTGCGACGGGAATTGGTCGGCAATTCCAGAGCTTGTCCGCAAAATTCGAAAGCATGCACCGGAAAGAAAATGTACGCATACACCCCCTTCCCCGCTCTCCCCCATCGCCGCCGTGACCCGTCACCCGCTGCATGCAAAAGGCGTCAGCCAAGCTAACGAACCGCTCCCCGCCCCCTTTCTGCAGGTCTCGCCCTCGTTGCAGAAGCTGAGGCAGCCATCTCCCAAGCGACCTTGAACCACGCGTCCACGAACCGACCCGGCACAGCCCTCACTGCGGAAGACCTTGGCGTTGCCGACCACCTTCCCAAGATCTTTGCTGCTAGCAACTCCGAAGACCACTACCTCGAGGATAAATTTCAAGCCAAGGTCTGCCTCGGCTGGCTGCATTGGGTCGTCGGAGAATACGAGGTAGCCTCCCAACGTCTGCCCCAACACCTCGACGACGAATACACGGACCTGGAAGGCGCTGAAAACGTATCCGACTGGACCAATGTGTGCGCCCTAAAGGCAGGTTATCTTAAAGCCAACTGCGCGGCGAGGAACAATGAGAGAGTCGAAGCCCTCTACGTCTTTGAGAGCGGACTTCCCGCTCTGACCAGCGTGTGGACGAGCAAGTTTCCTAAGCAGCAGCTGCGATACTGGGCTGAGCTGTTCCTTACCGAATACTGCATGCTCTCGAGCCAGGCCCTCCAGCGTCGGGAAAGATCCCTCGAGGACACAAATTCTGTCGCCAGCTTCCGCACGTGGGCTCGGTATTGGGAAATCCAGTCGGGCCCTTTGCCTGGCGGCCACGGCTTTCGGGGATCGGTGCCGAGGAGGCGGATCTGGCACGAATACTACACCGCCTTGTCGCGTATCGTCGAGGATGACCTACCCTTCCCGACGGGATACATGGGCAAGCTGCCGACGGAGCAGCGCACCGCAAGGACGCAGCTGCGCATGGAGCTGAAAAAGGTCGAAAGCGCGTACGAATCCCTCCTACTTCAGGAAACGCAGTTCCCGAGAGCGGAAGACGAGAGGGAGGAGGTGGAGGCGTTTGTGAACCTTGTGATGAAGAACTGGACCGTAATGTGCGGCAAGGGCTGGCGCGAATACGATCTGGGTCAGGGCGGCCGAGAGGCGACGAGTCGCGGAATTCTCGAAATCCTTTACCGGGCGGCAACCAAGACCTATCACTCGACCGCCATCCTGCGGCATCTCTTCACGGTACACATGGCCGTGGCCGAGTTTGACCTCGCCTTCAAGGCATATAGCTCGTACAGGGACATCATCACCAAGGCCAAGGCGCGCGTGGACAAGACTGGAATCGCGGAGCCGCATCTGGACGACGACGCCACCGTTCTGGAGACCATGTCCCAATGCGCCCTCGCGCTCTGCAGGTACGGTGATCGGGAATCCATCGAAAAGGCGAGAGGGGTGGCCGCAGAACTAGAGGACTTCCTCGCACGATTGCCCCAGGTCCAGTCAGGCGGCTCTGAATCGGCATCGTTAGCCTTGCCCGAGATCCGGGAGTCGCCCCTTCAGCCCCAGATTGCCCCTCGGGTCCTAGCCGAAGCGTGGCAAGCTATTGGTCTCGCCCATGCGAGCTGGTCCCGAGTCACGTTTGATTCCGGCTCGAGGATCGAGATTCAGACTAAGGCGGTAAGGTGTCTCCGCAAATCGCTATCGCCCGAATTCGGGCGCTCCAGGAGCTATCGCGGGCTCTTTGCTCTGGCTTTGCTGCTGGCGGAGCGTCGGGAGCTCACGCCGGCCATCGAGCTCGTGAAAGCCGCCCTGGCGTCGGGGAAGACGGCCGATGGCCAGCCAGACCTAGCCCACGGGCCCTTTTGGCAAGAGAGGGCCTTGTTTCCGCTATGGCATCTCCTCGGATTGCTTCTGAGCGCTCGGCAAGATTACAGCATGGCTGCCCGGGCGTGCGACGGCGCGTTTGAGCAGTTTAGGGATCCGTTGGTGCTGTTTGGGCATCAGGACCAGTCCTTCCGGAGCGATCACCTAAACGAGGCAGAGGCGCGCCGGGAGAAGCCGAACGCCAGACGAGCCATTGTAGACGAGATGGACTTTTGAGCGGGAAAATATCCTCGAGCTGAAGATGACGCAGCTCGCGCTGGTGGAGCTCGTGGACGGCCCCGAAATCGCGGTGAACGCAAGCCCGGAGCTCCTGAGCCTGTACGCCCGGCTGTTTGGAATCGTGCAGCCCAAGGCCCCCGCAGCGCCGCCCAAGACGGCGGACGTGCCCAAGACGTCAGGCACGTTGCGGAGCATCAAGGGCAGCATCTTTGGGCGGTCCTCTCGGCACGGGGAGCCCCGGCAGATGAGCATCGTCAGCGACACGTCGGTGGGATCGGTGCGACCCCAGACCACGCAGACGACAGCGAGCGCGGCGACCATCCAGATCCAGATCACGCAAGAAAACGGGCAGTCGGTGGAAATGCGGCCGCCGCAGACGGCGGAAAGGACGGGGCGGCGACGAAGCCAGTCCGGGCGAAGAAACAGCCTGAAGAAGCGGGATCCCAGTCGAAGCCGAAAGCGAGCGGCCAGCACGGGGCCGACGCCACGCTCAAGCTTCGCCACGGACGGCGAGAGCGTGTTCACGCCCGACGGCGACTCGCAGTCGGACGTGTTTGCGTTTACTAATAGGAGGCAGCCGTCGATCGCGTCGTCCTTCTCGCGCGGGCGCGCGCTTCCGCACGTGGACTCGTACTTTTTGGCCAAGGGAGCGCGGACGGCGGAGCATGGGGATCTGCCGACGGACGCGTACAACACGATGCCGACCCCGCTGCCGGTGGTGCAGTTCTCGCGGGAGGCGGACCAGAGGCGGAAAAAGGCGATTCTGTGCAACGTCTGGCTGATGATTGCGGGGTTCTACCGGCGGGCGTTCATGTTTGACGACTGCAAGGGGGCGATTGCGGAAGCGAGGAAGATTGTGCAGGGCATGGAGGCGGAGGCGGCCAAGGATACGACCACGCCCATGACGCAGGGGAGCACGCGGTGGGGTGAGAGGAAGGGCACCGACGAACTGTGGGCGGACGTCTATGCAGAGGTAAGAAAGAGATTTATTTTTCCTTCCCTTGACTTTTTGTACCTTTTGAGGGATCAAGTTCTTGTCGGCTAACCAATCGTCCGGGGATCAGCTGGGCAACCTTGCTGTGGCCAAAGGCGAGCCCTACGTAGCGCAGGGCGACTTCGAGTCGGCCCTGACGTACTTCCCAAATCACGCGGAGGCGATTGTGGGGCTTTCCAATATTCTCCTCGACGTTTACACCGAAGAACTACTGCCGCCGCCAACGGTGCCGGAGCTCGATATGAGCGAGTGGGCCAGCGACCCAATCCTCAACGTGCCCAAGGCGGAGCGGGTCCGGGGCCCGCCAACAGGGAACCGCTGCCGACAACGCCGTTGGGACTCTGCGACGCGAAGCGTCCCGAAACGCCACGCAACAGATTAGGCGGCGGCAAGAGGGATGACGAGGATCACGACGAGGACGACGACTCGTCGGATACCGAGGGCGGCTCCTCGCCCTCGTCGCCAGACGACAAGAAGCGGCGGAGCGACGAGCTGCCGCCGGCGCACAAGGCCAAGTCGCTACCGCGGGTGGACCGGTTGGCGGCGCGCGATCGGGCGTACGGGCTTCTCTCGGGGCTGACCAAACTCGGCACGGGATGGAACTACTCGGAAGCGTGGTTCGTGCTGGCGAGGGCGCACGAGGAGAGCGGACAGGTGGAAAAGGCCAAGGAGGCGCTGTGGTGGTGCGTGGAGCTGGAGGAGGGTAGGGGAGTGAGGGAGTGGAATGGCGTTGGGGCAGGGAGTTATATCCTCTCTTGAGGGAAAAAAGAACATGGAATGCGAAAACGACGACGGGGGCCCTTGTAAAGGGACTCTATTCTTTTTTTCTTCTTCTTGTCATTCTTCCCTTCTTCTTCTAGGCATAGACTTTTTGTTTTTTTCTTTTAGCTAGCTTCCTTTTTTTTTTTTTTACTTAGTTCTTGTTGTTGTTTGCCCTCTCTCTCTTTTGAGAGGAGCTTTTAGCTATTACATTGTAATTACAGGTGCGAGCGGATCTGATTCTTATTTATTTTCCCCAAATTCTTCATGGTTTTGATTCGTTTCCTCGTGTCCTAGATTGTCGGGAGGTGAAAGAAGGAAAGAATCTGCGACTGAACCACCCCGGATAGTTGTGCAATTTGGACCTTGTTCTTCTCTTCGAAGCAGAGATATGGTGGTTTTAAGACGGGCTTTTTCACTTTTGATTAAGCGATGAATCAATTTATCCAACAAGAGGACCAACAGCAAATGTTTAGTGACATTAGCTTGTTCAGCGATTAGAGCTCCACCGTTGGGGTGCCGTGTTTGGCGGTTAGAGAATGGGAGGGGAATTGGAAAAGGAAGAACCCTGGCTAGGATGGAGTACGGGCGAAGCGATACACGCGGATCAATTCTCGACATTACTAGATTTCTAGGCAAAATAATAAAGGGGAAAGAAAAGGAAAGAAAGAACCTTGCCTTATATCCTATGATGGCAGGTTAGAACTTTTCGGTGAATGATCTCTTCAAATTTGTGATTTTTGAGATGAAAAAAGGGTTGGATAAAAAAATGCACTGTTAGATGAATCACAATCTCTCTCGGCTCGGGGGCTGCCCGTCTCAAAAACGAGTAGAGGGGAGGCATTTTCTGTTCACCGTTGGCGTCAAAAGTAGTCACCGTGGATATATCGGTTTGGATTCATTCCATACATGTATCTCATCTTTACGTAACAACCACCGCGAAGCAAAGCCGGGCCCTCTTTCCTTCCCGTCACCTCGACTTACACGCCCCGGATTCCCTCTCTCCGTCTCTTTCCCTTTTTCACCCATTTAAACCTGAAGCTTATAAGGGAACAAGGGAAGGCCCTCGACGCCAACGTCCACCTTGAAGAGGCCACCGCCGAGGTTCTTGCTCCTCTCGCCACCCTCGGCCTCGTCGTCGTTGGCCGTGGTGATGTACAGCTCGGTACCGACGAACTGGGTGCAGGTGATGTTGCGCGTAGGCAGCCTCACCTCGCCCACGAGCTTGCCTTCGGGGTTGATCTTGAGAACCCTGGACTCGCCGTACACGGCGTGCCAGATGAACCCGTTGACGTCGACGCGGAACCCGTCGGGGCCGCCCGAGCCCTCGTGCTTGTAAAAGAGGCGCTTGTTCGAGATCTCGCCCGTCTCCACGTCATAGTCAAAGGCGAAGATCTCGCTCGAGGTCGAGTGCGTGAAGTACATGATCTTGTTGTCGGGGACCAGCCGACCGAGTTGGGGATCGTGAGCTCCTTGATCAGCTCCGAGCTGCCGCTGCTGTCGAAGCGGAAGAGACCACCTAAGAATACATACATATAAGCTGGACTGTTTTTTTTTTTTTGTGTATTTTTGTGGCTTCCTTGTCCTCCATTGACCTTCCTCTCTCGCCTCTCTTACCACAACGCATCCCCTTTCCCTTCAATTCCGCCGAGCGTATGTAAATGGGGGTGGGGGTTTAGTTTCACATACCTTCCGGCTGGAATTCGCCCAGGTTAAAGTCCGTCATGGTTCCCAACCAGAACCTTCCCTTGATATCCGCTCCACCATCATTGGTTCGTACCCTCTCGTTGGGGGATTCGGTCAGCTTAGCCACGTACTCGTACGTTCCAGTCTTGCGGTCCAGCACGGCGAGGCCGTACTTGATGCCGATGAGAATCTTCTCCGCCGGGTTGACACCCTCGATATCGGCAGTCACCGTCACGGGGCGGTCAAGCTGGATCGTCTGCAGAGACGAGGGACCCTCGCTCAGGTTGACGGTGTGCACCCGGTGCTGGATAATGTCCACGAATCGCAACGTGTTGGTCTCCTTTTCGTAAAGGCCCCTCGCCGAGCTTGCAGTGGCAGTCGACGTAAGGCTCCTCCACGGTCCAGACCTCAAAGTTGGAAGCGGTCATTTTTGTTTGTTTCGTTTGGACAAAAGTCAATTACTCTTGAGCTATGGGGCGCTTCGTTGCTTCAATTCTCTTTTTCTTCTAATGAGGTGGGGTGGGGGCTTTTTAGGTTGGTGTTCTCTCCAAGATCGTTGTGTGCAATTTCTATGCTGAGTTCGGCTTTCACAACTGGTAGTCAAGGTCAGCTACCGTCACTGTCGATGTCAATTGGAATCTTGTGACGCGGGTTTTTGGTGTACCGAAAGAAAGGTAGGATGAGGTATATGTAGAGAAGCAACTTCATCAACCTCAGTCAAGGGGAACCCATCGCCTAATAAGCATCGCGGTTCCCCATTGTTTTTATCGCTCACACTTCACCCGCTTGACCGTCATTTCCCCGCCTTTCCCGCGATGCATTAAGAGACGGCTGGCCCCTCCTTCAATCCATCCCTCCTTCGGCGTTCCCCTCTCCCTTCCCGTTGGTAAACTTGCTAGATCGGCCCTAGCACCGCGGCACAAGTATCTTGTCATTGCGCGGGGAGCGCCAGTATTCGACAGATGAAACGCCTTGTTCCCTTTTTTGCCCAACCTGCTCCTCGGTGACCACCCGAGCCTCTTGCTTAGCGCCATCATTTTCTCCTTCTTTTCCGGCAGATTTGGCAAGCCGCCATCAGAGTGGATCTCTGGTTATGAACCTCTCTGGCCATCTCCAACGTCATGGGACGCGAACCAATGGGTTATTTCAGCCATGAACAGCGCCCTCCGCTTATAGCCATCACCCGTGGCAACATTATGGGCCGACTCTCCTCGGCGGCCTTCGGCTTCCGAAGCTTCTTGCTCTGCTGTTTTCTGCTCTGCTGTTTTCCTCTCTGTTTTCTTTCTTTTTTTTGCTTCTCCTCCTCTCTGTTCTTGCTGCCTGGATGGGCCCAGACTTCCACGGGAAGTGATCCATCCATCTTCCGGTGATCTTTTGCTTCCGACCCAGTCCTAGTTAGGCCAGCACCTCCTAATGCGCTTGACGCTAGATGCTTCAAACTGTCCCCGCCTGCTAAAACATTCTCCAAGATGGGGCTACAATTGAGCAAAAGGCGGGGTGCGGATGCCGCCCTATATTAAGGCCACGAGTTTCCACGGAAAACGGCCCTCCGAGCCGAGGCGTTGGTCCGAGCCGGAAAAAGAATGGGCGGGGGCAAACCTGTAATATTTCTCCTCTCTTTTCCAATTGCCTTCTTTTGGAGATTTTTAAGAATCCTTTAGGAAATTTTTCTTCCTTACCCAACGCTAGGAAGTTTTCACACGGGTCTTATGCTCCGCCGTACGCAAAGCGGTCTCGGGCCTCAGGTCCGCAGGATCCATGGATCCCCAGAAGCTGAGGTTCGGAAACGCTACCGGCGCGGGAGAAATGACGGCAGCTCATCCATTCCATTGACCTCTCTACCCAATATCATGGCTCCGACCAAACTCTTCTCCTTGAAATTCGCGAAAGAGCTTCTCAGGGCTCACCTAGATAGATCTCTCATTAACTGCGTGCCCTCCTGTTGTGGGCGGAAGACTTACATTGGACGCTAAAAAAGCTGGTTAACCTGGCGACTATTTTGCCCTTCGACTAACCACCAGTCAACTCACTTGACTGGCCCATAGAGTGCAGTAACCAGGCACAGAAACGGGCTGCTATCAAAGGGCTAGAAGGAAATACACGGCATTCAAGCTCACTTTTCAAGGGCCGAGGACGAACCATCGAGCTCGTATATTAGTGCAAGAGTCAAAGGCAAGCTGTATAGCGGTTGTGTTGGGGGCGTACTCTCTTGCGGGGTGACTATTGAATCACGCGATTCCGATATACCTCAAGTGAATATAGCACAAAAGCAATAAACATAGAATTTTGCTCACATGATGGAAAGAATCAGGGCAGGGGGTTTCACAGAATAATGAAGACCTCATTCGAACTCCGAAGGCAAGAAATCGGGGCTCTTTCGCCGGCTCTCTGGTCGTGAGCTCCAGGCTGCCTTGGGTGCTGGAGCCGCGCTGCCCTAAGGAAACGCGCCACCCCTATTGTTGACGCACAGCGCGAAGCTAGGCGCTAGTCTACTGCAAGCGTTAGTGGTTGAGACCCGGTTATCCAGGAGGCGTTTTGGCCAACCCTGCGTCGTGGAGGGCAGTTCTTTCAAGTGAGTGGGTGCATGTGCGAGCATGATGCGCAGAATGTCCCTGTTGGGGGCGATTCTGGTCGGCGAACCTCTAAAAAAGGCTGCCGAGCGAGTGGGCGGGATGTGGATGATTCGCCAGACGGGCAGCCGTGGTACTGGCCGCGTCATTTTTTCCTGTCGTATAATTGGGAATATGGCGCAGGGGCGACTGTCGAACAGCCAGACAGGATCCCGTTCGGCTGCATATCAGACTGTCGCCAGGCCGCTGGATTCTATCACTCGTCCAAAGAGGCCATTTTCCTGCCAATTACAGTCCGGGTGACTCTGACGCCCCGCCTTGCTTGACCAGTTAGTATGCTAGGCTTTGCTTTGCCACAATGCGCTATAGCTGATTGGGTGTTGAGACGTCTTTTTGTGAGCAAATCGAGGCTTGTTCCGAAAGCCATGCTGCTTGTAGTCTTTCGTTTAAAGGCAGGGCCTCCTCTTCTCCGCTTCTCACAACCAAACACCCCCACCCCTTCTTACTCCGTCTGCCCCATCACTTGACCTCGTGCTGCTGCACCTATTCCTCCGCTGCCCATGGCGTATGTTATGATGGAGTCACGGTGGCACGTTTTTGAACGGACGCATATGCGAGAGTCTGGGCAACTGGTGCCACGTTGCGTGCTCTTATCGGGGTCAAAGGGATTTTGCGTCCACAAAACGGCGTGGGGGCTGTCGCGTCTTGATAGTAAAAAAATGCCTCTTTCACGAAGGAAGGAGGCTAAGAGCTATTCGACCAAGGCAGGGGAGGGGGTTGAAGCGTTGATGGGAGAGATGTGGGCGTGGATCTCGGTCGGTGGTCACATCGGGTCTTGTGACCGTCCAAGAGCTCTCAGGCACCCCGTGTGGATGGGCCGGCAGACATTGCACATTGCAAAGCAAGGGATCACGGCGACCGAGGGTAGGATGCTTCGTCTCTCCTGTGATGTAGTGGAGCTACTTGGACGTATGGGTTACCGATTCAGACCTTCCATGTTGTAAGAGCTAGTGACGGCTCCGGCAGGTGGAGTTCGCCGCGCTTCGAAGACGACCCAAGGGCTACCCATCCCGCCAAATTTATGTTGGCTTGCATGACTTATAAAAAAGAAAAACGCGTGCCTATCTTTTAAGCGCTGGTAGTCTCAGAGCCAACCAAAAAAAATCCTCCCCTCTTGCCCTAAAGGCGTTGACAACAGGCAGGGCCTACCTACAAGCCGTTGAATTGCAGAGGGGGTAGCTCTATTCTCCAAGGACGAGAGAATGTTGGGGTATAGTCCTCGTTATTCGTAATGATGCTGCAACAAATTGTCCGTAGTAAATGAGATGTAACCAAGTGAACACGGGTTATCGGACTCTCAAGCAGGGTAGCGAGGAAGTTTGCAACGAGCGAGGGTTGTTTGTGTATCATCACCAATGTCGTATCTATCGTGAACCAAACTTTGGTGATGTCAGGTAGGATGATACAGTTGTCGAGTGGAAAGGATTTGAAATGAGCGGGAGTGTTAGAACTGGGGACAATATTCTCCGGTGGAGATCATAGCATCCGCGAGATTATGAGAAAGTAGGTCCGGGCGGGCCGGTTTTTGCGTGCTTCTTGTCAAGGCGTGTGCCTAGTGCTTGGCCGCTGGCTGGGCCTGGTATCTCCTTTCAAAGTTGAGGCCTCGTAACAATAGTTCTTATTATTAGCGATGGTAGGTAGGAGAGGTCAGGGTAATTGCAACCAAAAAAAAAAGAAAGAAAAAGGAAAGAAGAAAAAGAAGAGGAAAAAAAGACTCCCCACCCCTAGCCGATACTAATCTCCTAAGCGCTTGCTTGTGCTGTATCTACCTCGGTATTGACCTGTCCTTGCTCCTGGGTTGGTTGAGCGAAGAAGGCTGATACGTTCGCCGGACACTGGAAAAGACAAGCAAACCCCCTTCGCCATCAACCTTTTTAGCTGCGCGCCGTGCATGGACGGGCTGACGACGATTCTGGGGTAGCTCTTAGTTTGAGAGCTATTATAGCCGGAGAAGGCTCGCACACGAATTGAAATGTGCAAGGCAAGAGCCATCCGGATTGATCCATGTAATAATGCACGCTTGGTAAAGGTATGAGAAGTAAGCTTCTGCTTGTAGGGCGTGTCGACTCCGCTGGACCGCATGCTTGGGGCACTGCACTTTGCCGTGATGGTCAATGTGTCCGGGAGTGTTGATGACACTGACCAAGAAGAGACCCCGACCGACGACACAATGCCAGAAAAGCTTCCGTCCCTAGGTGCAGCCTGCAAGATGATGCATGCCATACGTACATGCAGCGTTGCCTGTGCTCCGTGGAGCTCGAAATGTGCAAGGTTCCAGTGGTGTAATGTCCACTGCACTATACCGCAAGTACAAATGGCGAAATGAGCTTGTGTGCCGGAATGATCCATTCTGGCCCCTGTCACTCACCTGACGACTGGTCTCGAGGCTGAGGCTAGGCCCCTTGGCGGATACCGCAATGATACCGGACTCGAGAGCACTTGGGGCCAGCCAGGACCAGGGTTAAGGGAGTTGGAGTGATCATCCGCAAGAGTAATTTCCCGGGAGGCAAATAGCAAAGCCCAGGGTGGTGGTGGGGAGAGGCCCACCTTACCGAAGGAAAGAAGCAGCCACGGACGGGGAGAAGGGAGAGAGCTACCTTGATCGGGGGTTTCAACTCGGCCAACGAAGCACCAGGGACATGGTCAGCGGGTGCTTGCCTCACACCAATTGGTGCGTCGTGATCCGAATGCGCCTTCTCATCAAGTCTCATCAAGTGAACGCTGTGATCCGTCACAATTTGCCTGCCCGCTTACCTCCCATTGAAGAAGGTACCCACCTAGCCTTGGGCACTAATAAC